CCTATAGTTTGAAAAAAGGGGAACTGTAAAGAAGATTGCAACAGCAGACGTCCGTTTAAATGACATTGATTTATTTGATAACGATAAGATTTGGTGGGATTGCTTGCAAAAAGGAATCAGCAAAAAATTAAGGATCATCGTTTGAAAAAAAGGGGAACTGTAAAGAAGATTGCAACAGCAGACGTCATTTTAAATGACATTGATTTATTTGATAACGATAAGATTTGGTGGGATTGCTTGGCAAAAAGAAATAGCAAAAAATTAAGGATCTATAGTTTGAAAAAAAGGGGAACTGTAAAGAAGATTGCAACAGCAGACGTCAATTTAAATGACATTGATTTATGTGATAACGATAAGATTTGGTAGGATTGCTTGGCAAAAAGAAATAGCAAAAAATTAAGGATCTATCGTTTGAAAAAAAGGGGAACTGTAAAGAAGATTGCAACAGCAGACGTCATTTTAAATGACATTGATTTATGTTGATAACGATAAGATTTGGTAGATTGCTTGGCAAAAAGGAGTCACAAAAAATTAAGTATCATAGTTTGAAAAAAAGGGGAACTGTAAAGAAGATTGCAACAGCAGACGTCATTTTAAATGACATTGATTTATTTGATAACGATAAGATTTGGTGGGATTGCTTGGCAAAAAGAAGTAGCAAAAAATTAAGGTCCATAGTTTGAAAAAAAGGGAAACTGTAAAGAAGATTGCAACAGCAGACGTCATTTTCAATGACATTGATTTATTTGATAACAATAAGATTTGGTGGGATTGCTTGGCAAAAAGGAGTCACAAAAAATTAAGGATCTATCGTTTGAAAAAAAGGGGAACTGTAAAGAAGATTGCAACAGCAGACGTCATTTTAAATGACATTGATTTATTTGATAACGATAAGATTTGGTGGGATTGCTTGGCAAAAAGAAATAGCAAAAAATTAAGATCTCTCGTTTGAAAAAAAGGGGAACTGTAAAGAAGATTGCAACAGCAGACGTCATTTTAAATGACATTGATTTATGTTATAACGATAAGATTTGGTAGGATTGCTTGGCAAAAAGAAATAGCAAAAAATTAAGGATCTATCGTTTGAAAAAAGGGGAACTGTAAAGAAGATTGCAACAGCAGACGTCATTTTAAATGACATTGATTTATGTGATAACGATAAGATTTGGTGGGATTGCTTGGCAAAAAGAAATAGCAAAAAATTAAGGATCTATCGTTTGAAAAAAAGGGGAACTGTAAAGAAGATTGCAACAGCAGACGTCATTTTAAATGACATTGATTTATTTGATAACGATAAGATTTGGTGGATTGCTTGGCAAAAAGAAGTAGCAAAAAATTAAGGATCTATCGTTTGAAAAAAGGGAAACTGTAAAGAAGATTGCAACAGCAGACGTCACTTTCAATGACATTGATTTATTTGATAACGATAAGATTTGGTGGGATTGCTTGACAAAAAAAAGTAGCAAAAAATTAAGGATCTATCGTTTGAAAAAAAGGGAAACTGTAAAGAAGATTGCAACAGCAGACGTCATTTTAAATGACATTGATTTATTTGATAACGATAAGATTTGGTGGGATTGCATAGCAAAAAAGCAAAAATTAAGGATCTATCGTTTGAAAAAAAGGGGAACTGTAAAGAAGATTGCAACAGCAGACGTCATTTTAAATGACATTGATTTATTTGATATCGATAAGATTTGGTGGGATTGCTTGGCAAAAAGAAGTAGCAAAAAATTAAGGATCTATCGTTTGAAAAAAAGGGAACTGTAAAGAAGATTGCAACAGCAGACGTCATTTTAAATGACATTGATTTATTTGATAACGATAAGATTTGGTGGGATTGCTTGGCAAAAAGAAATAGCAAAAAATTAAGGATCTATCGTTTGAAAAAAAGGGGAACTGTAAAGAAGATTGCAACAGCAGACGTCATTTTAAATGACATTGATTTATTTGATAACGATAAGATTTGGTGGGATTGCTTGGCAAAAAGAAGTAGCAAAAAATTAAGATCTATCGTTTGAAAAAAAGGGGAACTGTAAAGAAGATTGCAACAGCAGACGTCACTTTAAATGACATTGATTTATTTGATAACGATAAGATTTGGTGGGATTGCTTGGCAAAAAGAAGTAGCAAAAAATTAAGGATCTATCGTTTGAAAAAAGGGGAACTGTAAAGAAGATTGCAACAGCAGACGTCATTTTAAATGACATTGATTTATTTGATAACGATAAGATTTGGTAGGATTGCTTGGCAAAAAGAAGTAGCAAAAAATTAAGGATCTATCGTTTGAAAAAAAAGGGAACTGTAAAGAAGATTGCAACAGCAGACGTCTTTTAAATGACATTGATTTATTTGATAACGATAAGATTTGGTGGGATTGCTTGACAAAAAAAAGTAGCAAAAAATTAAGGATCTATCGTTTGAAAAAAGGGGAACTGTAAAGAAGATTGCAACAGCAGACGTCATTTTAAATGACATTGATTTATTTGATAACGATAAGATTTGGTGGGATTGCTTAGCAAAAAAAATAGCAAAAAAGTAAGGATCTATCGTTTGAAAAAAAGGGGAACTGTAAAGAAGATTGCAACAGCAGACGTCTTTTAAATGACATTGATTTATTTAATAACAATAAGATTTGGTGGCATTGCTTGGCAAAAAGAAATAGAAAAAATTAAGATCCATAGTTTGAAAAAAAGGGGAACTGTAAAGAAAATTGCAACAGCAGACGTCCTTTCAATGACATTGATTTATGTGATAACGATAAGATTTGGTAGGATTGCTTGGCAAAAAGAAATAGCAAAAAATTAAGGATCTATCGTTTGAAAAAAAGGGAAAATGTAAAGAAGATTGCGACAGCAGACGACATTGATTGATTTGATAACGATAAGATTTGGTAGGATTGCTTGAGAAAATGGAGTCGCAAAAAATTGAGGATCTATCTTTTGAAAAAAAGGGGAACTGTAAAGAAGATTGCAACAGTAGACGTCATTTTAAATGACATTGATTTATTTGATAACGATAAGATTTGGTGGGATTGCTTGGCAAAAAGAAGTAGCAAAAAATTAAGGATCTATCGTTTGAAAAAAAGGGGAACTGTAAAGAAGATTGCAACAGCAGAAGTCACTTTCAATAACATAAATTTATGTGATAACGATAAGATTTGGTAGGGTTGCTTGGCAAAAAGAAATAGAAAAAAATTAAGGATCTATCGTTTGAAAAAAAGGGGAACTGTAAAGAAGATTGCAACAGCAGACGTCATTTTAAATGACATTGATTTATGTTATAACGATAAGATTTGGTAGGATTGCTTGTCAAAAAGAAATAGCAAAAAATTAAGGATCTATCGTTTGAAAAAAGGGGAACTGTAAAGAAGATTGCAACAGCAGACGTCACTTTCAATGACATTGATTTATTTGATAACGATAAGATTTGGTGGGATTGCTTGGCAAAAAGAAGTAGCAAAAAATTAAGGATCTATCGTTTGAAAAATGGGAAACTGTAAAGAAGATTGCAACAGCAGAAGTCACTTTCAATGACATAATTTATGTGATAACGATAAGATTTGGTAGGATTGCTTGGCAAAAAGAAATAGCAAAAATTAAGGATCTATCGTTTGAAAAAAAGGGGAACTGTAAAGAAGATTGCAAGAGCAGACGTCATTTCAAATGACATTGATTCATTTGATAACGATAAGATTTGGTGGGATTGCTTGGCAAAAAGGAGTCACAAAAAATTAAGGATCTATCGTTTGAGAAAAAGGGAAACTGTAAAGAAAATTGCAACGGCAGACGTCACTTTCAATGACATTGATTTATTTGATAACGATAAGATTTGGTGGGATTGATTGGCAAAAAGGAGTCAAAAAAAATTAAGGATCTATGGTTTGAAAAATGGGAAACTGTAAAGAAGGTTGCAACAGCAGACGTCCTTTTAAATGACATTGATTTATGTGATAACGATAAGATTTGGTGGGATTGATTGGCAAAAAGGAGTCACAAAAAATTAAGGATCTATCGTTTGAAAAATGGGAAACTGTAAAGAAGATTGCAACAGCAGACGTCCTTTTAAATGACATTGATTTATGTGATAACGATAAGATTTGGTAGGATTGATTGGCAAAAAGGAGTCACAAAAAATTAAGGATCTATCGTTTGAAAAATGGGAAACTGTAAAGAAGTTCGTAACTGCAGACGTTATTTTAATGACATTGATTTATGTGATAACGATAGGATTTGGTAGGATTGCTTGGCAAAAAGGAGTCACAACAAATTAAGGATTTATTGTTTGAAAATAAAGGAAAACTGTAAAGAAGATTGCAACAACAACAAAATATGAATAGTAAAGAGATATTGCAAAACTGCAAGGAGAGGCAGCATTTCAAATGGTCAAATTACTTGATTTGATAAGGAAATTATTTATCACAAGCGCTTGACTGAGAAAGTCTAAGGGAAAGCAGCCATTATAGAGCTGAGTGATGAGTGACACCTTTGACATTGAAAGCAGAAAAGCCGTCATTTCAAATGAAAATAAAATAGACATAAAGGAAGATTATTGGTATAAAATAAAAAATATTCTTGGTATAAAAAATAGCCGAAACATTTAGACAAATTAGTCATAAAGTATCTTACAATAAGGGATCTCCAAGCTGCACCAGCTTTAAGAAGTTCAGAATTGCCTCCACAAAATACAAGAAAGAGCAAATTGGGAGACTCATTTTTTTAGATAGGATAAGTTACTCATTCTTTAGAGAAGACTGAGGCACTATTTCTTTGCGGAGTTTCAAATGATCTTGAAATTCCAAAGTGCTTTAAATGATCCAAATATAAAGGACTGTTATGAAAGCATTATTATAAATTGTTTACATGAAACAGAAGAGGCAAGAAAAATTGATTAGAGATACATTTTGTGTCTCTGTAATCAACGATGAAAATTGTTGAATATCGCTAGATTTAGTTTATTGAACAATGTCATAAATAGAATCGAATTGGTTTTAAACTAACCTTTTTATTTTCAATGAATTTATACGACATCTGAGTTTAATGCCGATATAGGTCTTGATTTTTCAGTAATGATACACAATCTTCCGAACAGTATGATCATTCAAATCTAAAACAAAAGAGGAATCTTGAAAGAGATAAGACTTCTTCACGAGGTTCTTTCAGTCACCCATCTGAAAAAATTTTTATGGAAAAAGTTTACAAAAAAAGTTTCACTTGAGGAAGAATTAACTCAATGAATTTCTAGTCAGACATGTGACCGTTAGACAAGAACAAAAACGAGGACGGAGGCTGTTATTTCCGGAAACATTTACACCTTGCATCTTTTTAAAGAATTTTATTGACTTCCCAGAAAAAAACAAAATATTTAAGATTTTTGTCGGCGGGATTTGTAGCAAGGCAGGAAAGAGAAATTCAAGGCAAAAACAGCGTCTTTGGAGAAAGTAAGCAAATCAGTATTAAACGCCACTGAAAAAAGGACAAATTACTATACACACGAAGAATGCTAAAATGTTAATTGTAATACATGTCACAAGGCAAAAAAATCTGCAAAGCCCTAAATTCAAGTGGCAATGATAGCCTTGAAAGATCGAGAGACCTTGCTTTCTTAACAGTTTCCCTTGAAGTGTGCGGTTAAAAGGAAAATAGTATAAACTGTTTTTTATAGTAAACATTACGGCTGGATAGATAAAAGACAGATGAGAAAGTGAAGCAGATAAGATAATATCTTTATTAAAATTAAAAAAATATCAATGGATTCCTCCAACGTGCAGATATTCAATGAAAATATAAGCATCAAAATTGAAATGAGTAATTAAAGACGCGATTCCAAAAGAGCATTTCCAATAAAAAATTAATCACCAAATCCTCCTCATGCAAGGAAAAATCACAAAAAGGGTACAGATTCTTTTAAATAGGATGAAATGAGTGTTGGGAGAAATTTGAAAACGGTTAAGTCTAAATGATATAAAAAACGTCTACGTGGTATATTTTGAATTATATTTTTTCAGTTAATCATAAGAGGCATTATTCACTTTTGCTGATAAAGAACTTTACAACTTGCATCAAAAAATAAGTCAAGATAATTACCTTTAAGAAAATTTAAAGATCACAAAGGTATAAACATAAAGCTTTCCACCAAAGCATTGCTCAGAAGAGACAGAAGAGACAGAAGAGACCAGAAGAGACCAGAAGAGACCAAAAGAGACCAGAAGAGACCAGAAGAGACCAGAAGAGACCTGAAGAGACAGAAGAGACCAGAAAAGACAAAAAATAACCCGAAGAGACCAAAAGAGACAGAAGAGACAGAAGAGACAGAAGAGACAGAAGAGACAGAAGAGACCAAAAGAGACAGAAGAGACAGAAGAGACCAAAAGAGACAGAAGAGACCAGAAGAGACCAGAAGAGACCAAAAGAGACCAGAAGAGACAGAAGAGACCAGAAAAGACAGAGAAGACCAGAAGAGACCAGAAAAGACCAGAAGAGACCAAAAGAAACAGAAGAGACCAAAAGAGACAGAAGAGACAGAAGAGACAGAAGAGACAGAAGAGACAGAAGAGACCAAAAGAGACATAAGGGACAAAAGAAGCAGAAGAGACCAGAAAAGAAAGAAAAGACCAAAAGAGACAAAAGAGACAGAAGAGACCAAAAGAGACCAAAAGAGACAGAAGAGACAGAAGAGGCCAGAAGAGGCCAGAAGAGGCCAGAAGAGACCAAAAGAGACAGAAGAGACAGAAGAGACAGAAGAGACCAAAAGAGACAGAAGATACAGAAGAGACAGAAGAGACCAAAAGAGACAGAAGAGACAGAAGAGACCAGAAAAGACCAGAAGAGACCAGAAGAGACCAAAAGAGACAGAAGAGACCAAAAGAGACAGAAGAGACCTGAAGAGACAGAAGAGACAGAAGAGACAGAAGAGACCAGAGGAGACAAAAGCACTTAAGGATCCGGCAATTTGTTATCGATGATGTATCGGGGGAATGCTGAAACAATTGTTTCTGAAAAGCTATTAAAAAAGTGTTTTCCTTGACTCATATCAATGTATTTAAGTGGTTTCTGTAGGGCATATCGTGCCGCTCTTGCCACGCTAATCTTTTATTCTATCCCTTCAAAGCACAAATTGGATTTTTTCGAATCCTTGGCGATTTTATTGGTCTTTTAGGGGTTTTGGCAATTAATAAAATAGTGGGATTCTTTGCACGTGTCTTCATGATTTTATTAGGATAGATTGGGTTTTTTCTCTTCCCATTTCACAACCTTTCCTTGTCTATTTTCTGCCCAGAATTTAAGTTGCTTGGTCACTTGAGTCGATCAATTTGCATTTAAGGGGCGTTTTCTACGTTGAGCCGTGCCGTGACGAACAAAGTTAATTCTGGTTGATTCGGCACGGCATGACCTTTATAGAACTTCAGCATGGTTGTATAAAACCAAGTCGTACCACTTGCCGTACAAATATGGAACCTCATTTCTTCAGATACTGCACGGTACGATGTGACCTATAAAATGGCCTTTATCATTTAGTGTTTTATAAGGGTTAGGTAGATCGACTTGACGAGGGATGTGGCAATGCCTTCTGAGGATGCTATTCAAATTTTTAAAAGGGCTATCTTTGTTGATGTTTCTTCTCCGACTAAGAAATTATCATCTGAGAGATCATTGAGAATGAGCCAACTAAAAGATTAACAATAGCCTATTGTAGAATTCAACCAATTGGCATTCAATTGACCATCAAAACTTATCGGGACAGAGTGCATTTAAGACACCGTTTACACTGTGCCGGATAAATTTTATCCACATCAAAATTAGGCAGCCTTTCCACTAGCCTGGGTTAAAACATACCCGGGTTAAAAGTTATCCGTTTTAAAGTGAGTCAATGGAAATGACACTTTTCTTCGACCCGTTTTTAATCCGTTTTTGATCGTTCCCACTAAGCCGGGTTAAAATGTATCCAGGGTTAAAAGTTGTAAGAGAAATAAGTATTTGCATCAATAATCCTTCAATTTCTATCGTTATAAGCCAATGGAAGCAACATTGACATCCAGGATTTTGTTTTTTGATTTTTGGCGCCGTCTCAATTTTTAAACGTTGCTGTTGTTTAAACGATAAGCGTTGCAAGTGGATCAAAAGTTATTCGGGTTTGGCGTTTCCATTAACTCGCAGGTGAGTCAAAAAATACCCGGGTAAAAACTGACCCACTTTGAGACCCGTTTTCAAACTTATCCGTTTTTCAAGTGGGTAAGTGGGAACGCAACGCAGAAACAGATAACTTTTAACCCGGATATGTTTCAACCCAGGCTAGTAGAAAGGCTGCCTTAGTTTAGATAGGCGTCGCGTTTACACTAGACCCACGAATTTGAGAGCGGCTATCCAAACAAAATTAGTTCACCTAGGAAAGTGGATTAAATTAGTTTGGATAGCTATGTGGTAAAGTGTAAACGCTTTTATCCGGGTAAATTTTATCCACGTTGTATCTTGCTCGAAAGCGATTGGCTATTTCATCCAATTTAATTTTCACTGTCTCCCAATCAAGACCTTTCGCCATCTTGGCTGCCTTGTTATCGATAAATACTCGTGTTAAAAGTGCAGTATCTTGCCAGACCACGTAAAATTGGCATCCTTGTCAGCTTTTCCTACTTTCGTTGCTAGTTCAGAGTCATTTTGTTTCAAGAACAAACTTTTAAAACAAACTAGGCCTAGTTTGTATTGACAATATATTTGGGTTTGGTCTAAAAGAGAAGCATTTTGGACGTTCTGTGCATGATTTAGGTCATGTGACTGCAGTTATCCGGCAGACCGGCACAGTGTAAACGGGAGGGCAAAGTGGACAATACTTGTGCGGCACAGTGTAAACGCAAATCAATCCGAACAAGTTTTATGCGGATATATTTTATCCGGCACAGTCTAAACGAGGTCTAAGACCCCACTCACACGACAGTGAATCAAATCCGGGTCGGATCTAAAAAAGTACAGATAGACCTTGTGATTACACGGGAACTGGAGAATCCAGACACTTCTGGATCCACCCTCAGAACCCTTTTGGGATCGCTTTCAGATGTGATCCAGTACGGACCAAATCTGGACCGGATCCCTGGTAAACAGTTGGATCTGTTAAAAATCGGATCCATTTACGTTTTTTTCCAAAGCGAGACAGAAAAATTGTCAATTCAAGGTACTTTGAGCATTGATTCCATGGTTTTAAAAATGTATGTATTGTATTGTAAACCAAAAAAATGTATTGTAAACCAAAGTGATTGGTGTAGAAATGCTTTCTAGCCAGGTTTCTAAAGGCAGTTGTTTATATGTCTATTATTGTTTGATAACGTTAGCCCAGTGAATAACTTAACAAAGTTTTCATGAATTGCAACTTAATCCAAAGGTAAAGTCAGAGGAGAAGGAAAAATCAGTATAAACAAGATATCGATCACGATTACTGGTTGAACTGTTTCAGCTTGAACTGTTTCAGCCAATCAGGGCCCTGTATTTGCCACTGAGTTCATGGTCAGAAAATTTGCATGTTGACAGGCGTTAATCCTTTCAACAGGCCCTAATTATATTTGATTCCTTTGATATAATGCACGCATGGTATGCAATTTTATTGCATAGGTAGATTTCACCAGTTCTTCTATGCCTGAGGCCGAGGGGGAAATTCACTCTTTGGAAATCTTGTACAATTTTCTTTAAAATCATATGGTATTATGTGAAAATCTCTGGAAATAATTTTGCTTAAATGGTTAAAATCTCGTACCCAATTTGAAAGAGGAAATTGCCCCTCCCAGTAGCCTGCAGTATGCAAAAGGCTTCAAGCTAAATTTTAGTCGCATAGCATGAAATATTACTAGGTCATTACATCGATGAATATGCAAGAATAGACTTTTATTTTAATTAGGCAACCAGTCTATTTTAATTGTAAGAAATATGCAATTATAATGAAAAATGCTCCAGGAAAAATTAAGAGAAAAATCTTTCACTAAAAAATAAAAAGTGTTGTTGTATATGAATATTCAAAAACTATATTTGAGACATTTTTATTTCTTCATAGAAATCAAATGGGACTTTTACAAAATTGACAACAGAAAGGAGAAAAAGAGAAGAAAAACAGAAAAAAATGAAAAAAAACAAAGAAAAGAAAAGACAGAAAGGAATGAATGAAAGGAGACAAATGCTCTTATGAAGAAAGAGCAGAAAAACAAACGGCACAAAAAGCAGATTTACTGGGCAATAAAGAGGCAAATCAGTTGTAAATTGAAATGAGAAAAGTTTGCATAAGTTTGGAAACATTTTAAAATGGAAACAGAAAAATGGAAAAATGGGAAAAGAAGAGAAATGTAGAGACTAGAGAAGAAAAAAGAAGAAAAGGAGAGGAAAAGAGAAAGGAGACAAAAAGTAAAAAAGAAAAGAAGGAAGGCAAGAATATCAAGAGAATAAGAAATGAGAGCAAAGAAAGAAGAAAAAAACAGTAAGAACAGAAAGAAGAAATAGGAGAAAAGAGAGGAAAGGAGAAAAGGGAGAGAGAAAAAAAAATGGAAAGAAAGAAGAAAAAGTAGTGGAAAGAGAGGAAGGAGAAAAAGGAGGAAAGAGAAAAGGCAAAAGACAACAAGTGAAAAGAAATGAGAGAAATGATAACCAAAAAATTAGAGGGACAGACAGAAGAGAAAGAGAAGCATGGAGGGAATGAGAAGAAAGGAAAAGACAAAGAAAGGAGAGAAAGATGAAAAAGTAGCAAAAAAGAGGACCAAGAAAAGCAAGAAAGGAGAAAAAAGACGATAAAGGATAAGAAAAGGAGAGAAAGGACAAATGAAAAAAGGGACAGAAAAGAAAGAAAGAAAAATAAAGAAGAGAAAAAACTAGAAACGAGAGTAAGAAGAAAAATTAGCAAAAAGAGAGGACAAAAAGGAGAAAAAGAAAAGACTGGATAGAAAATAGAGGTAGGAGAGAAGCAACAGAAGGAGGGTAAAATCAAGAAATAAGAAATGAAAAAACAGAAGATAAAACAGGTAAAGGAGAGGAATGAGAGTAAGGCAAAAAAGAGAGAAAAGACAGAAAGAAAGAAAGGAGATAAATGGAGAAAAGAGATAAAGGAAAGAAGTGAAAAGATATGGAGAAAAGAGAAGAATGAAAGAAAAAAAGAAAGGAGAAGAAAATCAAAGAAAAAATAACAAAAAAAGAGACGAAAAGAAAAGGAAAGAAAAGATACTTAGGAGAACGGAGAGCATCTAAAATTTACAACAGTTCAGCTGAAAAGTTTACAATCAATTTTTAACAAGTGAGAAATTTTTAAATGGGGTCTCTGTAAGAAAGTGGTGGTTATCAGAAAATTTTTCAAGAGCAGTCAGTACTCAAAGCAAAAAAAAATAAGAAACAATTAAATTTTTAAAAATGTTTAAAGAGAGCAATTGAAACTCGTGAAAGTTTATCAATATAAAACATTGGTTAGAATGACATTAAACTTGAGACTTTTGGTAAAACATTGCCACAAGCATTTTTTAAACAATTGAAATATTGACAGTGACAAGTTTCACTGCTTGTGGCTTCAAAAACCCTCGATAACCTAGAAAGGTTCTGCTGAAAAATTTATGCTTAAGATATTAAGAGTATTAAAAACTTGTGATGTTGTAAATGGAAAACCACCTGCTGGGTTGACTAAGATAAAAGTGAACTGCTTTGATATGTTATTGCTTAACCGTTTAAATGGAGTAGCCATAAGGAGACTTTTACCTGGTGCTTCAAAGTTGTTAACGACAGTTTTTCAGAGGTCTAAAGTTGAGTGTTTTGAAAAGCAGACACGTTGTTTTTATATCTCGTTTGATTAGACCCATGTTTAGGAAAACAAAACAATTTGGTGCAGTCGACATCAGGATAAGCTTGCTGTGGATAAAATATTCGTGATGGCTTGATTTGGTGACGACATTCTCAGCAACTGAAATCTCGAGTTAGAGCAAGAGATAAACCATTTGATGTGATGAAGATGGTTGTGGTGTGAGGTGTGATGAACATGTTTAGGTAAGCAAGATAGATGAAAATTGAGTTCTCAAACTTTATGAAAAAGCTTGCTAGAGATTCCTGAAATTTTCTTAACTTTTCTCCCGTCCAAAGACCAAATTTTCAATCAAGAATTTCTTATAATAACACCAGATTTCTGTAATAATACCTTGATTTAAGGATTTGTTTGCAGTCGAAATCGGTTTATCCACGTGGTCGCCAGCAGGCTGCTGCCATTTTTATTCGCCACTTAGCAACAAGGTAACGGAAACGAGATTTCAACAAGAATTGCGCGGCAAAGTTGGCGAATTACAATCTTCAATCTTCAATAGTTAACTCCTAAAGGCTTTACAACCAATCTGGAGTATAAAAAAAAAAAAAAAATTTTTAAATTTTGGAAAAGGAAAATTAACTTAGGAGTAGGATTAATACCATTTCCACCCAGCGCTCCAGCTTGTTAATTTCTACAAAATGTTGCATTTGGTTTTGGTTCAACAAATCCAAGCAAAGGTTGCCTATTGCCAGAGTGGAAGCGGTGTTAATCATAAACTAGGGATAACAAAGGCTAACAAAAGAGTAAAAATTGTCTCGAATAAGTCTATACTAGGGTCCATGTGTTGGTGGAGGCCACCTTTACCCACTGGCGTGGACACAACCATTCTGTCACTGATACTTTGAATTCTTCTTCTCTCACGCAATTCATAATTACCTGCAATGATTGATTACCTGACACAGCAGGAATTATCTAGTTTCCATACTGCTCTGCTCGTCCTGATAGTCATATGATTAATAGTCATAAATTGTTTCAATATTAATAATTTCAAGTAAAGGGTTAAAGTGAGGTAGGGTTAGGGTCAGCGATTCTCTGTTGTCCGTATTAATCTTTTCTTTAAAAGAGAAGAAATGTCCCCATTGCGATTCTCTGTTGTGAAAACTGCGAAACAAGTAAAAATATGACGGAGTAATGCGATTTGTGGCTGAGCAATATTCTCATGATATTCTTAAGAACTGGATGATTCTTGAATATTCTTATAAACAATATTCTTAAAAAAATGCATTATAAACAAACACAGCAAAGCCGGAAAATACACAATCAAACACCTGATGGATGCAAAACACACTTTGAGCGAGCTTTGTCTGTACAATTGAATGAGACTGGCGATTCATATCTCTACAATTTGCAGTTATAAAAATATTCAAAATTGAAAAGTTTCTAAGAGATTTTGTCTTTAACAGAATAAGTTCATTAACTTATTCGTTCCTCGAAATGTAAATCCCTTATAAAGTCGCTCCTTATAAATAAAAGATGTTATCCATCCAAATATAGTGTCATTAAAAGTACTAATGATTACCTATAAATAGCTTCTAAAGAGCTGAAAAAGTCCCAACAAGCAAAAATTATCGATTACTGTTTTACGTCGTTTGCCCCTCAACACCTATCATAAATCGCTTGGTGGTGCCATGACCCACTACAGACTTCATATTCTTTTGCTCTATTGAACTCCCCTCCCAAATAATTGAAATGACAGATTAACGGTCTTAAAAGTTTGTATTTACGAAGAACGCAATCCTCTTTTTAAAGCTGATATATCCCCCCTCCCCCTAGAATTGTTGCGAATTGTAACAAATTTTTTCGCGCAGTAAATTTTTGGACAGGTCCATATTTTGGAAAAATTATTTTCGCACAAATTTTCATAACAATGGGTGGTACGGACAAAAAGTGGCAGTGGTTGCGAGGTAAAAAGTCAAGTGAAAATTTAAAACGAGGTCGTATGGCAAGTTGAAGGTGGAGGAAGTGCGAAGTGCGCATGTCAATAAAGTGGCTGATTTCGGAAAATGGAAGAACAGCAAGAAACCGGAGACGAAAAGGATGGATCTAATCGAGAAGTTCTGGCTGGACTTTTGGCTGCGTCAGGTGGTTATTTGTTGTTTCTGATGCAAAGAAATTTAATGAGCGAAATTTGATATCTAATCTTCCTGCATTCTTATTCGAAGAGTGTTTCATTACTCAAGGTGGCTATGGAATTGCATTATTTATTTCACCAAAGAAGAATAACTGTTACAGTTGATTCTTTGCTCACATGAAGCTCAGAGCAGTCTAGCTCTACAAATAAAGTACGTCGGTAGCACATCCGTCATCGATCGTACTACATATCATGGCCAGACTTGCAGGTATGGCAAGTGCACACACTCAAGATATTTTTCCTAAAATGTCCCTGCACACCTGGTAAAGGGTCTGGCATTTTGAAATATAGGCGTGGCTTGGGTGTGTCCTACTGCTTAGGGCAAATGAGGAATTTAGGTTTTTTCTAGATCGAAATAATCTTGCGTTAGTTTGATAACAAAATAACTCTCATTCATGTACATTTTCTTTATTCACTCGTATATTCCCTTTTCAATCAATTTTCTTGGGATCTAACATATTGGTGTGTACTGTTGTGTACAATTGAAGTGTACACTTTACTAAAGTGCATGACATGGCTGTGTCCTATTGCTTAGGGCAAATAAGATTAGCATTTTTCCTCAAGATCATAATCTTGCATTGGTTTGGTAGATACAAAACAACTATCAATTTTCCATTTTCTTATCTTTGTCGATGTTGTGCGTACTACACTTATGTGACAAAATATTAGGATGATGAAAGAAAAAATGGCGTCTCCATAGATAGCATTCCAACACTGCTGTTAAAAGTTGGCTTTTTTGACAGGATTATTGAAATGGTGTGCGCAAAAATACTAGTTCTAGCAACACCAATGTGTTTTCTACTTTTTTCATATATATATTTAATAAAACTCATAAGGAATTTGAAAATATCATTATTTTTATTACAATGACGAAAACAAGAGAGTATTTCAAAAGTCAACGTGAGGCAGGTAAATTATTACGTGAAGCTAGTCATTCGTTTACTGAAATCTCAAAAGAAGTAGGTTGCAGTAAGTCAACAGCATGTTATATTTATAGGAAATACAAAAACACTGGCTCAACCAAAGCTCAAACAAGAACAGGCCATCCAAGGAAAATTTCTAATAGGGGGAAAGAATCATATGCAAAGAGTCAAGGAAGCAAAGATTCAAAGGTTGGGTCAGCTTAAGGCTAACTTAGGTAACTTGTTTGTGAAAGAAAGTGTTTCCCAATGTCTTGTTGCAAGAATACTTAAAAAATATGGGATCAAAAGCTGCATAAGAAAAAGAAAACGGTATGTGTCACCAAAAAACAAAAGTTACTGTCTCTGTTGGTCCAAGGCAATGCTGGAATGACCCCTCCGTTATTTGGGCAATGTATTTTTTGCAGGTTTTTTAAGGGTTTGGTGAACAACAAAAGAGGCCAATAATCTCATGTTTAACAACCCACATTTACCAACTCTGTTTCAATCATGGTGTGGGGTTGTATTGGGCCTAATGGCGTTGGTAAGCTGGCTTTGTGCCAGAGGTCCCTCAAAGTTGATTATTACATCCAAATATTGGAAGAAACCTTCAAGCTAGTGCAGAAAGAAATTTATGGTGATTCCAAAAGACCATTTATCTTTCAGCAGGACAATGCTTCTTGCCATTCTGCCATTGCAACAAAAAAATTACTTCCATGGTAACAGTATCATGGTCTTGCCAAACAAAGTCCAAACCTTAACATCATTGAAAACATCTGGTTATTTATGAAAAATTCTTTAAATCACAATCCTCTGACAACAAAAAATGAGCTCGTGGAAAAAGTTATTTAATATTGGTATACATATTCCAAGGAGTTACATTGCAAAGTTGTATCAATCCATCCCACAAAGAATGGCGGCTGTTTTGAAATCAAAAGGTTACCCAACAAAATATTGAAAAAAATGTGTTCTAGTAGACAGAAACAGTTGATATTGTTATAATTTGATTAATTTATGTTTGTTTTTACTATTGGATCAAATCCCAATCAGAAATGTTACCTGTCAATCTTGTTATGGTTCACTGATTTTCTTTGTTGTTTTTTTCAGGCATCAGGTATCCAACTCTTTGTTACTAGGCCATCGCCCTTAAACTTTTGTCACCTAAGTGTATATACACAATAATTGAAGTGCACTCTTATACCAAAGTGCACACTTTAAATTTTGCTCTTGCACACCCCAGATCTTGTTGTGCTGTACTCTGCAGTCCAGCCCACTTGCATTGGCCAGCTTGACATTTCCACAAGCGCACTTGGGTTATACAATAATTTTGGTTTAGGTTATGGGGTAACCCAAGTCTTAATAGATAGACCAGAGCTGCTATTGCTATGTTTTTAGTCTAATTTTTGTAAAACCTATTTTTCATTCAGCTTAGCTCTTATACCATATTCATTCCATTTCAATATCTTCATGTGAACTATGTAGCACACTTTCTGCCTGCACCTGAAAGTCTCTAGTGCACAAGATTTTGCCAAAAGTGCCACATTTTCCAGTCTACAACTTACCTAAAACAAACCTGGAAATCATCTCAACCAAAATCCCACGCATGCCCAGTCATTTTAGGCATTCTATTCTGCAGCATTTTCCTTATCACATGGCATGGAGCACTTCACTGAAACCTTGTGCAGACATCTAACATACCCTGCAGACTAACTGCCTAGTAGATTTTCATCTAAAGACATAATTTTCATACCTTCCGAAAAAAGATTTTGATGTGCAGTTCTTCCTATCGCATTCCTTGCTACATTCCTAGCTTACTTGGATGGAATATTATAACTGCAATGGGCATTGATATGTTTCTGCAAGGATTTTTTATGCAGGGGCAGACAGTTGGTAAAATATTGGGGGGGAGCAAGCCTATTGTTTTGATAAGATGACATCACATTTCTCCATTTTTCAGAACAAAAGACCATGATTGTCCTCCAAAATATTTGGGGGGTGACTACCCCCCTCCCCGACCCCCCAGGTGTCTGCCACTGTTCTTATGCTTGCACCTGGCATATTTTACACCACTAAGCCTACACCCTGGATATTTTGGTTACTATGTTACTATAATATTTTTGTTACATGACCGATGATGTCAAACAGTGTGTGAGCATTGTAGCTTGGAGTTCAATTGTCTTTGCTCTCAGGTCAAAGCTGATAGCTGCTCTCAGCTTGACTGCCAAAATTATATGTTACTGTATTTTGCCATGTATAATATCCATTCTTTAATAAATTGCATTATTAATTTCATGTTAATATTCTATAAAGAAAATAGTTGTTACAGTGTCTTACCATTTATACAAAGCAACCCTTTTTACAGTACTTTTTAAACATGTATATTTATGTGAAAAGTAAAGTAAGCTAAAGAACACAGATAAAATTAACTTTCTGGTGCAAAATTTGTTCTAACCCAATGTGTACTGTTACCTTTGATATAATGAAAAAGAAATTATATGTAGGTTTTAACTTCCTAAATCTCCTAAATTCAATGAAAAGTTCCTTAAAGTCTTTTTCAGTTATCATCAATAACTTTTTCTCATCAGTCCTCACAAATTTCAGGAACAAGGTTTCCCATGATAAGCCCACTTTGACTTGGAGCACTTTGTTAAAACACCCATTGCTTTTCGCCACCTTTGAATGTTTACTTGGTAAATTCCAAATTTTATTCTGGCTTCTTGATTTCTATGTACAAAAGCCTTATACCGTAAAAGCTCTATTAAGCCCCTGGGGGGCTTATTTATTTTTTCAGTCCTAGAAGGGCCTATTCAAAATTTGAAGTAAAAAAAGTTTTAAAAATGCCTTTTTCTATTTTTTTGTTATAAAAATGTCATACAAATGTTCTCAGAAAACTTTGCTAGCAGCTGTGAAAGTCTAATTAATCAATTATAAAGTCCTTATCTTCATCAGAATCACCAAGGATCAATTGATCACCCTGGGACTTCTTCTAAACAAATTTAGACTGACTTTATAGGCACACAAGTAAGTTTTTACATGGGCCGTATTTAATGTACTCAATCTTATTATCATCACACCCCCTTAAGTGACCACTGAATGCGCATGTTTTTCTTGTTTGATGACGAAGGCTAAAGCGGGGAGAGGGCTTAATAGAGGATGGGGTCTTATTTCAAGTTTTTGCTTGATAAGAAGGGCCTCAATAGAGAGGGGGGCTTGATAGGGAGAGGGGCTTAATAGAGCTTTTACAGTATTTGATCTATGAAGAAGGAAAATAACTTTGCTGAAGATCTTTGAACCTCATTGCACACTCTTCAATAACATGTTTATTAAATGGTGTTGTGTTTATTCCATTATTATTTTTTATTTTCATAACCAAGAGACCTTTCCTTGTTAAATATGAAATTGTACTTTGTGACTTCTTTATTGTCTTTGCTTTTTAATGCATTATGATCTACTATCTATTTTTTGGCTGAAAATGATTTATGGGAAGTTTGAAAACTCTTGGGGGATTTAAAGTAGGGGAAATATGAAAAGTATATAAGACAATGACTGCTTTGCAAAGTAGAATGAACTTTAAACTTTGTCTTTTAATAAATGAGTACCTAGCCAATAATCTGTAACTGAGTTGACATTGTTTGTTCGACATGTCATTGCTGGATGAACAGAGGTACAGAGCAGTTGACACATTTATAAGCAGTTGAAACATTAGTGAGCAATTGAAACAATGTTCTTTCTGTTTCTCTTAGTTTCATGCAATCAAAATCTGTCAAACTCTGAACTGAGAATAAACGCTAAATATTTGATGGAAAAGAAATCCTCACCAGCTGAAATTAGGCTCTTGCAACTGCAGTTGTTGTTTTATAAAGAGCCACCCCTATGTAATTGTTTATTGATACTATGCCTTTTCAATTTAAAAAATAGGCAGCATCTGCTTGCTTGTAAATGTGTGCTGGTATTGTTAAATTCTAGATTGGCATTTAAAGAAAATGGGCGCAATTGGTTTTCTCTTCTTAGTTTTGACTCGCTTTTGAATTGCTGTTGAAAACCCAGATGCCTCTGTGAATTTATATGCTAAACATGAAACGTGTTGAAGCTTGGTACGGGGAAAAGTTGGGGAAACCACACAGTCAAAATAAGCATTTGCGAGATTAACTATATTGTAGTGTGATTTTGTCTTCGAGGAAATTTGACTCAGTAAAAGGACGCCCATGTACCTTTTTGCATTTGACATTATTGGCAAACGATATTTATGAAAAAATTGTCATTTATTAGTCAATGCAGCATGATTTAGGGATTTTCTATCAGGTTTCAAGTCGTTACTGTGAAACTAAAAAATTTCTACAAAATATTTGTCATCCTTATTATTTTCGAAATATTTGTCATCCTAATTATTTTCAATCTTACCTCAAACAGGACGGGCACAGTCATTTGACTCACTAGATTCGTTGGATGTTGACTACACTTCAAAAAATGATAGAGGCTCCTTCAAGTTTGACGGTACTGTAGATTCTAACGAATTTGACCTTCCTGAAATCGACGAAGATAATCTTCCTAGCCTTGAAGATATCCTTAAGGAACCTGATGATGCGTTCTCGGTCGATAGCCTTCTTCTGTCACCAGTTAGCACCTTTGCAGGTCTTCCCAATCTCGCCAAACACAAAGGGCTGATTGCCAACGGTTCTGTGCTGCGCCACGTCATACTGAAGAAGATTTCTGGGCAGCTGGTGGATGCATGTGCGAGACGAGATGCTGGTTTACCAACAGCAATGGCTGTCTCAATGTTGATTGCCATTGGCACTTCACATGGTCTTGTTCTAGTTTTCGAGCCTCGCGACCAGGCATTGAAACTGATATTAGGTAACACTTCAGATGGGGCAAACTATGGTGCTGTCACAGCGTTAGGTATCAACAGAGAGTGCTCAAGGCTTCTGTGCGGGTATGCAAAGGGGCAAATAACAATGTGGGATTTAAGTAATGGCAACTGTTTGCGTGTAATCACGGATGCACACCCTCCAGGCTATGCTGTACTTCATTTGCAGTTTACCGATGATTCCACCATTGCAATGTGTAGCGATAGCAGTGGCTCTGTTTACAGCCTTAGCTTTAGGAGGCTAATTACCAGAAGCTGTGAATCCACATGCTTTTTTTCGGGCAGTAAAGGAGAAGTGTGTATCATGGCCCCTTTACACCTGCACATTGGTATGCGGGACAGTCAGCTTCACGATTCTTCAATACTTGCAATGGCGTCTCTCACCAAGGTCATTGTTGTCAACCTTAAGCCGTTTCCTAAAGCAATATTTACCAAGAAGCTTCCTGGTGGCCGTAATACATTGCCTTTACTAGGCTGGCAATTCGCTGTTATTCAAAAAGAGGAGAATTCAAAGTATCTCTGTCCAGTTCTGGCATTTGCAAGGGATAAAGTTATCCACTTTTACCAGATTTGGAAATATGGTGAAGAGTTTAAGTTTGTACCATTCCAGACAATAGAGACAGAATACAGTCTTGTTTCGCTACACTGGATGAACCCAAAGATAATTGTGATTATTGATTCCCTTGAGAGAATTAGGACAATAGACGTAAAAACTAAAGAAGAACTTGAGTGCCTGGATCTCAGCATCGTGCAACTTGTGTATGGCAGCAGTTATTTTAAGTCACTAGCAACTGGCGGTAACGTAAGCAAGGCGCTGAATGCTGCTAGTGAGTATGCCTGTTATCACTCAGTCCAAGTTTTCAATGGTCAGCTTCTCCTTCTTGGCACAAAATCGATCCATTGTCTGACAATAAGGTCATGGAGAGACAGAATCGACTATTTTGTTAAACAGAATCTCTTTCTAGAAGCATTGCAATTGGCGCTTTCCTTTTATGAGGAACGTGCCAAAGCTGTGGTCAATCTTGCTGGTAGTCGACAAAAGAGAAAGATCTTTATTGCACAAGAAATAGCTGAAGTCTTACAATCTTATGTAGAAATTTCTTTCACTGTTAACTGCCCAAAAACTCACAAGGAAGAAATGTTGGCAGAGTACTTTAGCAGCCTAGTGCCTACATGTGTTGAGTACTGTGTTGCCACCGGAAATCTGGATTTACTTTTTGGTGAGATTTATGACCGTTTCTCTGAGGAACCCATTTCAAAAAAGGTGTTTCTCGAGGGCCTTGAGCCATACATTCTTGATGATAGGATTGCAACTTTAACACCAGTTGTCATGCAAGATTTTGTAAAACACTTTGAGGCAACTAGACAACTACGAAAACTTGAAGCATGTCTTGTGCACCTCGATGTCACTGCAGTTGATCTTCATCACATGGTGAAGATGTGCTGGACGCATTCCCTATATGACCTTGCAATTTATGTGTACAACAAGGGAATGAATGACTTTCTTTCACCAATGGAAGAAATGCTAAATATCCTAAGAAGTCTTTTGAAAAGTAAGCGAGAGTTAACTTATGAAGAATCTGCTGTTGGTTATAAGCTTCTTGTTTATATAAGTTGCTGCTTAACTGGGAGGCAATACCCACGAGGTCTCATCGATGAGGACAAAGTGTCCCGTGTTAAATGCGAGGTCTATGAGTTTTTAGTGGCAAAACGAAGCAAAGACATTGGACTTGATGATCAGTCCTACCCAAGTCTTCATGTGCTCTTGGAATTTGATACAAGAGAGTTCCTCAATGTCATGTCTATTGCTTTCGAGGAGCCAGAATTCGAAGTAGATCATTCTTCTTTTGGGCAGGTTTCAAAGCGACAGAAAGTAGTGGATATTTTGCTTCAGTTAATGGTGACCAATACCTTATTCACTCCAACACAAGTTGGATGGCTTTTTACTTTCATCGCTAGACAAATGGCAAAGTTTGAAGGGAGTATACGAGTAAACAAACTGTTGTTTGAGCAAGTATTAGAGTATCTCACTAACCCAGATGATGACAGTCGACACGAGGAAAGACAGCAAGCTTTGTTAGAGCTTCTTTCAGCAGGAGGATTGCACCAGTTTGATGATAGCCGCATAATCAAGCTAGCAGAAGCAGCAAAGTTCTTTCAAGTTTGTGAATTATTGTATGAGAAGAATCATCAATATGCACAGGTGTTGTCTTGCTACTTGCGAGACCCGGCCAGAAAGCATCAGAGTTTTTCTTACATCGTTGAGATGATGTCGGCAGACTCTTTTACTGATTTAGAGAGAGGTGTGATGCAGAATGCTGTTTTGGCGGCGCTTGATCAGCTCGTTGAAATTGATAGCCAGAAGATGGCTTTGTTGATAATTGAATACTTCTCTGACTGCTTGAGTCATGTTGTCGGGAAGTTGGAGTATAACTCTGAGGCCCAATATGAATTTCTAAAAGGAGTATTTATGAAGAGAGAGTCAAGCAAACAAAGGCCCCGTGGAGATTTATTCAACCCAGATGCTTCAACTCACGAGCAGTTTATACAGTTGATGTGCCGATATGATCCCCAAAATGTCTACCCATATCTGAGAGAAACGGACAATTACCGACTAGAGCAAACCCTAGCTATTGTGCGAAAAATGAAGGTCGTAGATGCAACTGCGTATTTGTTAGAAAGGACTGGGGACGTAAAAGGTGCCTTTAATTTGCTTTTAGACAACCTAAAAGACAAAGTGCAAGATTTTAGTGAATCTTTTGCGGTAGACGATGATCCATTATCAAGCAAGGAAGGGAGAGAGAAGCGAAGGTCATTAAAAAATGCCCTGATGCTTGTTATCCACGTATGCCAGCGAAATTCCTCTAGACTTGACGCTGAAGAGAGAGAAGCATTGTGGTTTCCACTTCTGGAGACAATAATGGCTCCGCAAAGGAGAGTCAAAGATGTTACTTCAATTCATTTTGTAGCATTTAAGGAACTAACAAAGCAAGTTTTGAGCAGCATGATGGGGCATATTGCATTACCTGCTGTTTTAAAAAAGATCATGCAAGATTCTGCATATAATTCTGGAAAATTTGGAGAAATAAAAGAATTGATCCTTGGAATGTTAGACACGTACAACTACGAGCTTACTCTTTTGCAAACAACAAAATCATTACTGGGCAAGGATCTGCACCACCAATATTGTACACAAAAGAATTTTCTATCCCGTGGTTATTCTCATGAATATTTGACATGCAACGTCTGTTATGAAACGTTTGGAAAGCGCACAACGCCGGATAGTGTGAGTGACGTCATTGTGTTTAGATGCAATCATGCCTTTCACAAGCAATGCCTTGAAGGGTCGGTTGGTTATGGGAATGACATGAAGTGCATTCTTTGCAATAAGACCACCTCAATCGGATCTGTGTATAGTGGGAGTAGCGCAGAATCTTCTTCAAGTGCGGGTAAGACTGACGAAAACCCAACAAAGCCTAAGCATAAAAAGGGCGAGAAAAAGACATTGTTCACTCCCCAGCAAGAACTAGCATTGCAAAATCTTGCTAAACACAACAATGAGTCGCCAAGGCTTCGTGTATTAAGTGACTTGCGACCTACTGATGATATGTGGGTTAATAGTCAGCGCTTGATTTTTGCAAGGCCAGGTTCGGTCATTGGAGCTTCTGAAGATATCACATTGGGCGGAAAAGAATTCAAACTTAGACTTGCTCCCGGCAGAATGTAGTTTCTACCAATTCTGTCAAATCCTATGTTCTGTACAATCGACTTTTCTTCTATGTTGATGTGATTAATGAATGCTTAAATTGTCGTGTAATTAAAATCATTTTTTGACAATTATTTTGTTTTGTACATCGATATTCTTCCAATCTTAGAAATGCCATTCAACTTACGTTTGACTGCAGGCTGATCTGTGGATTCGTTGCTATCTTTTTATTAAGAGTAGCCAGAAAAAGTTAAATTTTCGGGGTTGTTGATATCCTATCAAGATGTGTATTTTCGTATAGCAATTTAAACAAGTTTATATTGTTCCCTGTTACTCCCTGCTTTATTTGCCATATAAGTTTATATGTTTCAAAGTTCAAGGATAGTTAAACGTAGTGATTTGGCACTGTCCCTGTCTGACTGCTACACTTGTAGAAATAGTTTTTAACACCGCTATAGTAGTATCCACATTTTCTATCCGTTTAGAAATATGAGCCCCTTTTCTTTGGGAACCCGTAATTAACCTTGTTGACGAATGCAAGTCTTCTAATTGCAATAATGTTGTCTTACCCAACTATAGAATTTGCTAAATATGTCTTCAGTTATAGTAGACCATGATTTTTAGTTTTGGTAGTTATTCGATTGTCATAGATAAAAATTACTGCGATATTTACTTTTCGTAGTCGTTTTTGCGTACCTGATTATGTAGCAAATCGAAATTATCGGTAAATGAGAAGGGTTTCTACAAAGTATCGAAGACTGTATTACAATAAAGTTATTTTAGTCGGTGATGTTTGTTTGTATGGTGATGCTTTGATGAGTGGTGGGAGTTATAGGGGTAGGAGATCTCCCCCCTCCCCAAATTCCTAGAGTCGGGTACTCTTACCTTAAAAGATTTCACTGGGTCTACCAAAAAAGACATTAATAATCTCATTCCCAGCAGCGGTTTAGTGTATTGTTTGTATGCTGGTTTAATAGTATTGTGTCCAAGTACCAGGTAATTTCTTTGGGTTAATTGTTTGCTCACAAATTTCAAAATTTCAAAATAGAATTTTAAAAGAAGATAAGTTCCCCATATGTGCTGAAATCTCAACCTGCTTGTGCTAACGGTGGAACGATTGCCGTGACTGAATTTCTATTACTCTCATTTCCATCATATTACTTCAAAATATAAAACTCATAGGGTAACTTTTTAAATCAATAATATCCTAAAAAATTCTATTAAAAAGGTTCAATATAACCTGTTAGTTTACCGGCTGGTATTACTAGATTGCATGCCAAAATCAGGTTTAAAGCTATTATAAAAAGGTGCAGCATGGCCTTTATATGCCAATTATTTATTTGGACCAGTTTGCGCTTACTTTATGATGAGCTTCATCTTCGAGAAAAGCTGTTTCTTAATATAAGTCCTTCTGGAGGTTTTGACCCTTTGCAACTGGGAATACATCAAAACAAGTTTCAGCGAGTTATCATTTTGTGAGACCAAATAATTTTATTATTTTCAATCCTGACGGAACAAGGGCGACAATAAATTGGCATGCGGTCCGTAGGGTGCCCACCTCTACCCTAGGCACTTGCCAAATCTGGGTCAAAAGACGCTACCCTAGATTGGGAATAAATTTCTTGATTTTATAGGGCATTACAATTGATTCGTATTGCAAAGATAAGTTTCACGGGAATTTTCGTTGCGCAATACGGATATGCCATACAACGACAAAGAAAGGTATTATGCATTACTGCATAGTTATAATATCCTGAAAATAATCACATTTCAATAAGAAGGTTTTTATGTGAAATTTCAAGTAGGTGGGAGAGGCCCAAATTCCTTGGGTTATGGCCCCGGCTCCCCATCGATAGAGACCCCGACATAAATCGTTCGTCATCGTTACCATTTAAAAACTATTTCGCTTGCTATTGCATAATCCTAGAATATTTCGAGCGTCGCCCTGTAGTATCTTTTGGCCAATTTGGGGATGAATAGGAATTACATTTTTCTAGAAAAATGCTTTTCTATTATTTTTATTTTGATAGGGCGGGGGGAGTAGAATTTTCCTAAGCCTCTCCCCAGACCTCTTCCTCGAATCGTCATCGTAGTCCGTGTCATCAGTTTACGGTCACGGGAAGGGATGGTTTACTAATTCAGTGTTGCAAATGGTATTGTATCAATAGTCTAAAGAAAATTGCAGGAAAGTGGAGTTGCAGGGATTATTCGTTCGCAGCAGAATCTCCGTTTGCAATCGTCTTGCTAAATCAAAACCTGTATTGGCCTAATCTTTGCCCTTCAACTTGGTGTTTTAGAGCTCTTGAAATCTTGATATAAAAACAGGTTAGTGTGACCAGCCTCTGAGTTCATTTTCCTTAACTTTTTCATCGTACAGTTCCTATTGTACAGCTCTTAGATTTCATCAGCTTCTGAATGGATGAGCTGCTCACGCAAAGTTGAAGAGTTTTCATCAGCCTACTTTTTGGCCTAATCTAACCCAAACATAGGAAGTTGAGGACATAGGAGGCAGTACATTTTTGCATTTTGAAAATAAAAGCTAAAAATATTCAAAAACTCCTACTTTAGATACCATTATATCATCCTATGATACTATTAGAATGGTAAGTGTCCAAAGTAGCAGTATTTCGTTGACAGTATTGTTTTCTAAGAACTATTTTCGTTCCTTGAAATCTGAGACGGGGTTTTTAGACTGAAGGATACAAAAATTTGAAAAGTTTCTTTGTTGTGAGCAATATGTTGTGAAATGTTTGCTTTTTCAAAGCCATTTTCAAATTTTGATTTGGTAAATGTGCAGAAAATTACCATCTTTTTGCAATTTCTAAATCATTTACAGTTTTCGTTATTGATTTTTAGCATTAAGGTTCCTAGATTATATTGAAGGTGTAGCCAATAGATTTCCACTGCTGTGATACCCAGATACCCACTGCTGTGAAATTGCCAAAAGTAGACTCTTGTCCTTGGTTTTGTATTATATTCATTACATTCATTATTAATTCGATATGATCAACACTGTAAAAAGGGTTGTTGGTTTGCTCTATTATTTTGATTTGTTTATTATTGAAGTTCAAGAAATACCCTCTGCCATTCACCATATCAGTTTTAGCCATTTTATGTAAATCCTTGCACATTGTCCTTTGAGAAGCAAACTGCACAACCATTGCACTTTTTGAAGTAACCAGTGATCTTCTGCTTCCTTGGGACCTCATCATTGCACCTTGTTATTTGGTTTTTTCGTGTAATTCATTGTCACATAGATGCACAACATTTAAAAACACAACACTTATAGTTTACTTTCTCTTATTCTATATATAAATAGTTTTAATTTTTTTTAACATCTAGAGTTAAAGAAAGATTATCAAAATGGCAGCTGGTCCATATAATTACTCATACATTTTCAAGTACATTATAATTGGTGAGTACAATCTAACAAAATTGGCAAGCTTGTGATCAACCTTTACATTGTATTTTGTAGTTTCTCATAATTTTTGACCATTATGATGGCTGGTTTGAATTATTTTTGCCCAACACTCAACTCCTAGCCATCAGTTACTTAAACTATAAATGAACTATAGATTGCATATACTTTTGAATAAGCTATTTAAAATTTATTTTGATGATCCATATGTAACAAGAATCTAATGAGAAACTTCCAATGAGCAAATGTTTGAAAAGTGATGCAAATTTGCCTTAGGTTTTTTTTTTATGCAATGGTGTTTCACCACAATTTAAAGACACATAGAAAGGCATTATTTTATTAAAAATGTGCATGTTTTTTAATTACATGCAATTGTTGAGTGATTAACAGTGACTCACCTGTCGAAAACAAATGAGCTTGCCTGCAAATTTGAGTTTTGACAACAAAATGATAATTTATCTTACCAGGTGATATGGGTGTTGGCAAATCCTGCCTCCTACATCAATTTACAGAAAAAAAATGTAAGTAAAACAAACTTTGTATTCTGAAGGTGATCTACATAGATTACAGATTGTTGAACCATTAATTCATGCAACTACACTTATTAGTGGGGTTTTTGTTATATATTTACTGTCACTGATTTTGAAATTTCTTCCTAGTCATGGCAGATTGCCCACATACAATTGGGGTTGAATTTGGGACTAGAATTGTTGAAGTTGCTGGACAAAAGATAAAGTTGCAGATTTGGGACACTGCTGGTCAAGAAAGATTTAGGTTTGTAATCATGTGTTTGAAATGTTTGAAATCTGCATTAATAGCATATTCAAAGCTCAGAGTTCCAGAATTTGAATTTACAAACACAATAAGGAAAAAGGCTATCTTGTTGGACATTTGCTGAGAGAATTATCATTTCTTCTGTGTAAATTTTTCAAGAGTGAGAAGAACTATGAATTGTCATTTTAACCCACTGGGCAATATTGGCTAGAGGATGGATTATTAGTGCCAGGAAAATATATCGCTAAAGGACCCCAAAAGAATCTTCAAGTACTGAAAATTGAGTTTAACCAAATTAGCTGATAGCTTAAATTATATGAAACTAGAAATTGCAAGGACGGGAATAAACTAGCATATTATGTATTCAAGATGCAAATTTTGTAAGAATGAATCAGTCAAATATACCCAATCTGCCTCAAATTGAGCTCAGTTGCTCCAAAAGTCCTAATGAGAATGATATAGGGTATAGAGAAATGACCTTCATTATCAATGTTTTCTCAAAGAGTTGTCCTCAATTTGTGCATTACCACTTAGCACATTGTTTTTCATTGGTTTTTCTGACTGTATCTGAAGCCAATATGAAGATTTTGATTCACAACTAATGGGAAACATTGGATGTCATTTAGAAAATCTTTAATCACTTCATATTCTCTGACAGTTATGACACAAAAACAAAGTAGGTATGGACAGTAAAAATTATGATAGAATTTTGAGTGTAGCAGTGGTGAGATTTCAATGAGAGCAGTAAAAGCAGTTTTGAATGAGATTTAAAAGAAAGTATTTTCTGATCCTTCATATTTTGCTGAAGATCAGCCTGCTACTATGTATCAGCCCATCAGTTTGACAGATAACAACAGAAGTTAGAAATAAAGATCACAGCAAAGTTTATAGGTGACACTTTCACAAAGCTTGAAAACCCCCCTCCCCTCCCCTTTGTATAGTGTCACTCTCCATTACCATTCCCCCTTCTGCAAGGACATCATTTATGTGTGGCCCCTAATGCAAAAAACATTCTAATCACTAATCAATTGCTTGTAACCAATCAGTTGCCATTTTAACTGAATCCCACATGATGTTACGGGGGAGCTTTGTTTGAGAGGGTTCTTATTGAAGAGGGGGCTTATTCAAAAGGACGGGCGTAATGAATTATTATGGTAATTTATTTGGTTCTTTGATTATAGGGCTGTCACTAGAAGCTATTACAGAGGTGCTGCTGGGGCACTAATGGTATATGATATAACAAGGTATGTATCTATTAAATTTTCTGAAAAAGGAATTATTGTATTTATTAGTAAATGAGTTTTCTCATTTTTAAAGCACCTGAATATGTGCGGCTAGATAATTTATTTCTACTGGCAACTTAATTAGAATAGGCCACTAACTATGCAAATATTTCTTGATGTAGTTTTTAATCTTTGAATCTATTTGAATTTGTTGTGTAGTCTATTTTGCAGAGAAAGAAACCAAATCTTAATTCAACAGTTTTGCAACCATCACTTAAGAACATTTGTTTCCTTGCTAATTAGTTTAAGTTTTTTTTAAAGTACTAGCACATAGGTGCAGATAAACTATATTCAAGTCATTAGATTATATTCTATAAATATATAAATTGAAATTCTATAAATTTTTCAGTTGAGTTCTTTAATATGTTTTTTATATCAATATACATAATAAGTAATCTTTAATTTCTTGTGTTTGAAACAGTGGCGGACACTTGGGGGGGCGAGGGGGGGCGACCGCCCCCCCCAATACTTTAGAGGACAATGGTCTTTTGTTCTAAAACAATGGGAAATGTGACATCATCTTATTAAAACAATAGGCTTGCTCCCCCAATATTTGACCAAGTGTCCGCCACTGGTTTGAAAGTTATTAGAATGCATAGTCACTTGGTTAGGTGAGCAAATTGCTTTTAATTATGCATTTTGCTTTAGATTTAACTGATGTTTTTTTTCTGGACTGCAGGAGTTTTAGAGTCAAACAAATTTTTCCTAAAAAAACAAGCATAAAGGTTCTATGGTAATGCATATAACTAAATGCTCAAATATTGTTAATATCTATTCAGTTCACACAAACATTCATCAGTTGTTCTCCAGATGCATGTTTCTTTATCTCTTTTAGGAGAAGCACATACAATCATTTGAGTAGCTGGTTAACCGATGCTAGAAATTTAACAAACCCCAATACGGTATGCTTGGCTTTTTTAAAGAAGATTTATATTATTAAACTTTATGTTCCAAAATATGCATCTTTTGCCAATTTGGAACCTTCTTTTCTTGCTATTACTCTCAAGCTCCTAATTGTAGGAAGGGGGTCTAATAAGAAGGGAGGGTTGGTATTTTTTTTAAAACCCTAATATGGGAGGCCATAATAGATTGAAATGCTTAGCTTTTCCAAAATTATGTTTAAATTGGGGGGTGTTTAAATAGAAATTTTGCATAGAATACATAATTAGGAGGGGTGTTAATAAAAGGAAATGGGTATGCAAAATTTATGAAAAATGGAGTTCAACCCCCCCCCCCTCTCCCTACAATTAGAAACTTATATGATAATTAACTTATATTATAACTTGTAGAGTATGATAATTAACACAGTGGTGTATTGAGTTAGAAAAGGTATGTCCTCCATTAAAATAGTCATCAAGTCATCAAACTTAATATATCGTTTTTTGATATAAATGTATTGATATAGACCAGTCAAGCATTTTGAATAATGTCATTCATTTTTTTCTATTTGCAGGTGATCATAATGATAGGAAATAAATCTGATTTGGACGCCCAGGTATTTAATAGATTGATTGATGTGAATAAGAAATATAAAGCTTAAGTTTCTCACTAGTGATAATGAGAGTTGGTTGAATGTAGCAGTTCAATAGCTCTTCATGCTTTTCAGAGAGACAAGGAAATAAGTAGCAAAGCTTCTAGTTTGTAGTTTCTGGTGAAGAAAGGATGTTCATTGTTTTCAATACTTTTCTGTCATTTTTGGCACAATACCCTCGTAAAATAGTGAAATTTATAATTTGCAGTTCAATAGTTCTTCATGCTTTTCAGAGAGACAAGGAAATAAGTAGCAAAGCTACTAGTTTTTAGTTTGTGGTGAAGAAAGGATGTTCATTGTTTTCAAATCTTTTCTGTCATTTTTGGCACAATACTCTCGTAAAATAGTGAAATTTATAATTTGTTGGAAGATATATGTATGAATGTTTGCTAGGATAATTAATTTTTATGGTATAGTATTTTGAGATTTATTAAAAAAATATTTTCACAGCGAGACGTCACATACGAGGAAGCCAAACAGTTTGCAGATGAAAATGGTTGGTTTGGTTTTAAATGATTCGATGATATTTTGTTGTCACCAACTTACCAAATGGCTTTCAACTATCTGGTCATGTTTTTAAACTTGTTTGTTTATTTATAAAGCTAGTAAAGTTACTATCAGTAAGCTCATTTAAAAAGTACCAGGTCTGCAAATGTTTTTTCAGCACCTTGGAACGCAGTCATCAAAAGTTCTTTTCTCTGCCTGTAGCTACCAATATATTGAGCCCGTCCACTAGAAATATGCTGGCTAAAATGTTCATCATCATTCTTTTCTGATTATGTTAAGTGCTTGAGATTTTATTTATCTAAAGAGGAGAAGGATAACCTTGTTAGAATTTTTCACAGTTTGGCGTTATTGTTAAAGAAATTTGGAAAGCACCTCATTTGTAAACTGGCTTAACTAGCGTACTTTTCTTGCCGTGACACGTGATATGACAATCTTTGGTAATCTGCTGTTTCCTTGTTTACGTATTATTGGATTGATTTTTACAAAACGGTGATTGTCTTTCTTTGCAGGCTTACTGTTTCTAGAAGCAAGTGCAAAAACGTAAGTCTCATCCTTCCTGCATATTCGTTTAAACTTATATTGCACAAGGCAGTTCGCTTTGTTATTATACACTGTACACAGCAATGATTTTTCCGTATGGAAGCAAGTGTGCCAGGCCTCTGAAGAGTGTTAAAAGCTGTAAGTATGTATGTATGTATGCATCTTTCAGTTTTGTACTGTGGCGGACACCTGGGGGGGGGGGCGAGGGGATGTGACCGCCCCTCCAATACTCTAGAGGTTAATGGTCTTTTGTTCCAAAACAATGGAAAATTTTACGTCATCTTATTAAAACAATAGGCTTGCCCCCCCCCAATATTTTACCAAGTGTCCTCCCCTGGTTTTGTACCCCGAAGAAAGTTGTTTGGAAATATGATTATTTGTCTGTTTTTAGTGGCGAAAATGTCGAAGACGCATTTTTGGAGACTGCGAAGAAAATATTCCAAAGTATACAGGATGGAAGGTAAGAATTTTTCTGAATCTGGAATGTCAGCATTGGTGGGTCGCCCCTGTTTGATCTATTGGCCGCTAGCCAGTTGTTGGGTTTTCCTCGAAATCTACAAAAAGCTCCCTTTGCGCTGAAAAGAGCCACATTTTGAAAACTAAGAAAATTTTTTATATCAGCTTTTGAATAACAAGGCAATTTTATAGACTAAAGGAACATAAATGAGACGTCATCGAAAAACAGACGACATATCTGGCATTGCAGAACATTTTGTTGCCGAACAAGTAAAAACACTCTTATCGCAATCCTACAACTGCACGAAAAATGGGCATGTCCTTGCATTATTTCCTGAATCTTAAATAAGGCAACTATGAACTCCTGTCTCCCAGTGTGCTACCTTTTTCATCTCCCTGCCTTATTCTCCCCTAGCACTTAACACAGTAGCTTCGCCACGCGGTCCCTTTAAGAGTTGTTGCTCTATCGTAAAATACTTTTTGAAAGCATTAATTAGGTCTTTTACAAGCTTTAAGTGTTTCATTCCTGCCATAGTAGCGTTATTCCCCCCCCCCCCCTTTTTTTTATTAATCGTTCTGAATTTTGAGGCAAATTCTGGCTTTGAGAATTCTAAGTTTATTAGTGCTGCAAAGTTATGTGAGGTTTGAACGCCGTAAGCGTTTGTACAAGACATCCAGTGCTACCCATTCTTGTTCAATTCGTTTGAAGGTTTTCTTTATAAACCTCTGATTTGCTATCAATCATGTTGCAGCCTCGACTTGAATGCAGCGGAATCGGGGGTGCAGCATAAACCAGCAGGAAGAGGCGGAGCTAGTGCCTTCCCACAGGAACAGCCTGCCAGTCAAGACAAATGCAACTGTTGAGGTTTCGATTTTACTGCTAAATAGATCCACTGTGAATTTTTCAATGATTGCATGAAATATTAATTTTCGATTCTTTTTCAAGAGCAAGAAAGGAACTAAACAATGATTCCGATGGGCGAATCTCTTATTTGCATTAACTATTATAGATGTAATACTTTTGTACAAATTTAATACCTTCGTAGTGAATCGCAAACTTTTTCGTAGTTTTAGCAGTTAACTGGTTGGCTCTGTATGAATAAATAGCCTCAAGATGTCCACAGCATTCATTTCATTTGTCGGTTATGTCTTCTTTTATATATAACAATGCTACTGTGTTAACTCAAGGTTTTTCTCTAAACCATTCTTTTTAAACATTTCTTGTAAAACCTTATTACGAAGCCTGTTAAAAATTGCACTCTTTATTTTCGAAATGCTTTGCAATTTAAATAACACTTACGTGACGTTATCTTAACGAAGGGTATTGTAAGAATTCAACTGTAGCTAACTTACAAAGATGTTTCTCTGTAGACTCGCTTGTTTTCTTGCTCATTATCTCAAATAATTATGTAGTTAAATTACTGGCAAACCTTTCTTGAAAATCTGGAATAATTGATAATTAATTAATTAATTTAATACCAATTGAAATTCGCTGTGGAATCTTTATCGAAGACCACGCTTTCATGTTTCCGTACATTTTAAAAGCAAATTTGCAAAACGACCTTTAAAATCCGGTTTTAAAGAACCACCGCCTGCATTAAAACTATTTAGCAAAACTGTCCGTCCTGTCGGAAAGGGATGGCTAGAAATCAACCAGTATTAGCTTGCGTGCAGACTTTACTTACCGTTGCGAAGGAGAACCAATACGGACGTCCTGGCTCTCCTTCGCAACGGAAAGTAAAGTTTGCACGCAGGCTAACCAGTATCTGATGTTCCTCTTTATGTGTCATGCGCTGTGGCATCTTTATCTTGACATCTTTATCTTGACTTTATTTACACTCTTTCGTGTAAATCCCTTCTTTTTTGTTGCTCAAATACATCATTCTCTGTCTGCCTCTTGCATTTTACCTTCTTTGTTCCCTTAAAGCGATGGATTCTCTATGCCGTTTCTCCGCACAACGTCTCCAAAAAATGTAATTTTTCTGTCTTGATGGTCTGTACCAGTCTTTGCTTTACATTAGCAACTTCTAGTACTGCCTGATTTTACTTCTATCTTTTGACCAAGGATAAAACAGGGTACTGTTTGTCGCCATTGGGATATTCATCAACCCTCCTCACCAAGCAAACCTGTTGGAGTTGCCGGTTTAATCGCCGACGACTCGACCAGAGGCAGGTAGTACAGGCCGACTGGGGATTGAACCAACAATTCATCTGATACCTCCGTCAGGTCGGGTGTTCAACAGGTAGCCTCGTATAGGGACCGACGTTTCAGAAAAGGAAACAGTATGGACAAACTTGTATCAGCAGAATTCAATTTACCTTTAAAAGTTTATGATCGGGAATATTAGCTGTGACGAAAGTGTTCATGAAAGGCTTGAAGGGAGAATGATCGTTTTCCGGATGTTGTGCATGTAGACAGAAGTGCAGGCAGGGTGGTAGAATTTTAGAAGGGATGCGAGTCGAGCAAGGGCTCCACACCCTTTTGAACGCCAAAAAATGTCCTTTTTCAAAGATATTTTTAAACATTGGGGTGGGAGATGTCCGCCTCCAACTTGCCTCCCCCTTGCTACGCCGCTGTATGCAGACCGTTTTAGATGGTTACGTGTGAAAAGAAGTCTAAAACGTTGGAAAATTCAGCAATTTTAAAAACATTCCTGTTCATGCGGCATGTTATGGTGACCACCACTGCCACAATACCCCGCCGCCTAATTTTATTCGAGATTTTGAATGATTTTTAAAACTTTTTAAAATTGACCATGAAGTCTGCAGCCCTATTTCCAGTCCAGAGTCTGTTTCTACTAAATAATTTCATGTTTTAAGGCCCGGTCAAACGCATCCAACATTTCATCCAACATGCAGAAAACAAATGTTGGATGAAATGTTGGATACCTTTGACCGGGGCTTTCGACACTTCGACTAACAACTTTCCACGATATCAAGCTTGATTTGAATTTAGTGTTTTGTTTATTTATGTTTTTTCAAAATTTGATTTGGGATTATTAGAGCCATAATGATAGGCATATATCTCTAAATGCCTTTCGAGAAAGTCGAAAGCTGCAAATAACTACGCTATCTTTATACCTTTCTAAGTACACTTTCAAGGGTTTATTTTTGCGAGAGGACTGGACTTGTAGGTTTTTTTGTTTCACTTGACATTTACATTTTACCCTCTGCTATCCTTGAACATCATCATTTCTCGAACAAAGTCTCTGAGTTTTTAAACCTGTTTTGTTTTTAACCTGGAAAAGAGACTGTACTGCCGGTACTGGGAGGGAAGGAGGGGCTTATTCAAAACTCGATGCTAAAGATAAGGATTTATCTTCATCGTCGGGGAGATTTTTCGACACGCAGAATATGTTTGAAAAACAAAGGGATTGGCGATCTTTAAAACTGGATGAGAATTGAAGTGAATGTAAAAGTTCTTAAATCAAACTATATGTAATATCAAACTAATTTATTGCAAAATATTGCAAAGAAGTTGCAATCAGTTGGTTTTTTTCATAATCGGACAGCATAATTGGAAGAAATTATTTCATAAGAAGGGGTAATTTGATACATAAGGAGGCTTTTCGATAAGGGAAGGAAGCTTAATCGAACTATGTCGGTAAATATTTTTAGCAGGTGCAGTATGAATGAAGTATGAGCAGTCTCAATTCAAACCAATACACCTCATTGATTCAAACGCAATCGAAATGACCCCAATATCACCTGCCAATACTTTTGGAATTATGCAGTGATATCACACAATACGAATACATATAGGCTTTTAGACAGTGGTGTAGTGCTATCAAAATAGCAAGAGGGGCCCGTGCACAACATATTGCGAAAAACATTAGCAAAAGTAGAAATTTGACGATTTCAGCATTAACAAAGGGGCTAAGCCCCTTTGCACTACACCCCTGCTTTTAAAGGGTAATTAGCTGCGGGGGGCAAAACTTTGTCTGTTTATAGAGGAGGACAATAGTATATTGTTTAAAACATTGTCGAGTTCTGTGACTTTCCATTGTATAAGACAATGGAAAGTCATAGGCAACTGCACCCCAAGTTAGTATGTTGAAAAAGACCTTGAATAATGAGAAGAATAGCGTACCGAAGTTTGACGTCATCAAAAATCTGTTTTTAGATTTTCTGAATTTTGACCACATAATCTGAAAGCATGGCACAAAATACTTCTAAATGTGCAAAATCGGGTAGATATGTTCAAAATTGGGGGAGATATGACGAAAGTTATGAACCAAAAGTTACCAAATTACAGAGGTTTGTGCTTATGTGGCCATACCTCAGCCAATTTGTGACACATTCGATTGATTTTGCACATTTAGAGTTGTTTTATAATGCTCTTTTGGGATATATGGTCAAAATTGGAAAATTCTAAAAATAGTTTTTTGTGATGTCACCACTTCGGTACTCCATTCGGCACACCGAATTCCACATTCTGTGATTCTAGCCCCAACCTTTCATATTTTCTGATCCGGGCACTTTCATCTTCACACTTGGCAAAAATTGATCATAGAATTTGAATCTTCTTGTTGAAATTAGTCTGTGCTTAAAATTTCAAGTTGTTTGGGCCGTCAGACAGCGAATTGACCCATTTTCAAGACTTAGCTTTTCCTATATTCAATCTAATTTGAAGTTGAAGATTTCAATTCTGAAGTCCATTTTTGAGAAAGATCCATAGATAGCTAGATACAAAATCAATGACGTCAACCCGGAACGGAGAATATCGGGTAGAATATCGGAGAATAGAAGCTGCTTTAGTTAGTCCAGTCTAATTTAATTTCCTAAGTTCTATGTAGCCATCTTCAAAGGGCTTAATCTTTCCGTTTTTGACCTTTCCCAATAAGATTCCCCACGCCTTTCCGATGGGCGTCCGTGGTAATGCTCCATCGCAGTTCAACATCTTTAGTTGTTGTAAATAAGATGGCGTAAATTACTGATGTGAGATAATGGCGAATAGAAGATTGAATCGAAATCGCGAATAACAAAGATTGGATTTTTCTCATCTGGACAGGATGGTTGACACGAGACTGAGGTATTAATTTATTTTGAAATCAACAACTTTGTTTATAGAAGTGACACCAATATTTCCCGAGGAAGGTATTTTTGCACCTTCAATCAATAAAAGTAACGTTTCCTTTACAAGGTATAGTATTAAAAATTTTATTTCGGTTTCTAAAAATCGACCTTTTTGAATCTTTTTTAAAGGAGTATGTGTCCGAAATATGAAACTTATTAGAAGCCTATACCAATCTAGGCCATCTATCTTGCTTTTAGTTTGGGCCTTGGATCACTTTGTCAATTTTGTCATCACGTTTCGTAGCTAGCTAGGAGGAAGTATTTTCAGACCTGTCAAATAATTTACTTTTCTGAGGGGCCTTCTAAGTTTGAAGAAATTTTAGATGTTTTATTCGTGCGATGGATGTTTTGTTCTGCTATATTTTGATTAACAAGTAAAAACTTTGTGAAGATGAACATTTCTTCTTGTTTTGACATCTTTCCTCTCCTAGGGCATGGTATATCTAGACAAAATGGATTAGTAAAATGATTATTCAAAAGATGTACCAGAATCGATACTTGCTTGAGAATTTTTTTCCACAAATAAATGTTTTACTTCTGTCACTTAACTCAAGTCAATCATAACATCATTTTTTATTATTACTGAAGTGCACCCAGTTTTCCACCATTGTCGGTCTTCCTTTCATTTTCCCCAGTAAATGCATTAATTTGATGTTATACTTTGCCTTTGATCCATAAATGCAGTTAGTTTCCTCATGTTGTGTTTCCTATATTTATATTGAAAATGTTAGGATACAAATTTGTGGATTATGATTATGAGATGGAGGATTCAAATGTTGATTTTTAGAATACCACTTCCAAGGCTCTTTGAATGTTTTGTTGAAGTTATTGCACCAGATGAAGAAAAAAAGACAGGTAAATCGATGCTATACTTATTTACTTATTGACAGAATTTATTTTATATGCTTAAATTATTTTGATATACATAATATATATATATCTATTTTTAAATTGATATCAATCTTAAAATCCTAATGAGCTATGTATATGTAAATTTTAGACAAAGCCCTTGTATTTTGAATAATTTATAAAGAGTGCTATTTTATGAAATCAAACGAGTAGTATTTAAAGTGAATGGGAATGCTTTAAAAGTAGCCAATACCAATCTTGTCAAAGTCTCCAAGCCTTTATTCTGAGCTGTGACCAGTTTGCAGTGTATGGTGATATTTACAAGATTTTTAGTTGACTAAAAAGCCTCACATCAGATGCAGGTGTGTTAAGACCATCCAAAGATGCCTGGTGCATCAGCACTATTAATTTTTCCAAATTATAATTTAATAGATGTAGTAGTAGATATATTTAACAATCTTTTTTCCTCTTATAAGTTTAAATTTATGATTTTCAGGACCAACTATCAAAAGGTTCCATCCTGCAGAATTTAAAGAAAAGGTATGATAAGCAGTCTTTGTAATATGAAAATGGGCTGTTTTTTTATCCATCATTCTCTTTCCTGTTGTCAAGAACTATATGGTGCTGCTTTCAAGTAGACAATTTGTGTCGCAAACTGAACAGAAACCAATGAAATTGACAGAGAAACTGTTCTTATTCTTTTTTTAAGATGTTAAATTAAATTAGTTAATAAGTTTTCTAGGAGATAATTATAAAATATTTTTGTAATCATTTAAATAAAACTTTGTTTGAATGCAAAAGCATGATTTTACGGCTGTTATAAAATGTTCGATAACAGTTTAAAATAATTAAAAAACAGTAGACATTGCCTCTTCTTCCTTAGAGCTCTCTTCAGTTTCCTCCTCTTTCTCTGGCTTAGGTTTCTTTGTGATACTGATAACATTATCAAGCTTTTGCTTTCTGCTCTTCGAAAGATAGAGCAATGTTGCCCTTTTCAAGACATCTTTCTCTGTCAATCCATATATTATCATTGATTGCAATACGTAGTCACAGTGGTTTTGACAAACCGCTGCTTTAGAAATCTTCCAAACAAAAGCGATGTTTTATGGAAAATTCTTTGTTTTGCATGTGCGATGATTTGCACGCCTTGGACAATCTGGGTGTGTGTGTGGAGGCAAGCGCATGGGAGCGCACGCCTCATATTACAAAGACTGAATAAGCAACCTTATGCAACTTCATTCAAGTGAATTCTTAGCTTGAAAGTTTATAATAACAATTTTTTCTTAACAACAACTAAATAAATTTCCTAATAGCTATCATCATTGTCATTATCATCATCAATTTCACTCTTAGCCCATCCCTCTGGTCTGACTTCCTAGATGAGGTATTTGATAAGATATAGGTTGATTTTTTTTGCATACAACTATCTCATTCAATTTTTTCTTTCCTCATCCTTTTTATTCAGCTAACTGGTCTCATACCTGGCACTTCAATCTTATCCACAGACTGTGGTACACTATCCTCCTTTTCTCTTCTTGCATGTATAAACTGTTTTTTTGTGAGTGCAAATTTGTTAGCTGTCAAGTTTGGATAATTTTTTCAGTGCTCTTGTTGCAATAAGCATTTCTCCAAAACCTCTAATTTCCATGTTATATTTATTCAGGATGAGCTTCTTGGTCAAGTTCCCACATTTTGTTTTCCCTGTAGAACAGACAGGTATGTGAAAAGGAAAATTGCTTTGTTTTCATACCTTGTTTAAATAATATGATTGTTATACTCTTTATTATGCCCAAAAGCCTTATAAAATCAATCTGCAGGGGCTTGTTTTTAGTTAGAATTGAGCAATTGTTTTATCAGCATTTAGTATTTCTCTCTCCCATTTTTTAGTTAGTTTTTATTTTTTTTGATCTGTTAAAGGCTTGGTTTTGTATAATGTTTTGTATTGTTTTGTATAATGTTTGAGCCTAATGTTTCTCATGTTACACAGGAATATTTTTATCAAAAAATTTCACTTTGTTAAAAGTCCTTTTGAATGATACCCATTGAGAATGTTGTTTGAAATGTACCTCAACAAAATACATTGACGTGGTATTTTTTGTTGTCCTAAGCTCTCTTTACTTGATTATATAGTTGCTTTATTAGGGCAGACGTGTGACTACAATAAATAATATCGAGTTTAGTGAAACTTTCTTCACATTTGTTCACCATTTTTGTTTTTAAGCCTTGGTGTTCAGTATTTCACATTTGTGTTAACTGACATTGATGGGAAATTCAGATTTGGCTTTTGCCGTTATCCTGCACATGCTCCATCATGCATTTGTATCATCAGGTATGGAAGAATTTAATCCATTTGCCCATGTGCATCTAGTACTTTGCATCAATCATTTATCAGTTGACTTACATGTGATGTATATGCCAGAGACATGTCACCAAATAATCAGGCCTTGTGAGGAGCAAAAAAGCAGGCACTTCACAAACAGAGCACCTTCAAATTTTCTGAGCACCTTCAAAGTGCTTTATTCAGCACCTAGGAAAAATGTTGCTTAACAAGATGAATGGTCCACATATGAACACAGCCTATGTACACTTGCCTATTTCAAGCTTTGTTATTTAAAGTCAGGGACGGATTAAAGTGGATTATGAGGGTGCTAAATAGTGATTGGATTTTCACCAATAACAAAATTCAATTTTTCTCATTTAGTTTTAGACAGCAGAAACATGCTAGGTGCTCAATCAATCAATCTCCTAGAACTTCCTAGGTGCATGCATAGGCACTTGCTCAGCCACCTCTCCTTGCAAATAATGATTTCTCCATTTTTGTAGCTATGCTCCATGGTGTGAAATGTTTTATGCTATTTTAAACAATATCTCTGAAGCAGAAATAAAGGGAAATGTAAGTAGAGAAAATAAGAAAGTTGCTTTGCCATTTTTGTAGGGAAGGATATATTTTTGTTAATTTTTTGTTCATCATGTGTATTCTAAAATTTTACTCAATGTATTATTTACAACTCAAGAACCTGTATAGCAACCAAGAATATTGCTGTAGTGAATTATTGAAGCTTGAAAAGTTATGATAGTTTTTCTGAAAATTATAGCTTAGTGAGATAGTAACATGCTTTCATATATTTAGAAAGTAAGCAAAATGGTATATTCTGAGAGAAAATGTGAGCAACTGATATGACCAGGGTAGGACTAGAACGCACCAGCAGCCACTCTGTATGTTGTACCCTGGTTGTGTCAGTCACTCATTTTCTAACAGTATATTTTCCCATATTGTGTTCTCCTATCAAATTATATTTGGCAATATAAAGTCTCCAAGAGATTGTCAGAAAAGTTCTGTATACAGAGGCTTAGTTTCCCACTGATTGCTATCGTTTTTAAGAAGCACATTTTTATGGATATTAAGACAGCACAGTTTAAAAATAGATAGGTAGGTTTCTGTGGTTGAAAGTCTGGAGAACAAGCTACTGTGTATTGTGGCCAAATGCATGGCCACCAGCCACATTATAAGCTTCGCCGTGTTGTCTGATGTGGTCTGTGCTTAGATCAAGGTTCACTCAAAGTTTGTAAAGATCTAGGTCTTATATATCTGTTTGGGGAGCTTGCGGGCAAGAAAAGTATACATTTAAGTCATTCTTGATTTGATAAGAAATAACTGTCTCTTTATACTGTAAACCCTCGAGCTCCCCCCCCCCACCCAACTTGGTATTAGCCTCATCCTCAAATTAGCCCCTACCCTGGAAGTGAATTTTTAAATTAGCCCACACTCTGGAATAAGCCTCACTCCCAGTCATGTCAATATTTATCATTAATCAGTTTCAGTATTAATACATGTCGTTAATTCATTACGTATTTAATGAAAAATGAAAATCTGAATAAGATTCAGTCAATCTTTGGGTGAGTTGCAACCGCTTAGATTCGGTTAGATTCCAGTACCACCTAATTTTTTACCCTTAAATATATAATTATGTTTGTAACCCTTTGGTGAGTAGAACAAAGTAGTCCTTGGTTGCAGTTCCATGTTTTACACTCAAATTAATCATCAGGCAACTATTCTAATTGCATTTGCTGAATGGCATTTGATATAATGATATTTTTGTAGCATGATCTAGTCACAGCACTGCTTGATGCATTACATGTCAGTCCAATCCCTGATGTTGGGTCATCATTCCATGTCACTGCATCTTTGAAATCAGATGGAAGTAAAGTTGTAAGTTGTCTGCCGTTTATTCTCGTTGGATTCACTTTTTTGAGAATCTATCCATAATGTACATTCTATAATCAATAGTCTTCTATAATCGAAATTGCACGACGATGCTTTTAATTCCATAATTTGCAGCTTTATTTGTGCTTAGGAAAATTCAGTTTTTAATGGCTGGTAGCTTTTTTCATAGGACTACAAATTTGAAGTCCCAGATACAACCAAGCTACCGACCATTCCAGAAAATGTGAGTTGCAACATTTGTTTATACACTTAAGGTTTCTCTCTTTCCATCTCTTCTTTTACAAACACTAATATTAAAATTATCTGCAAATCCTTTTCCGTTTCATGATCAGTGGCGGCGCCAGTAACTAGGCTCTGGGGTAGAGGAAAAAGATACAGTGGAATCCCGATATAACGAACTCTGAAGGGAACCAGAAATTAGTTCGTTGTATCGGGAGTTCGTTAAACCGGGAGAAAACGTTTTTTGGTCTTTTCGAAGTTCACGCTGTGCACATCTCTAGCTTCTGTGCAAATTTAACTCCAAAAACCAAGCTGAATTCAAATGTTACTAATGTTTAGACATTTAAAATGAAACTCACTTCACCTCTAGTCGGCGACTGAACGACGTCTTCGATTTCTTCACACTCTTATTTGTCTTCTTCTGCTTCTCCATCTGGGTCTCTCAATAAAAGTTTGTCGTCGCTCATTACCAATTTTTCATGTGTAAGAAGGTATTCGGTAGTGTCAATGTACTCATTTGCAGTAATTTCTGACGCAATCAAACTTTCATCTCGTGCACTGAGTCTATCAGCCAGTGCTTGAAATATATCATCAGCATGTTTTACCGCTTGTGAAAATGATTTCCCCCCAGGTTAAATGGTTGCAAAAATGATTTGTGCAGATTTAAAATTTATGGAAAGTTCGTTATATCGAGGGTAATTATGATAAAGGGACCTAAAAATTGGTTCGTAATAACGAGAGTTTGTAATATCCGGGGTTCGTTATACCGAGAGAATTTATAAGGAGTTTGTTAGGCAGAATCCGAGGGACCAGACATTTAGTTCGTTATACCGGGAAGTTCGTTATGTCCGGGGTTCATCATATCGGGATTCCACTGTAAAAAGTTTTAGGCCAAGCCCTTTTTAATGTCAGAAGACGCCCCTTTACCAGCAAAGAATGGCAATTTTACACCTAGCAAACGCTTGTCACTAAGCTTTGGTTACGCAAAGCAAGTTTCAAAATCATAAGATTACATTACAAAAGATATGTCGCCAAAATATTACCCTTCCCCAACATTTTCTCTTGGATTTTACAGAATTACGAAAAATTACGAAACTGAAACTGAGGGGGCGTAGCTGTTGGTCCCCCCTAGTCCCCCGTGGTGCTGCTATTGGTCACCATTTTGATTTGCCACAAATTTTTTACTTTTTCATATATGCTCTATTCCTCTATTTCAAAGGTAGTTTGCGTTTATTAATGTTCAATAGACCTTACAATTTTCTTCATTAATTTCATGTTTATTTTCATGAAGGAATCGGTCTTTCGAAATAAAGTTGACATCACTCTCATAAAAGTAACTTTTTAAGATATATAATGTCACACTTAAGAGTGTTTTTCAGACGCATGTATGTCTTTTTCAGACCTATTGGCGATGCCATTAATTTTTAGACTATCTGAGCTCTCCCTTTATATAATCATAAAGATTCTAATGCTGCTACTTTTATCTGCAGCGAAATTTGACTGATTACTTTGCTGTTATAACCCCTGAAGTAATGGTACAATTGTTTGTCAGGTAGGGGAGCATATGAACTATAACTTTTGTTTAGAATCAGACTGTATTTCGAGAAATAAATGTTTTATTCTACATACAAAGCAACAGTTTTCGTATAAAGATTTAATTTCTGGTAAAAAAAACATGACACTATTCGCATGTCTTTGATTTGGGAAGAAATATTAATGGTTGTTTGGGAATATTGTCGGAAAGTTCTTTTATTTAGTCCTGATTCCTCCCAAAATGTTTAACTACCGCTCAGTTCCTGTATGGAACACTAAACAGCGAAATTATTGTAATTCAGTGACTAATGAAACACATTGAAATTCGCTAGATTTTAACTATGTACAAAAATTATGTATCAGATATGGGGCTCGAGATTAGTGGGCGTTAATGTCTTTATGTATTGGCTGAGAGATCACTTAATTTTCCAGAAACTGATTAAAAGAACTTTCAATTTATAGCATGTTGTTTGAAAGAAGAATTTTGGTCTTTTCTAAAAAGTTGAGTTTGGTGAGTTTAGATTCCATGCAATTTGTTTTATCCGTGTACCCAGATCTCTTTTCTTTCTTTTTTCATTCGTTGATTATATTCCTTAAGTCTACTTTCTAATAAGCTTCTCGTACTGAAAAATTTCAAACATAAAAGACGGAAACATATCACATAACATTGAAGACATTTTTGTCATCGCTTGTTTTTATAATAACTAAAAGGAAATAGGGAAGTTTTCCTGGTGCTACATTCCCGTATTTCCTTGCAATTTTGAACTTTCTACGGCCGTGCCTCGTTTTATGTTTTTTTGAAGCTTGTTAATCTCAGCTCTGTTGTGATTCCAATTATCGGGTTTTTATTTCAGGTAACTGCCATTGTCCATGGTTCTGTTTCACTGCTCTATCCTATGCAATGGTATGTTACAACGGCCAAGGCTACACCTGTTACTCATTCGCTTGAAGGGATGTTTATTTTTCTCATAGTCATAGGAGCCACAAGAGCACAATCTTTTTTATATGAACAAGCATTACCTTTCTGATATATGCTTGATGAGTGGCGAGCTTCATATCACCGGTTTTTTCTTTCTTTAACATTGCTAATTTGTTTCAGGCAGCACATATTTGTCCCAGTTTTGCCTCCAAAACTACTAGATTATTGCTGGTATGTTGAAAAGATTTCTATTTCTCATTAAGCTGCATCTTTTGTCTATATAATATCAAGTTTAGAAAACATTTTTCATATATGATTGAGATTTCTGGCGCCATAACAAGTCTGTCTATTCAAAGGGCTATTACCAAGCCTAGCAAATTTTGAATTTCTCTCATTGAATGGAAAGCAATGCATGTAACAGACCAAAATACATTCTTTTGTTTTATCTGGTTCTTTTCTTTCATATAAAAGAAAGCTTTACTTGGATCATTTTATTAATAAGTTTTAAGGCGCCTTTCTGGCCTTGATTATGATATAGTAAATTAATAAATTATAAAATAAAGTAATTTTAGATTAGCAACCGTTTCCAATTGAAGCGGAAATTATTGTTTTTCCAAGTTTGTAGACTCAAAGATATGGAATTAAATAATGTATGACGAAATTATTTGTTGCCTCCATAGCAATTCAAATATATTAAATCTCTATATTATTGTATTTTAACATCCTTGTTGTAAAAACGAAAATCAAAAAATGATTTTTCATTCTTCGCCCCCTTTTTACGAATTAATGAGCTTTGATTTTATTTTGAACCCATTTCTTTAGTGAAAATTGAGTTTTGATGAATTTTATCTTGTCTGGTTCTGTAAGTTTTTTGTTTTGTTTTGTACTATACTTTTATAGCTTTGACATAGCCTGTTGAAGTAGCTTAGGACGCCGTCGATCATTTATATTTTGCATTTTTGGTTTTTTAAGTGCTCCTATGCCTTTTCTACTCGGTGTCCATTCTTCAATGATGGAGGTAGGTTTTTCAATTTCTTATTACAACTTGCTCTTTTAAAATGCGATTTTGAAATTTTTTTTCCGAGTTTTTAGAATGTTTCCTATTTGATCGTGTTTGGTTACTTGACTTGCGTTGCTAGTGAATTTTTTTTGTTGGCCATGAGAGCTTGTGACGACAGAATGCGGCAGAAAAACCTGCACTGCAAGTTGGCCAAAGTATGGTAACCGTTTTAATTCTAATGCTGAAATGTTCAAAGGTAATAACTGTATTTCTTGTCTAGCACCATTGCCAAACTATCTACTGCTGATTACTTTCAATGAAGCCTTGTCCAAATGTGAATCAATGAACTGATATTTTCTGCCCTCTCTGACGATAGAACTCCTTTATTCCTACATTGTTAAGGAACATGTACTTTTGCAGGATGTTCATCGAATGCCTTTGGATGATGTGGTAATCCTCGATGCAGATAAAAATGAACTCAGTAGTCCGTTTAATGACATGGAGATTTTCCCGCAGGAAGTAGTGAGTGACCTTTGATTTTTTACGTACCGGGTTATGTGTGACGCTGGCATTGCAATGAGCTCCTTGCTATCACATACTCAAAAGTCCTACATCTCTTCATGTGCAAATCTTTGCTATAAGTGAAAGAATGGACTAAAACATACCCTGATATTTTTAAAGAGACCTTTTAGAGCAGAAGAATACGACATCTTAAGTACCACTGTACTCAGTCAGATAGAAGCAGATGCTGTCGACGTAAATCAACTGACCATTGTTTAAGAATAATTGTTATCCCTGCTATCTTTTCTATGTAAAATCTGGACATGGCAGCCACACAGTCAAAGAATATCAAGAAAGCCAGTGAATACAAAAGATCTTTGAGTGCCACACCCTAACCCCGCCTTGTTTTCATTGTTTTTCTAATGGATGTTATCAGAACTTAAAAGAGTATTGTTAGGTTGAAGGTTGTACAGCTTTCTCGACTCTTGATTTAGATACGTTTTTTCTGTAAGTGAGTGACCTGCGTTAAAAATGGAGATCCCCAAGCGTTTCCTGTTGTGATGAAAATGGATTTGATCGTAATCAAATCAAATTTCGTTGTTTTCCTTTCATGCATTCAACAGAGAGTTGATCCATTTATCACCACAGCGTATGAGCGCAAACCTGAATCGAAGTGAACTGTCAGTTATTTTTAGCATGGGCCATTTAGCTTAGGCCACTCACTTCAAGTTTAATCATTTTATTTTCCTAATATTGTCAAAAAGTCTCAACCCTTAATTGCGAAAAAGCCCATTTTGTTCCTTACAACTACCAGGAAAAATTTCGATCCATTTGAATGTTTCTCTTTGTCAGAGCTCGAAGCTTCTGAGTCGGTTAAAAAAGCTTGACAGAGCTTTGGATGACTACGTTGCAAGTCAGTTCCTTCGTGCGCTTGTGAAGGTCATTGGTGGCTACAGAGATGCCTTGCGGTTTAAAGAACAAGAGAACGGGGAGGTAAAACATATACCTAAATATATTGGGGCGACTGGTTTTATTATTGTTTGAATTCGGTTTTCTTATATTTATATAGGAAAACTGGAGGATAAACGAAAAATGCATTACTTAGTAAATCATTAAATACTCATGTCGAAACAAAAGGAAGGGCCCGTCTCATATCCATTCCACTTAGGGCAGGGATGGGCCCTGTTTTATTGTCTAGGGGCCCAATTTAAAATATTTGGTATCCAAGACCCAATAAAAACCTACTGTTGAGCCAAATTTCGTCCAGGAACCGCAGGTTGTCCATCCCGAGTTTAAGAACTTATTGTTTATCAAAACTTACCATACCATACCACATTATACCACATCATACCATACCATATCATACCATACCATACCACATCATACCATACCATATCATACCATACCATACCACATCATACCATACCATACCATACCATACCATACCATACCATATCATACCATACCATACCACATCATACCACATCATACCATACCATATCATACCATACCATACCACATCATACCATACCATACCATACCATACCATACCATACCATACCATACCATACCATACCATACCATACCATACCATACCATACCATACCATACCATACCATACCATACCATACCAAACCATATGTTTTATTTGCTTTTATATAATGCGTTGTATTCATTAATATTCATAGCATTCATAGCAAGCTCTTTGTTGTTTTTAGGGTGGAAAAATTGTATTCGACGAAGAGTCGTAAGTTTACTTCTATTATAAATCTTTCTCTCATTTTCAGTCAATTTGTCAATTGATTTGTATCGTTGCCTAGCAACCTTTATGTGCTCCTTCGACCTTCTTTATGGAATTGACTCTACATACTAAACGTTTTTTCTTTGTTTTGCAGTTTTCTGGCAACCAGATCAAGCTCTATCAGGCCATTCTTGGAGCAAATCCTCCATTTGCAGTCATTCATTCAGGTTTTGTTTGATCTCCCTTAGTAAAGAGTTTTGTAGAACTACTTTTTTACTTTTGTTTATTGCTTTCTTTGTTCTTCTTCTTACTCTCTTTTGGTAAAAGTATTTTGAAATTTTCAATTTCAGTTCATAGCAGGAAGGCTGGATTTACTAAACGCTGGAATCGAAGTTGGGGATATTTTCGAACAAGAAATTCTTGCTGACAGTGGAGGTAAGTACAACCGTCATGTATTGTCCATTTGTTGCTGTCATTTCTAGAATACACAGCAGGTAAACGTATAAAGAACATCACCTTTAGTCATTTTTCAGTTAACTTTCTTGAATTTTTTCCCCAACTTTTACAACTTTCAGTACCTGCTCGCATTTCGTGTTGACATGTTTCTGATATGTGTTAAAGGTCTTGCGTCAAATGTGGTAAAAACATGATTTATATCAAATAAAGGTACATTTAACTTGCTAACAAATGCTTTGTTGTTCAAACAGATACATCAAAATGGAAATTTCAACATCAGCAATGGATGAATAAAATGAAGGTGCGTGTGTAACAGATTTGATCGTCTTTATGTGCCAGGTGATAGTTGAAGAGTACGTTCTTACAGCTGACCAAATGGTTGTGGAGTAGTCTGTACAAATCGAGTGCACGCCCCTGGATAGGCTGGGAAATTGAAAGCAGTGACTTGGTCTATACTGTTCTAATATATTGTTGGTCTAACTTATTTTGATTCTCTTGGAATTTAGATTCCATGGTAGTGCTAAATTCTTTAATTGAGTCCATTAGAACCAGAGCATTGATAAGTGACTAATTTATCGTTTATTTCCATTTTAGAAAGGTGGAGGAGCACTGAAAAAGACAGTTGGTGTCCAGTACGCCTTTTTGAAAGGAAAAGCCAACGACATTGAACTGAAAAGTAAAGTAAAATCGTTTTATAAAGGGGCAAAAAGTGGAGTTAAAACAAGCTACAAGGGTGCAAAGTCGCAGTTAAAGGAGATCAAACATCAACTAAAAACGAAGGTATTGCTCGAGATCACGTGGTTATTTCCTATTCATCACGGGTGATAAAGGTGTCGGTATCTTGAATTGCTTTTCAGCTTTATTTGTGGACCTTGGTGAAGTCTTTCAGGGAATAGTAGCTGCGGCACATCAATCCGTGATAGTGAAATCTGTTGACGCAGTATTACATTTCTTTTGTCGTTTTCCAAAAGGCATACTCTCTATCAACTATGTGCCGTTTTATATGATATCTCATTTCACAGTTCTGCGCCGTTTCTTGATGAACATGTTTGCTTGAATTTTCTAGGATGCACAAGCGCATTCTGACACTCTACCGGGCCTACAAGTAAAGCGGTCAGAGTCGATGCCTGCAAGCAAACTGGCTAACGTGAGCGCTTCGCCGTTCAGACATTCAATGTATAGCACACTTCCTTCCCATCGTATTGTGAGTACATCTGTTTATAATCGCCTATTGTTTTCAAGGAAAAACCGGTTGAAAGTCAGAACTGTTTTATAGTTTTAGCTTGAAAACTAGGATATGTTGTAAAACTTTGTACATCTAGCCTCTCTCTATAATTCTAGCATCGAGGCCCCAAGGATGTTGGGAAAAGTGGTTCACAGTTAGCAGTGCGCCAAGGGATAACAAGATCCACGTCTTCAGACTGTATCAGTATTAACAGAACTGATAATATGATTGAAGAGAGTGAAGAATCTAGCGAAGAAAAGTTAGCAAAGAGAGAATCAAGCAGCGAGTCGAACATACTGGATTTAATAGTCCTAGATGAAACGCTTCCTGATGCTACTGTGGAAAAAAAGGTAGTAGCAATAAAGGTTATCGATAGCTTGTTTGTGTGAGCAATTATTGCATTGTAAGAATAGTATCATTAGGTTCGCCAAAATCAATGTTGGTAGGAGAATGATCGAAGTGTGCAGCATAAACGGAAAACACTGGAAAATATTTTGGGTAAATGCCATCTCTTAATTTTACAACTGATGTACTTAGATTAAAAGGTTTCGGCCAGCAGCAGATCCAGGATTTAAAAAGTGAGGCACCACTGCGAATGCCAAAGTTTGACATTTTAAGAGAAAGATAGGCCTAAAAGGAGCTGACAGGGGACCTGTCAGAGCTGCAGTTTTTGTAGATATGTTATGTTATTTTAAATGTAGAAAATGTCCTTACTTTTGATTAGAAGATGTTTTCTGAGCACAATATTTCTTTTATTTGTAGGATGCAACGATGCTTGCGTTGACAAATCCAAGCTTTAGCGATGACCCATTTTTTATAATCGAAGATGAAGAGGTGAAAATGGAACACAAAGGGGAAAGCTTTTTCGAACATAGTAAAACGTCCAATACTAGCTGGGTTACGTTTGACGATGCTGAATCGATATCAGCAACCAAGTCTGACGACCGAAACTTGAACAGCCCGATTGTTGAACTTGGTTATGAGGACTTAATAGGACAAAATGCATGCGAAAATTTTGTAATAATTTCACCAGAAAAATCTGAATTTGATAGCAATCCATTAAAACTTGGCCAGCTGCCCAATAATCCTGCTACAAAGGAAGACAAGGATTCACTGCTAATACAGAAAGACGATTTAAACTCTTCTCTGTTAACTGACACTCTTTGCTCGATGTCAGTAGAAACAAGGTCGCTGTTCACAAGACCACAGGCTATAGATGCAGTGAGTCATGGAGCGGCCTACAAGGATGAGGCGTTAGGGTCTGAGACGATAGGACCCGGGACGGCTAATATAGAAAAGAAAAAGCGAAGACCACCTCCAAGACCGCCATTGCCAACCGCACGGCCTGGATCGATCAAAGGTCCGTCTGTGACTGCTTTCCCTCCTCGAAATATCCCTAATCCTAGGCCAATTCCACCAAGAAACATTCCGAAATTGACTTCTTCCTCATACGCCGACTTGAAACGTGACGCACAACGTCGAGCTACAGGATCAAAGCAAACATGTGTTGACAGCGATCCATTTGCAGACCTCTTGAACGAGACTCGGAATGGTATAGCCCAGAGTATTAGTAAAAAATAGATCTTAGAATTGTAAATGATTATATGAATTAAATAAGTTAAAATATTCGAGTGTTAATTATTATAATTAGAACAATTAGATTTGGAATTCTTTTTGTTGTTTTACGGTTTTTCATTTGCCTCGCATATGAAAATTGAATTTCTTTTATTTGTTTAAAATTTTAAAATTCCCCAAACGGAATTGTGTATACCTTTATTTTAACTACTGTTGGTTTTCCGAAAGTCTAGAGTCCAGAAAAGGCAGTGAGTAGCATAGCAGTTATTTTGGGATATATGTTCGAAATCTTTAAATTCTGATCAAAGATATTGTGACGTCATGACTTCGCCGCTCTTTAGACAAGTCGGGAGAGAGGGAGACAGAAATTTTAAAGCTGGCAAAAATTGCTCCATAATAGCCTTTTCAAAGGGAAATCGATGGTCTATTGAATTTAATCATGTAAGGTCACTTGAGCTGGAGGGGCAATTGCACCTAAGTTAGTACGTTAAAAAGCCCTGAATTGCTCGTCATAGAGGATATGGTCTGAGGCGCTTTTAAGAAAGAAGAATATTTTTATGCAAGAACCTTGTGACGATCAGCGGCCTCCTGCCGAGATGGTCTTGGTGGTGATGGTCTGTGACGCAGGCTAGTAATTTTAAGATGTACATCAATGAAAATTTGGGAAAAAAACAAATTCACCGATGCTGGGGTACGTAGATAATCGGGACACAGAATATTGCTTTTCCCAGCTGAATTAAAGAATTTTTTATAAAGCTCTTTCTCTCTTCAAGTACCATGTCCGGCGAGGACGTTGGCGATCATGGTTCTCCACAGCTTCCTATCCCTTGTTCTTCTCATCAGTTCTTGTTCTGACACCTTTGCTCTCTCCCTCTCAGGCAGTTGGGCTGCCATCCATTTGCTTAGACTACCTAAGTAGGTCAGCCGCTGTCTTCCTCTGCTCCTTTTACCCTCGATCCTTCCCGTTAGTGTCAAGTTCTCAAGACTTTCTTTTCTCATTATGTGCCCAAAAAACTCCGACTGTCTCTTCCTGATTGATCTCATCAATTTCTTTATTCGTAATGTGATCTGTCCAGGATATTCGGAGCATTCGCCTTAGGAACCACATCTCTACTGCCTCCAGTCTTCCTTCCATCTGACTTGAGATTGTCCAACACTCACTGCCATACGTAATGATAGAGTTTACATAGCAGTCTAACACTCTGAACTTGGTATCCATGGACATCTTTCTATCTTTGAGTATCTTCCCCAGTTTCTGAAATGCGTCTTTCGCCATTCCTATCCTTCTTTTGATTTCAGAGTCACATTTTGCATCATCTGTTATAACACTTCCTAGATAATTAAACCGTTCAACTTGCTGAATTATGTTTACTCCAATCTGCAATGTTAATTGTGGCTTTTCTAGCTGTTCACTCACTACCATGCATTCTTGCCATTGATCGTCAAACCTTTCTTTCTGCTCTCTTCTACTACCCTGTCAAGTAGTTCTTGTAACTTCTCTGCCGACTCAGAAATGAGAACTGTGTCATCCGCATAACGCAAGTTGTTCATGTTATGGCCTCCGATGATAAATCCCTGCATGCCGTCTAATTCTCTTAGAATTAGTTCGCTGTACAGGTTGAACAAATCGGGCGAGAACACGCATCCCTGTCGTACCCCTCTTCGGATCTGTGTAAATTCACTCATTTCATTCTCAACTCTAATACATGCCGTTTGTTCCCAGTACAAATTTCTGATTAGTCGGATATCTTTTCCATCAAGTTCTAAACTTTGCAGCATCTTTAACAGTTCTTCGTGCTGTACCTTATCAAAAGCTTTTGTGTAGTCAATGAAACACATCTACAAATCTTCTTGCATTTCAATTGCTTTCTCAGATAACATTCTTACCATCCAAATTGCATTTCTTGTCCCTGCATCTTCTACAAAACCACATTGCTCCTTTCCTATTTCTGGTCTTATCTTGCTTCGCGATCTTGCCATGATAACCTTCAGGATAATTTTAATAATGTGACTCATCAAGCTGATTGTTCTGTGTAGTTCACATTCTATGGCACCCGGTTTCTTCGGTAGTGCGATGAAGATAGACTTGCTCAATTCCTGAGGTATTTCTCCACTGTCATAGATTTCATAAAGCTCTACCGACTTTTAATCCTCCTGTCCCTGCCTCCTTCGGTTGAACTTTCTGAAAGAAGCCATCAAATTTAGCACTGATGTTTGTTAATTTCTGGGTGATTTCTTTCTAGAATAAAACTAATTAGAAATTATAGAATCTAAATTCCTATTCTCAAACTTTCTTGGAAAATGCCCATGGATTTTTCTTTTTATTTCGAAAGAAAAGGTTCCGGGTTGGCAAGGAAATATTTAAAATTGGCTTAGGTAGGGTTAGGTATACTTTTTTCTGGGAATCCATTGTATAGGGGATTTGTATCTATAGCAACTACAACAACAATTAAGTATATCGTCAGTCAAATAAAGTTCGGTTCCTGCAAGTTTGTAGAAATTTCAAAAGGTATATTTGAGTTTGACGTGTAGCTCCTGAGAAATGAAGTACGACATATTTATTATATACGCCAGAGAAGATGCAAAATTTGTTCGATCGCTCGCAAAAGGTCTTGAAAGAATCAATATCTCTGTGTTATACAAAGAAAGTTTAGCTGTGCTCGACATGGCGTCAATGAATCCTTTGAAAAAGTCCTTAGGTGACGGTGCGTAGAGTCTTTGAACTTTTTCAGATATCCTAAAGTAATAAAAACATATCATAACTGCCGTATCTTGAAATCGCTGCTGGTTTATTGTTTTCAAAATATGTTATTAAAATAGTCTGACGGTCCCTTTGCGATTAAGCCATCCGGCCGGCTGTTGCCTATTTAAATATTTCATTGTTTCTCTCATCAAACTTTAGTTGCTCGGGAGAAATTATGTATGGGGGGTAGCTCCCCCTTGGTCCTTTCTACAACCTGTAATCTGAGGCTTTTTGGATTTGAAAGATAGATTGTGTTAAAGGTGATGTGTGGTGGCCATAGACACGAAGGAAAGGGGTGATGGTGTCATTGCCCCCCTTTTGTCCATTTAAGAAACTTCGGGAGTTGTTTTGGAGTACATACCTTTTTCTTTTCTGTGTATTTCCTTAAACTTCTTAAATCAATTAACTGTCAGCTATGTATAGTAGATAAAAGAGGAGTTTAATTGGACAGCTGCATAATTTTTCTAATCTGAAAACATGTTCAAGTAAATTTCCCTCAGTCCTCAGTGATGTAACGCAAACATTTCACTGAACATAAATCAAAATCTACTTCTTCACTTTTTCTGTGCTGTGATTTGGTCTATTTCTGAAGCAATTTATAAATGTGCCCCGTATTTTTAACCATGGGGGAAGAGAGGGGTAACGTGCAGCAGCTTCTTTATTGTTCCCATTGATCACTTTTTCACCCACACAAGGCCCCTGATGAAAGGGGGCCATGCCCTCCATTTTTTTGCAAAGTCGTTTGTTATGATTGTTAAGATTTTCAGTGCCTCCCTCCACTTTCCATTGCAGGATGTTGGAGCCCATGTCACACATTTAACCACTGCCACAATAAAATTTATAAAATGTTCAGGGAATATTTGCTTGTTTTTTCCTTAAATTAACAGTGTCATCAATTGGTAAATCTAATGTAGGGCTAATGGTTTGCATCCTAACTCGCTCATTAAAGCAGTGTTTCCCGCAGCACATTAGGTTGCTAAGAAATACTGTCTGTTGTGCCGTGAAAAATTCTCAAATTTCACGTAATTGGTCTAAAAAATAGAAACAACTTTATTATCTGCAAATAATTTGCCGTGCTGTGTAGTCTAGTGATCAGCAGAGTAACCATGTATTACCCTTTCATATCATATAGACACCCTGATGAGAATGAGTTTATATTGTGACCAGTGGCGGACACTTGAGGGGGGAGAAGGAGGGTGACTGCCCCCCAATACTTTAGAGGACAATGGTATTTTGTTCTAAAACAATGGGAAATGTGATGTCATCTTATTAAAACAACAGCCTTGCCCCCCGCCCAATATATGACCAAGTGTCCGCCCCTGTTTGTGACTATATAGGCTACATATTATCAATTTAAAAATTTTCTGTTGGTGGTAATTTTAAACTATGTTTGCTTTTTTATCAGGATTCCAAATGGCACTGTATGGCATTATAGTCATCAGTAAGGAATTCTTTAAGATTGGCTTTGGGGCAGATGACCTTGATTACCTCTCTGAAGTTTTGTTGATGGAAGAACAAATCTTGCATCCACTCTGGTATTATGTTAATGATACTGAAGTTTCAAATTGGTATCCCAAGATGGGGATGAATATTGCTTTGCGATTTCCTCCAGAGACAGAGGATTCAATTGCAAGGAAGTTTGTGGCAAAGCTAGCTGGTATGACATTTATAGGATATAACATATAGACATGCCTTTTTCTATTCTTTACAAATTTCATGAAATATAGCATAAGATCTAAAAACACTCTTTGCTACTTAAATTTAAAATTCATTTTCTCCTTCAATGATTTTCATTCATTATTATTGGCTGAGTAACTTGAATTAGAAAGATGGTGCTGATTATTGATAAGTATTATTTGAACCAATAACAGCTTTACTTTATATCAATATAAAAGGTCCTTGATCATCAAGCCTAACATGGGATTTGGGTCTGGGTTTTCTGACACAATCCTTGAAATGCACCTTCTGTTAGCTATAAGTACATAAATACATGTTAATACTACCAGTTTTTAATTGGCAGATATCTTAAGACATTTCTAGAAGGGGGGTTGCTAAGTTGAGGTATGGGGAAGTGTGCAAAAACAAGGAGTTTGCAGCCATGTATGGGTGCTAGGATGGCAAAGTTACTGATTTGTTTGCAAATAAAGGATGGCTCACCTACTCTGTAGGCAAATACTGACAAGAGGGGCATATACCATAAATGCAATGGGGAAAGGGCACTGAAATGTAATGTTAAGAAAAACATTTCATGCAGCAAAGCGTTCTAATTAGGATAAAATCATGTGAAATTCTCAATTTATAAGTCGTGATCTTTTTCTAAGGGTCAGGGTTTATAAAATGTTTTCCTGACCAGCACCAGACGCTATAACGCTATATCTGTAATAACGTTTGTCCCAGGCTCCAGTATTGGTCACTACGTCATTTAACCCATTGAGCTCTAAATAAAAGCTATTCAACAGGCTGATAACGACTAAAACGGGCCTCCTGAGGGCATTAAAAGATGTTATTAACAAATCTTTGATTTTGAATCCTCTAGAGGCAGTTTAAGGGGATAGTAGAACATTTACATTTTGTTAAAGGGAATTGTTTTGCTTATTGAATCATTCAATTACCTCCATTGTTTTCTCTGTTAAAATGAAGGAGGTAGTTTCGATGTTTACGGAATAGACGCAAATTTTTTCTGTCTTTTATTGATTTTTTTGGTGCAATTACTAGCATGAGCTGGTACAAATCTGTAAAGAAAACAAAATATCGCTTTTTTAAACGTATTTTGATTTTCACAATCTACATGTTTGCGGGAGGACTTATCATTATGTACTTGGAATCGAAGGAAACGAAAGGTATTTTGCCGCCCCTTGCTGAATTGCAAGTTCTGAAAGTCAAGGTTGCTAAAGCATTAAATGCAACAAGTAAAGAGGTTGATGACTTGTTTTCGAAGTTGGTTAATGCTATGGAATCCAGTGGTTTTTCCGAGCCCTACAAGTGGGATTTTTATGAATCGTGTTTTTACGTTGGATCACTGCTGACAACTATCGGTAAGTATCAACTACAGACTTGTGACATGTACATCTCTATTGACTCCTGTAATACCACAACTTTTCTTTTTCAAGCTCTCAAATTTTTAGATTTGTCTAGACTCTTGGATTTTGTATTTGCGAAGGCTGATCTTTAGTTATTGTGGGTTTATTTGCGAAAATGCCTCTCAACACTTATTGTTTTCCTTCTTGGCGTAGATATTTGATGCGACGAAATGAAACTATCCTTAGCTTTATTTGTTTCCTCTGCGTCTACTAAGATGCTGGTTTTTCCAAAAAACGGCTTCTACAGGTAAAAATAAACAGCCATTTGCTTACCGACCCCTTAGGAACATGAATCAACCAGACTTAACGATCAATATGGGTGATTTTTTATCACGTACAAATTAAGAAGATCGTTCATTTGTCCACTTAAAGTGGTTCTTGGTTGTTATCTTTTTTCACACACCTCACTGTCCATCATATTTTTTTCCTATTTTAACATTTCTGCCAGTCAGAAAGTCGATTGTGATTTGAAATTAATTCGTTGCTCAATTCCATTTTGACTTAGAAGTTCTACAGGTTCCTTTTTTAACTAAACTGTTGATTAGTGTCGCTACCTCAGATTGTTGATATTTTGAAACTTTGCATTTTGTTAGAATGGGCTACTCCCAGGATTAATATTTTAGGTTGTTTTCCTTTGAGAGGCATCACTTCTCTTCATAAAGCATTTGGTTTGCTCTAAAATACCCATAATTTAGTGTATTAACTATCATATTATACCGTATGTATCTGGTTTGTTAGGTTTAGTCCTTCGTTAGGTTAGTACATAATTCGGTTCAGTTTTTGTAAACCTGAAGTTGAGTCCTTGCATGACTTTTTCCTTTCCAGGCTATGGGCACATAACACCATCGACCATTCGTGGCCGGGCGTTCTCGATAATATATAGTTTGGTTGGCATACCGTTGACCTTGCTTGTTATCCGAGACCTCAGTAACATAATTACGAATTGCGTGCACAAAACGACCATCAAGCTACTGATTTTCTTCGACCGCCATGGAAACTCTAGCGATAACAGAAACAGCAACTCTGGTGCAAGTGACCACGTCATGTTGCGTAAACTGAGTCGAAACATAACGTCGCCATTACTTAGTAATTATGCAACCTCTGTCAAAGTTCTTTCCATCATAGTTCTATTTCTTCTTGTTGTGATTTTCTTGCTCGTCTCAGCCCTAATGCGCGTATATGCCGAAGGTTGGACATTCTTCGAGGGCTTTTATTTTTGGTATATTACGCTGACAACAATAGGCTTTGGTGACTACGTGCCGTATGATGGAAAAAAGCCGCCCAGTGATTTTCTGGTTGTTATCTACTATTTTGGAACATTTTACCTTCTGCTCGGCCTGTCTCTTGTGGCAAGTCTAATTCAATGCATCGTCGTACTTCTTCAGGGTAGATTGCCTTCAGTGAAGCCATCCCGCTCATCCGGTACAACTCGCTTTCGCTCGTCGATATCCAGGAATTTTTGCCGCCATTGTGCAAGTGCAACTCTCCCAACTCTAATGCCACGCCGCATCTCCTTCGCCGAAGAAGACTTTACCCGGCTCACGGTGGACAACAAAATTCCTCGTTCCAATCCGCCACCAACTGTCAATCTCTGCATTACAGCTGCAGTCTGTGGAGGCGCTTTAAATGGTTTACTCTTTCAGCCGTGCCAATCAACCCATTCGTCTTTGGGTCTGTCCGAAAAGGCCATCGAAAAAGCTTCAGCGAAAGCGGTGTGTTCACATGAACCCGAGGAATCTGAATCAGCAAACAGCTCAGGTTTTGCAGTTGATGGAGGAGCTAATCCAGCGTACACTCTGTCCCAAATCCATTCGGAGAGTATTCGAGATTCTTTTCACAGAGGCTTTGATCAGAATATAAACTGTGCTGAAAATTAGAACTTTAAACGTTTTTAAAAACTTCCTTTTGTTGTACACATATTGTCAATCTGGCGTTTTAGGGATAATATCGTTATGTCACATTCATGTTTGGAATTGAATGCTACAAAATCCTTTACTTACTTCCTGAGACTGTAGTTTTTGCTGTAATGTTATATTTTCTCTGACCGATTATTTTTTCTAATCATAAGTATCTCCTTCATGTTTTTAGGAATTGTCATTGCCATTGAGATTGTGTCTAGCATCTAGCATAACTCTATGTCACTGTAACTTTCTAAAAACGACGGTTTGATTTGAAAGCCAACCTTTCAATAAAATGTTTCTAGTACGATGCCACCTCCTGCTAATTAGTACCATTGACATAACACCTCGAACATTTGTGGCTGCTAGTGTTGTCAAATTGGTCAGTTTTCCGTATTTGCATTGCATTTATTACCTTTTGATCCGCTTTCAATTTAGTCCGTTTCACCAGGCCAGGGCATCTATTTCCTATTCTGCTCAAGGGAAATGGGGGTTCCGATCCCATTTCCCGACAAAGTTGGGGAACCACCTTTTTTGCCGACAAATCTAAAAATTTGCCGACAAAGGACCCCTTTATCGTAAAGAACTCATCGTTTTTCAATGGTTTTTTTCAAAGGGGTTGTTATACCACCACTTGATTGAAAAGAAGCACAGGGCCGTGGGCCTGTAATTGTTCAGGCCTGCTTAGCAATTTCAGGGCGTTTTCCATCTAAATGCTGAATGTGGATATTTTGTACCTAAGAGGTGCGATTGAAAGAGAATTTTCAAGATAGTAGTTCCAGACTCAATCTTCCTTTTCGAAGTGGTATCTAAATTTTGACAAAATGCTTGAAGAAAATAATGCTACTGCTAATGTGATGCTACGTAGCCCATTTCAATCCATGGTTTTGGCCGGGGTGCAATTCATTCTTGAAAAAAGTGCACGAGATTTCCACCAATACAAATGGATTCTTCCACTGATTTCCTGATAAACAATTTTAACAAAAATGATAAACAAAAATGACTTCTACCAAAGGTGTACGTGATTTGTCCCTCAGGAGGGATGGTTAAGAAGGGTTGCCAGTTAGCATGTGGTATCATTATGAAATGGCATTTATAATCATCAAAAGGAAACTTAAAAGTAAGATTATGTTTTAATAAGATTTTATACTCCAAAGACGTATCAAAAGTTTGTTTTGAGAGGGACGGGGAACCAAGCGCTGTGTTTGGTTTTTGCTCTCATTCCCTGTGTTAGTCCCAGCAATCACACACAAATCACCTCCCCCCTGTTTTATAATATGCGGTTCTTGAACAGCATTGCCTTTAATTTATAACTTTGATGTCAATCATTTATTTTTCAGGTTCTGCTGAATTACAGCATGATGTACTCAATGGCTTTCACTCCCGAATTCAATACATGCCACCAACAGTCAGCACCTATCGGCCAGTTGGTACGTGATTTAGCTCTTCTACAATTTTAATAGTCAGTATAAAAGAACATAAATTTTCCAGAAATTGATTTCTATTCTTGAAGATAAGTTATAGTAATCTTCCATTGTGTTACAAAATCAATCTTCTAACTTCGAAAAGTTATTTCAACGATGAATTTGTACAGTTTCGAGGAATACACTCAACCAATCCTCTTGAATTCTCTCGCTATCCATTCGAGTACAAAACGTTTTTGAGATCCTGCTCTATGTTCTCCAATTCTGTGAATTTCACCGATCGCCTAGATTGTAACTTAATGTGGCTCTTTATTATTATGAGATTACAGCCGATTTTAATACGCAAAAATTCACTTCAAAAGGTCCGTCTTTTAGTTCATTTGTCGTAAATGTTCATGCCCAAAGTTTCTGTTCAAAACCGAACAGTTCTATTTTGGACTGATAAGACAAATTGTTTGCACAATGGGAGAAGTTAACTACAACTGTTTAACATAGAAAATTTTTCCACAATTCTCCTAACAAATTCCTGTGAGAACCTTATGAACAGTTAAATCCTTGATTGCAGTGAGTGAGGTAGTGTATAAAATTTATCTGAATGAATTATTTCCAAATATTCCTTGGAGTTCTAATTTTTTTTCAAATCTTAAAATCCCCTGTAATTACTTTCTACTAGAACGTTTATAAACCTTTACTTCAATATAGCCTTGAAGCAAGCCTGCTAGTTTATCTGGTTATTCAATTTAATGTTTATCATAGGGGCGGCGCCAGCCACTAGGCTCTGAGGAGGGGGGGGGACAACAATTTTTAGGCCATGCCTTTTAACTGTAAGAAAAGGCCCCTTAACGAACAAGGAACGCCAATTTTGCCAATAAGGAAAGCCCATGACCAAATTTTGGCTACGAAAGGCAGTTTCAAACCATAGGATTACAATAGGAAATACATTCCCAAAATTTTACCCCTCCATTAACCTTTTCTCGTCGAATTTAGACGAACTACAAAATTGGTCCTGCCAAGAACTAAAGGGAATATGCCCCCCAGTCCCCCCGTGGCGCTGCTACTGGGTTATCAACTAAATTTCTATTGATGAGAGCATTTCGGGTATAACAGCTGAATACATTGAAAACAACTTATTTACACTAGGTCAAAACAGCTGTCCCTTGATAGCATCTCTCTTCTCTAAACGTTTTTCTATTTAACATAGCTTTTAAATTTCTTTTGAGGAGTCGCAAATACATACTCTCTCATTATAAATAGCCTGGGCAGCATTTATGAAAACAAAATCACCTGGCTCCTATCCGCTGGTTTTCGCTTACTTGTGAGAATCCTTGACGGTGACATCTGTATTATTCTCGTAAACGTTTTATATGTTGATATTGGAAATGGATTCTCTTTTCTTCGACAAGGCCTGGATTATTTCAAACACAAATTCGTTAATGGTATTTGGCTTGATTTATAGAATTTCAAGAGTCAAGTACGACAATGTCGTTTCAAAGAACTGAGAAACAAGAATATGATGATCAAGGACGAACTTCCGAGGGTCAGTTTTTTTCTTGTGCACTGAGTTTTTAGATCAGCATAGTTTGAATACAGCGATCTTGAGATTTCAATTTTCACACTCTTGTTTATCGTCTTTGTTTTTATTCATTATGCTAATTGCTTTTTCATGTTGTTTCATATTCAAGTACATACTAAACAGGATTTTGGTATAGCCTTTGGTGCTTCTGTATTGTTTTTTGTTAAGGTCAATGGGTAACCATGTCTATCATGCTCCCATTGGCATCGTCTTTGTAATCTTGTTCTTGTAAAATGTTCTTTTTTAGACTGTGTATAAAAAAAAGAAATATTCAAGAACTTTCTTCGCCCTATTTAAAACTTTCAGTTCTTATGTTCAAGTACCTTCTCTGACATATTTAAGACTTTCAGTTCTAAGATGTTTTATCATTGCATTTCCTGCCTTGAACCAAATTTTACCAGCCTCATAAGGGTTATCAATTTATAATCTAACTTGTTGACCGAATGGAAGTTTAGATGAAAGTTATGAATGCAAAGTAAGAGACATCTTAGATTACCGTAACAAAGACAGGCTTCACTGATTATTTTTTTTTATATATATTCTCATAAAATTTAGAACGACAATCAATTAAAAAACAAAAGCCTAGGGAGCATGGAAGTGCATAACAACCCTAAGACTTACACTTAACATAAAGACACAAGTATTACAATAATAAGCAACAAAAATAATTGGAGTGGTGTCGCCCATCGTTCCTGATTATTTCAAGTCATGGTCGAAATCAATAGTGATAAGAGTATCCTATCTCTGTGTCGAAATCTAATAAATTGATGTTGTACAACGGTATTGGCCATTAAGCAAAGAGTATGTATTAATTGTAGGAAGAAGTCTTTCAATTCTAAGCGTTTTTCAATTTAACTGATTATAGAAGTCTTTATTTATAGATACGTCTATACCCGGTTTAAATGAGGCATCGAACAGACAATCACAAATCAAGGAAACTGAAAAACAGATTGATGGTAAGTATTGAGCTACTGGTGTTTATTATTGAATAGGTTCGTTCGCGAAATTCTTTTTTCTAAGCTGGTGCACTTAAGTTTTTTATATTATTTTTTTCAAAATAATAAAATTATTTTCTTTTGATGCATGTAATACCAGCATACTCGAAGTTACTTGTGGTGTTTTTCAGGGGTCTGTTTATTTTCCTGGTACTTTCCTCTCCCTGAGGTGTGTTTGTGTCTTTCCTTAAAGCCTTATTAATTTCTTTAAACTTTTATAGACGAACCAATTCTTGAGTGTTTTACTATTGATCTGAGGCACGAAATTGGCAGGCGACTGGATGTGTACCTTAAAGGTCTTTCGAACTGGAAAGATCTAGCTGGCGTTTTTCGAATTAAAGATGAACCTGAACTTAGAAGTCTACTACGCACAAAGGAACCAACGATGAGTTTATTGGATATTATTGCTGGACAAGGTGTAACAGTTGGTCAACTAAAACTTGCTTTAGAAAAGATTGACCGATGTGATGTTGTCAATTTTATAGACAAGTATCTTTCTTCCGTTTTCTAATGTATAAATATTTGTAGATATTGCTTATAGCATTGGTTTGTAAAATGGTACTGTTAGTAAAATGGTGCACAAATGAGTTATCATGATACTGAGGAACAAATCCAAATAGCAATTAATAGCTAGACAATCGAGAAACAATTTTATGACGTGAAATAATTGACCGATCGTAATATTAAAGAGATATCACTATACCTTTGTTAGAATCATGTACGATTTCTGACCAATATCATTTATAATGGTACTAGCTCAATTGTTGGTTACGATATTTGACAACCTATTGCAAGTCTACAATATTGCAAGTCTATATTTTGCATAAAGCTCGCCTCCCAAGTTTGTAGATAGCCTTCAGATATCAAAGCAATATTGAGTCACATCAGATTTTTGCAAAGATTTTTTCCGCACTTTGTGGAAAAATGTTCATTACTCCCCCGTACAACTCTGGCTAGAACCTAGAAAAAAGTGTAACGGAAAGAAAAGGAACGTAGTGTTTTTATCATTGAAAACACAACTGCGGTAACACAAGACAGATTACGAGAGAAAGACTAAAAGTATGAGAGAAATTCCATTGTTCTTATATCTATAAACTTGTAAAACGTGTTGCATGTTAAGCAAGCTAGTTATTTATTATATCGCCGAGCAGACTTAGTATTGTTTATTGCTTTTTGAGACAGATGTTCAAGATCTTACATTGAAAAGATCTTACAATTTTTTCATTGAAAACATAAGATCACCAATTGAACCTTCTGAAAATTCTAGTTTGTTTTGAACTTGGATGCTCTAAGTTATAACTTCAAGCATATCTTTGATCATATCTTTGAAATCTTGCTAAATCTCATTAGCTAAGCGATAACGAAATTGTCTCTACGTATTTATTAATTTTCAGATGTAGACTGCTTGCAAAACAAAAGAACTTTGCAAGAATTTAGTAATTGCATCATTTTTGTGATACTTTCATACAACTCAACATATACAACTTTTATTAGCTACAGCCAAATGAAAATGTTTATCTTATAACACAATAAAGGCGTTATAACGAAAGCCTTTGCCGCTACTTTACAAAGCAAAGGCCGATCAAATTTTGTCTGCAATTTCAAAAGAAGAAACAGTTATTAATAAGTATGAATGTTTTTCGACCATGGAAACAAGAACTACATAACGCATTAAAGAAGTACCTATGGGTCATGCTTGTCGTCTTGAACCCCAGCTTCGCTCTAAAAGACGGGGAAGCGTGGATTGGTAGCTCCCTCTTTTTTGATCTAGCTGCAGAAGCTCTCTCTTTTCCGTCCCTCTTCAGTTTTTGTTTTCTTATTCCAACTGCTATGCAAAACATACTCTGTAACCTTATGCTTAGGACCTCGTACTGAAAATACATCAAAACGAGACATGAAATTAACAAGAAGGAAAGCTTGGGTATCTGCATTCGTAAAGCCCCGTTAAAATGTTCTCAACATTTCACTGAACATCGCTCAACATTGTACAGTGATGTTTAGTGATGTTTAATGGTGTTTAGTGATGTTTAGTGATGTTTAGTGATGTTGAATTGGGGTGTTAAAACGCTCTCAACAATTCGACTCAACATTTGTTGAGCGGTGAACTTCAGACTCTCAGAGATGCAAGGCAAGTTTTGAAGATGAACTTCAGATACTCTTTCGGCTTATCAGTAGCTGCCTGATGATTTCCTAGGATCAGGATTTTGGTCTTGCAACTTGCTTTGAATTGCTATCTTATCCGATTTGCTTTCACTGCCAACTGTTTCCAAGCGTTCGTCATGGTTTGCCATTACGATTTATAAAATTCAACCTCTCTCAACCTCTTGGTCTGCTCTGAGATCTTGACGCGTTGAAGCCTTTCGTTGGCGCGCAAAATCCAAGTCTAGTGCACTTGCGCCGACTGAACATTGTTGTATGGGTTGTTAAAATGCTCTCAACATCTCTCTACAACACTTTTAACAACAGAAATGTTGAATCGACCCGCTGAACATTTTTGAATCTGTGCAAACTCCACTCAACGTCGTTGAACACCGCTCAATACCACTCAACATCACCGAACAGGATGTCAAAACGCTCTCAACATTTGCACTCTACAAATGTTGAGCGATGTTCAGTGAAATGTTGAGAGCGTTTTGATTTAACGGGGCTTCACACCTTTCATCAGATTTCAGTTTGTACCCTATTCTCAAATGGAGGCTGTTTCGACTTTAATTCATTGGCGTCATGTTTCCTTTTGCTATGTGCACTGCTTTGTTTTGCGATGTTTTCATTTGCCACTCTCAGCGCGATGTCAAATGTCATTGCTACGAAGGCTAGACCGAATATTGCTAGCAGATTCAAGCATTCACTGTACCATTTTGATGCAGATTTTGGAGTAAAATCACCAAATCCTATTGTCGTAAATGTTATGAATGCCCAGTAGATTCCATCAGAATACTTCCAATCTGCAAAATGATCAGGTTATGTTGTATAATAGGGATTATTGATGTGAATAAAATTTTCATGGTTATTCAATTGAAGAGTCTTTGCATGGCGCATTTTGCAAAACTTTCCATTTCACTACAACAAAAAAGATAAAAAGCGAGAAATCAACATCTAATTCTGCTTTATCACTATCCGTAATGCCTATGTTTAAAACCCTTTCATTCTTCAACAACTCAACAACTACTCTCCCTTAATTACAGTAACAATACTTTTATACTATTTACAGTGCGCATGTGCAATTACAACAATAGAGTGATAAACAAAGTATTAATCCTACTACAGGTGTGACACCGCCCATTCCATATGAGTTTGTCGGTAAACTTTTAGTAGGTGGAAAAATGTTTTGTTGGTAAAATCGTCTATCGGTAGATGAAATAGTACCTAAGTTTTTCTCCATCTATGTCTTCGTCGGTAAATTCTACTACTCATGACTTACCGATTTCTACCATAGAGTCATTTCCTGCTCGGATTTCCAAATCTTCAAGGGCCAAATTTGGTTATGGAAATTTGCAATATTTGTTATAAATTATATCTTTATTTGATATTGAAGACCGGGACAGTGCCAATTCTGTGCCTATCACCAAGTTTGAAAATTTTGTCCCAGATTCGAAAATTTATTCAGTTATGTTGCATAAGGTAAAACAAGTAAGAAGTCGATCAATACCATCTTTTCCTGTCAGTGGATATTTAATCTAAGAATATAATTTTATTATTAAAATTTGCTCCATAAATGCAATTTCCAGCGAACTTGAAGCATTAAGATTATAAAAACATTTTTCCATCGGCGGCAACCATGGTGCCGCCTCAGGTAGTAACTTTATTCTACCATTGTTCTAACAGCTGCAGAGGGCACGTGGGGCTGTGTCTCTAAATGAAAATTTTAACAACAAATTGCCCCCCTCTGGCTACACTTTTTCCAAATGATATTTTGAAAAGCTAGTACAATTATAACTCCGTAAGCTTGATTTAGTCCAAATATATCTGTTTGTTATATATCTGCTCTCTTGTTTTAAATCCTGCCCCCCCTCAGGTATGGTTCTTGCTCGAGTTTGCCCGCCCTAGCCGACATCTACAGCTACGTGGCTGTGTCCTAATCTACTTATCTATAGGGTTGCAAGATGTCAGGAACTTTCACAGCAAGTATAAAAGAAATAGAGACTAGATAAAAGTGCATTTTAAATATTTTTCCAGCTAAAGCAAAGGTTATGTGCTTCTCCGCCCCCCCCCCCCTTATACTAATATGAAATACTTCTATTTGATTAACATTATTAACAAAAAAATTTTCTTTCTGGCCCCCTCTAGAATTCATTCGCCGCGACGCCCCTGGATATTCTTCAGCGCATTTAAATTTGGTTTGCCTCCAATTGATGTTACTTCTTATGTAGACACTTGCTGTTGAGTTAGAACCATGTACTCCACCACATATATTTTAGTTCACACTGCTATACTTTAGTTCAAAGTGTAGCAAAATTAGTTACAAATGAACCGGCATATAACTGATATTTTTGTAATAGATACAATATTTGGTACCTTCCAAAGTTGCGATTCCCATTCCACAGGTTATCACAAACAGCAATGTGAATGCACCACACTGGATTACGCAGTATACAGTTGGACCTCGCTGAATATTTCTCTGTGAATAAATCTTGCTCTTAATCCAGGCTTTAAATTTCACAAAAATCTCACAGAACAAACTTCCCATCGTTGCCAATGTAAACATGCACACTGGAATTCCAATCAAAGAGAAGGCAACCACGAATGCTTTTCCCCAACTTGTAGTTGGATAGATGTCCCCATATCCTTGTGACAGAGAAAAAGTCATTGTCATCAATTCATTTTATATTAAGCCCGGAATGTTGAAAAAATATCTTAGCCTTTCTCTGTACAATATCGTAAAAAATGTTCAACCTTTCTAAAGAAAAATTTATAACAAGGAGGGGTTAGAGCGTGGTTCTAAAATTTATTTTTAAAGCCTACCGCAAAGTTATCGACTATGCGACCGCCATGTTTTCTGGGCTCACAGAAATCCCGCACTGACTTTTTTTGATTGAGTTTGATTTTTTAAATTTTATATCAAACCCCAGTCCTTTTTATCTCTTTCACTTGTAATCTCAACAGTAAGGAATTAAGCTTTGTCTGTATTTTGTTGTTTTAAAGTTAACTTTTGATATTAATTTCATAACTTAGATTGTTGCTCTACTGTTGCTTTTATGTTTTGATAGCAGAAATTTATTTTTATCTATTTTTAATAACGAGATATTCGAATTACCAACTGTTGATAAAGTAACTCCCACAAAATATCGCCATTTTAAAAATGTTCTTGTGCTCATTTCTCTTTTCCATGCATTTGTCTGAAACATTCTTCTTTGCTCAATTATTGCCGTGACCTGTTTTATCATTGTGAGCGCAGTTGATGCATTAACACCGATTCCAAGCGTGTCGTTCATTATCCCTGCGACTTGCAGGACAGCATCTTGCTTCGGATATTGAGTATATTCATTTGTTCCTTCATATTCAATGATCATTAGAATTCCCGCTGCAGCGAAGCACATCGTCGTGTAGACTACTAAAGAAAGCAAAGCCTTCTTTCCATTTTCAAACGGCATGTTCAGACCCCAATACGACACTGTTCTTGCCTCTTCATCTAATTACATCGCCGTGTTTATTCTATGCAAGTGTTTGCTTCTTCTGCTGTCATTTGGTATTTTGAAAAATCGCAAGTATACATACATCAGCACCGTATTTGTAGTGGGATTTTCACAAAGAATGAGTGCAAAACGATGAAACACATCACGAGTTTCTTAGCAGTCAAAATAGAAGTCCCTTGCACGTTGCCATAAAATGATAGCAAAGAATAAACATTGACTATTCTTAATAAATTATTCATACTGGCTGCTAATCGAGTCCTGGTCAATACTCATAACTAGGATATTTCTGCAACAGGTAAATTGATTTTATATGGCATTTGCATGTATAAACGAATTCATTCTTATCATCAAAAGCATTTTTAAAACCACACACGCCACCAGTTGTTTCTTTCGATTGTTCTGATGCTGACAGTTTGGGTAAATAATTTACCAAAATTAAAGAACATAAATGAATATCAGATGAATATCGTTTTTTTCCAACAATGGAATGACTGAATGAAAGGTGCCATATTTTAGAACAGAACTAAGGCCACCTTGAATTTACTGACGATTGAAATTATGCCTTGGATGCAAAAGTCTCCATAATTCAGTCCCAGAAGTTCTAGAAACTAGAATCACCGAAACTAGTATTCTAGAAACCATAAATATTTATTTGAGCATCCACTCATTCTTTGCCATCGCATCGATCTCCAAAACTTTACCCCCGGTTTCTTAAGGCTCTGGTACTAAGCATATTAAAATTAATGCGCATCTTTCTAGTTCAGCTCGCTCTAATTTCTCTATATTGATACTCGTTGTATGAATACATTTCTTTAACGATCTTTTGGTCTTTTAATTTCTGGAAAGAGAGGATTTATTGAGATAGACCGTTCATGTGATAATTGGAAAGCGTACGGGGTGCAAAATTTGGAGTTGAGATGTTAAGATATGGTGTATATTTCTCATTCAGTGTCGTAACCAAGAGTCTAGGGGAGCTCTTTGCATCTTTAATGCTGCACCCCTGACTTTTCCATTAATATTTTACTGGGGTTTTCTACGAAAATATATGATTTCTTAAGTAATTCATTTTTTGACTGCTTATAACAATGACAAGAATGTCGAATGAGTAGATGATACGTGCAAATGATAGGTTTATTCGTACGATAAAAGAGGATTGTTTTGGAGGCTATGCGAGTTAATCACGCTTGTGAAGATTCCTTTTGTCAGTCAAAACCATGAGGATCTCCACGCAGCATAAACACACAAGAAGCAAGTAAACATCTTCTGGCAATTTCATTTACTCAGCTGTCATGACAGTCACAACGGTTAATGATATCTTTGCTGTATATTTAGATTTTATCATCATCATCATCATCATCATCATCATCATCATATCATCATCATCATCATCATCATCATCATCATCATCATCATCATCATCATCATCATCATCATCATCATCATCGTCATCATCATCATCATCATCATCATCATCATCATCATCATCATGGCATATAAAGTTATTGGTGCCCCATATGGGCGACAAGATTCACCATTACAAAATGCAAAGGAATCACTATACGAGAGGTATAAACAAGATATTTCATTTACTATAAACAATCCCTAAGTTCCATACATTAAATAGCGTAATGGTATATATGTATGTATTATGTACACATTTGAGTATGGATCAGGATTGTTCGAAGTTGCAACTTCGAGTTTGACGCCTAATGCAATCATCGGGAAAATGTTGTATAAATTCAATTATTACACTTTCCATTTCTGAGAAAACAACTTCTAAAAACCAGCGTGAACAATTCTAGTCGTATATTTGCAGGGCACCTTCCATCACGAAATTTCTAATATAATAAATTGCCAAAAGAGGCTATTGCATTGTAAAATGTTCGATTGCTTGATGGATTCATATATCATAGTTGGAAAAGTTAATATATACAGGGCCCGCGCCATTGGGACAGGGGCGGGATGGCCATGGCCCCCACTTTTTTGCGAAGCTTATATTTTGAATAAAAAAGACCCCCCTGCATTTGTTAGAAATCCAGATGAAATGAATTGAAATTCAAGGTGCGGTCTATTCTATGATTTTTTTTGGAAACTCCGTATTACGATAAGATGAAGATTTTCTTGTTGCCTGCCGGTGATCAGAAAATTTTGTTAAAAACGAGAAGTTATAAGAAACTTGAATAAAATGAAAACTAATAGAAATTCAACCAAAGAACCTCCACCACCCCAATCCGTGTCTCGTGTCTGCCGCGGACCGCGGTTCCTCCCATCTCGGCTCCGGCGCCTTGCATCCCCTCCCCCGCAGTTAACTCTGAAATTGGATGTTCAAATCTGCTTGTGGCTTTTTGCAGTCTGTTGAGCCGATCCCTTTGCAAGTGTGGACTTATCCCAAAGACTAGTCAATAGTTGCAAAATAGCGCAGCGATTTCGTATATAATACTGATTTAAATAGTATTTTGTTGTTGTTAATATAGTGTGCTAACTTTTTATTTACATTTAATATATTATTAGCCCATTTTGTTGTTTTTGACGAATCAATGTTAGCGAAGTTCTTGTTTCTGCGAATTATTAAGACTCCATACTCATTTTGCATTTAGGCCTTTTCTCAAATTACAGTAAACAGCTGTTTCTTGTTTACACCAGAATTTAGATATTGCTTTAAAGGATGGAATTTTTCAAGGTTGACACGAACAGAGCAAAAGTATTTTCTAGCAGAACATTGCTTCCCTATTAAACAAAATTTAAAAATAAGCTTAAGAGCATGCTATTAAGGGAAATACGAATGCTGTAATTTATAAGGGCCTATGTTCATAAAGTCGGATATCAGATCCATATCACTATTCTATCCATACATAGTCGTGATATCTACATATTCTTTTGATCTTTTGAAATGTTCTTGTTTAAGTATTAAACACCAAATTCTCCTCTTAGGCAAAAATATATTGCACCAGATTGCGCAAAGTGACAAAGAATGAATAATAAAACAATAGTTGAGGGTAGGTCCTTTAAAATTCCTTTGAAATTTGTTGAAACTGTGCGTTTTGCAATTTTAACAGCTAGATGTCACATTTTAAATGCCTAATGTTTTTTCATGAAGAAAAGTGCCTGTAGTAATTTTGCTTGCATAGAAACGATAAAAATAGCCGATAACATGTCTTTAACAACGAGGCATAGTAGATTATTGACAACAAATAATGTGTTTGTGGTGGTTGTTGTTATTTATAGGAAGTAACCCCGTTTAATAAAAGGTGAGGAAACAATTGTTACTTATCGACTATAATGTTCCATAAGGGGTATGTGACTCTATAGAACTGTCATGTTTTTAGAGGAAGTTCAACTTCTGCCCTACGATTTCTGGATCAATTTTCTTTAACAATTAATGGCTCTGATTTATTTTTAGATGCACAGTTTTTTTATGTCAGTTGGTTCCTGGACACTGGATATTATTTATTCAAAATACAGTGATGATTCTCTAGAGAGTTGGGGAAAAAGAAGCCAGATGCAAAAATGTTTGATTTCCAAGAACAATCAAGTTTGGTGAGAAGACAAAATATGTAGTAACAATATTTTGATTTCTATGCTAGGCCCATTACATTCAGGCTTTTGTGGGAAAAATATGACAGGCATGTTAACAACTGCAGGCCTGAAAACATCCAGGCGTGTGGTGGCGTGTGACATTTTTTCGCAAAAATATATGGTTATCATAATAGATCTACACAGAAATTGCCAACATGACAATGATGACACCAATAACTTTGATGAAATTTATTTCGCTGAATCCTTAACATCACTATTAACATTTTAACAAAAAAGTCTTATTTCTGAAGACTAGAGCAAGTTTCTACATAGTTTTCATCAGCTTTGATGATATATCCTTAGTAGAGTCATTGGGAGCTTGGCATTCATCTGGGTGTAATGACCATTTTTGCGTGTAAGTCTGAGCCCCGAGGGCCCTCCGTTATCAAGCATCACAGCTATTTTATGTATCTTTCTGGCCAGATGTTGATAATCCATAAAGATAATGCATAAAAGATAATGATGGGCCATTTTTCATTGATTTAAATGTCGTCAAAATCTAGATTTAAAGCAAAGCAAAGTCTGAAGATGGGGCTATATATGGGTAGCAAAATCTGCAATTCTGCAACTTTTTCTTGCATAATTGGCAAGTCTGCTACTTTTGCTAAATTAGCAATTGAAAAGGAAAATCTTGTTAACAACGTTTACTGTTCCTTATAAAATTCGGAGACAAAAATGTCTGTTATTGTATTATGTGTTTGGATTTGTTCACCGAAATGCCTTAAAGCCTTGGAAAGGTTTAAACTTTTGCACAAATCTCTTTTCCTTTTCTTGCATCATAAAAAGTGCATGTTTGCCAATGTATGTTTTGCCAATGATAATAATTATTCCCCTGAGAAAACGTGATAAATATACACCGGGGAACAAATAGGCCAAAATAACTGTGAAAATTTATAGAAACGTTCATCATATCGAGGAAAATCATGATGAAGGGACATACAATTCGGTTTGTAATAATGAGAGTTTGCTATATGGGATTCGTTATACCGAGGGAATTTGTAAGGGGTTCGGCAGAATCCAAGGGGCCAGACATATTTTTGTTGTACTGGAAAATAAGTTATAGCCGGTTTTCATATTATCAGGATACCACTTTAGATTAGTCCTATGGTTACTTCAAAATTTTCTATTTAATTCGAAATCTTGACAAGGTGTTAAGCCTTTTTTGAAGTGGCATGAAGTAATAGCACATAAATTTTAAATGAATTTATTATGTTTTAGACCAGAAACATCACACATAACTCAGCAAATATTGAAGAGGATCTGAAACCAAGAGGTTCTCAATTAATTATTTTCATGACTGTTATTTATAGTTTTTATGCTTGTTAGATTATGCTATCTTTTGTACTTTGGTAACCTTTGAATAATTAATTGCTAGTGACGACAACTAGGACCAACTTTTATTAAAAATTGAACATTGAGCCAAGAGAAAAGAATTACTTTCCTAAATCATGAAAATGTAATCCTTCAGGATATTTTTCTGCTTAGTTAGATACCTTCCCCTTTTATATACTTGGTTTTCACATTTTTTGTCTAGGGCTATGTGGATTGAATAACATGGGTAACACATGCTATATGAATTCTGCCATCCAATCACTATCAAACTGGTAATATACATTTTTTGCTATTACAATTGTGATTAGTTATCGGGTTTTTTATTCAAATATTTATAATTAGTTTAGTATAGCATAAGGACAAAAAAAACTTCATTAGAGTTGATTTTAAAAAACTAGGCACAATTATCATGCAATGCATGTTGACAGTTGTCAAGTGATTAGAATGAAACAGGTTGGTTTGAATAATACAACTGACCTGCAGGAGTGAGAAACAAACAGCTAAAAGTAAATGATATACAGGCCTTGCTCTAAGCAAAATGAAGGTGTTCCATAAAAAGAGCCCCTTAGAAACTCTAGGCGCTCTATTTCGCACCTTTAAATGAAATATATTTGAGAGCATCCTTCAAGAGCTTTGGAAGATCGAGAGCTTCATATCGAAAGCTTTGGAAGAGTGTTAAATAAGAAATTCAATGGTGATACCAAAAAGCACCATAATATGAAATAAAAACACATGCAGCAAACACTATGTTAATACAAATATAGAACTATAGGAAAACGCATGGCTTTAAGTCGAACATTAGCTTTGTTTCCCTTTTTATGCTATTCATTCTATAAGACACACTAGAACATCTACTACTCGCGAAAACAAATGAAAGCTGAAAAGCAATGCGGTAATTTGGACGGAAACGTGAACTCTGATTTGCAAAGGTGATTTTAAATTATTAAGAAAAACAGAAAATAATACTTCAACAGAAGATTAACGCTTGCTCGAAAATCAAATAAATCTGCCGGAAAATACGCTTGATGGCCTGTGTCCTTGGTGGTTATTAGAGGGTTATTAGATTAAAAATGGTATCGAAAACCCAACGTTGAATTTGCTGAATTTTTTTTTCAAGGGGTAATCTTACGCAAATCATAATATTGCGGTCTATTAGGAAGATTGTTTATGCTTGATCGAGTTTATTAGACAAAGGCCAAGAAATTATTTTGCTCCGTGGTAATATTGTTTTTACGTTTTGAGGGGCTCTATAAATCGCTCTCCAAGGCTGCTTTTGGGTGCGCTCTAGGCGCGCGCGCTCGATCGAGCGCCTTTCCGGGCAAGGCCTGGATATAAGTTTAATTTAGTTTGAAATATTTTCATATCATGAGTAATTCATCTTTCTATTATATTGTTATTCATTGAATGCCATGAGTGGCCTATCTGCAATGTTTTGTTTGAGCGTGTAATGTAAGCAATAGTTTTACTTATGTTCACTTCACCAAGGATTCAAATTTATCAACATAATTAGCCAGATATCTAAAAAGCCATTTTTTATTTGAATCTGTCACTTATGTATCACATTGAAAATACAAGCAAAAATCTTTTGTAGCGTGCCACTTACTCAGTTTTTCTTGAAATGTGATGCATTCATCACTGGACCAGAAACTGGAAAACCGAGTGTTGCAGTTGAGTATTGCAAACTGATGAGAATATTATGGGGATATGAAAGGTAATGCTTCTTTTCTCAAGGTGTAGAAAAGGTGCTGTTTTGGAATTGATACATCCATGGGGAAGCCCAATTTTTGAAGGCTGGGGCAATAGTATCCTATGCAAGGGACAAGTATCCTAGGCCTAATCTCCCCCGATTTTGTTACTGTTGAGAGATTTTGTATCCCAGGGTGTACCAAACTTAACTTTATGAAGATCTAAATGTTTTGATGTATATTTTTTTCTTTATTCGATGAGGTGCTAAATGACAATGAGAGAATTAAATGTACTAAAAAAAATAAATGTGTAATATTAAAAGGTGTATACTTGTACAGAGTGTATCTTTTAGTTAATAAAGACGTGAGCTTGTGACATTCATTTTGTCTTTCTTTTTCTATTGTTGACAAAAACAAGAATTTATATCCAGGAAACTGAGCAAGATCTCATGAAAATCTCTTTGGCTCAACTCCAAAGGTTAATTGCCGGATTAGAGCTGTTATCAATGACATCATTTCATAATATGTACATTGCTGTATTATCCAACTATTTGAAATTTTGTTTGTAATGTTTATAAATGTTTATAAAGGCAAAGATCGATTAATCCATTGGCGCTGGCGAGGTCAATTAGATTGATTTATACCCAGTTCAAATGGTATGCACAACAGGACTCTCAAGAGTTTCTTCGCTGCATTATGGATCGTCTTCACGATGAGCTCAAACGACCTGAAATGGACTTTCATTTAAAGCGAGGCCAGACGAGTCCAAAGAAAGGCCACATTAAGCACGAAAGTAAGAAACTTCTTGGAGGACAATTGGCAGAAGGTAAAGTATGTCTTTGTGCTGTGTTGATTTTTGTTCCTCGAGAAATTTATTTTCTCTCTTTGAAGGAAAGCAAACAGAACTTTAAAACTGCACTCTATAAGCTAAAGTTTCATCATATTTGCTTACTTATTGTGCTGTACAGAAAATTAAAGGGAAGCACAGGAGAAATGTGTATTGAGTGATTTTATTCTTTAAAGTTTTCTAATTTCTAAAATTATAAGAACTGTATTGTACACATTTTAGTCGAGCAAGCGATGGATGTCGATGACCAATCAGATGATGAGTACAGTGAACTGGGTGAAAAACATCAAGACAGCAATAAAATTAAAGGTGATTTTATTTATTGTAGAGTCATTCTCTTATGGTGTACGTCCATAAGCTACATATGCTTTACCTTGACATATCCAGTCCAATTCCCTCCTTCCTCCTTGATAAATAATTTCAATACCAGGAATTGTTTTAGTAACCTTGTTCTTACTAGTATGTCTTGTTTTAGTTTTTGTTTTTTTGTATTGAGCCAAAAATTGCGAATTCTTCCTTTTACTTGAATAGAAAACACAGTGGTCTATCATAGCATCATATCTGACGTATTTAACGGAAAATTGAAGAGTCTTGTACAATGCCTTGCTTGCAGTCGAGTAAGTATGCCAAAGTTTGGTTCATCGAAAGATTTTTCATTTGAGCAAATTTAAAGAACGATTGTTACTGCAAAGCCTCTTAAACCCAATATCCTTTAACCTATATCTATCTTCAACAGGTCTCTACAACGATAGAAAATTTCCAGGATCTTTCGCTTCCCATTCCAGGTGAATTGCTTGTCTTTTTAAAACGGAACACATTAATTGCTTCCATTTTAAAGCCAACACAAGATATGTGACCACTGACTGACAGCTGGGAGGCTCTCTCCAGATTTAAGTGGGGCAAAGAATCAGAAATATTATGTAAGTTATTTGGGACTGTCTTGCGTTGCCCCCTTCTAGCAAGGTACAATACGTTCTTAAAGCAAACTAACAGCATGCTAGGGACAACGGGAATAAGCTTTTTGACGCAATCTCCTACCAAACCTACTTAGTTTAAATCATGTTGGTTAATGTGTAAATTGATGACGAGGACTCCTCCAACTCGAAACAGTATTTCAATTTGTTTAGTACAGTTCTTTACTTGTGTGTGTCAATTGAATAACCACAATGCGCATGTTTCTTTCCAGGAAAAGACGATCTTATGCAGATCCATTCCCAGCGCTCAACTAACCCCATTTCCTGTTCGTCTAGTTTTTATACCCAAGGATGGTTCAGCAGTATTTATAGCTGGCTCGAAAGGTAGATTCATATCTCTCTAATGTTTTTTTCACAATAGCCAGTATCATTTGTATCATCAATGTGAAGGTTAAGAGGAATTTTCTCGAGAAATCTAGACGTTGCACGAATTTTTTGTGCACGTATTTCGATTTGTTTTTTTGATTCAATTTTTAGCCTGCCTTTATAAACAGCCAAAAACCATTACATTTTACGCTATGTTTTCCAGAAAAATGCTGAAATTAAGCTTTCTTTTGAAGATAGAACTAGAAGAATAAAATTATGTGTAATTATCACGCTTAGGTTAGAGTAAAGGCACAGCTACTTTCCCTGGGACAGAATCCCTTATATTTTGATCATCGTGTTTTTATGTGCTTTATTCTAATTTGGTGATCATCTCATTGCTGTTGTCAATAAATTTTCTGCTCATACGTGTAGATTTTTCCTGTTTTCATTTTATTTTGCTAAATCATATCTTCTTGTAACATGTCAAATGTTTATTTTTGCACGGAGTGCAAGTTTTTTCATTTCTTGGTCTCATGGATTTTAAAAAGTTTTGGCATACCAAAGTGACTGTCTAAATGTTTTGATAACTCACCTCTTTCCTCTCTCTTTAGTTGGTTTGTTGGCCCCCAAGTCTCTCTTCAAGATTGCCTTGCTGCATTTTTCGCCAAAGATGAACTTAAAGGCAAGCTATTGATATTTCGAGTTTATTCAAGTTCGGGTAAAATTGATGAAATTTCATTTCGTTGCTAAAGAACGCTTGTTTTCCCTTCCTGATGACAGGTTGTTCAGGGTGAAAGATTGTCCTGGATAACCGATTTTCTCTGGGTTAACAGATGCTCCGGGATGACCAATTATCCGGAATGAAAGGTTGTCCGGGATAACAGACATTATAAGGACATTTCTTCGTCAAACAGAACTAAAACTATGATTTGAAAGCCCACTCAACATTTTGTTTGTTTGCAGGTGACAATATGTACAATTGTGAAAAGTGTAATAAGTGAGTGTCTTTTTTCCGTCCTTCCTCGGGCATTAAAGTATTGAATGCATTTTAGTTAACCGCAAGGAGTTTTGTAATTATGTCTAGCTTTGCATTGTTTCTCTTTTCTATTAAGAGGCTAATCAAGAGTATAAGCCCTCACGTTGAGGCAATAATTTGCCGAATGCTTCCATAACTTGCAAAAAAGTTGACGGAAGTATTGAAATGACTGCACTTAACGGCGTACATTCTTGTAATACGCTATGTCTATTCAGAGTCTTGTTTTTTATTCCAGATTAAGAAATGGCGTGAAATACCTCAAAGTTTTATCTCTTCCAGAGGTACTCTTTATTCTCAATTTCTTCCCTTATCTTGCGTTTGAGGGCTTCCCTCTATTTCATTAACCTTATTGCTATATTAATTCCTTTAAAATTCCAGCTTATTTTGATACATTCTATGCTTGCGATGCATTGTCTTCACCTTAGGACTCCATTGGTAACATTCTAATAGGCAAGCGGCACTGATTGGTCAACCTTTACAGTCATGTGCTCGTATTTCTGATTGGCGTTTTTCGATTCACACCTGGGTATATGTATTTCTTAGCGTAGAGTTTTCGATCTTTGTTATGACGTTTGATACTCTGAAGTGTGTCAGGCGAAAGACTTAAGTATACTCAAATGTTTGCTTTTTTTCAAAGCAATTTTTAAATTTTGTACCACAGAAAGATTGTCTTCAAAAGTTTTGAAATACTTTGATTACAGTGGTAGAAATTCTTGACTTATCCATGACAGTAACTTAACCGAGATCTCGGCTAGAATGAGGCTCTATTTTAGGAAATGAATGCGTGTAAAATGCATTAGTTTTGTCTAGATGTGTTTTCCAAGTGTGCCTATCGACAACAAAAAATAATTATAAAGTTGTTATCAAGTGACCCAAGTAAATTTTCTATGTTCAGGAAGGGCTGATGATATCCTCCAAAGCATTTGTTGTGTAATGTTGTGTAGTATTGTGTCATGTTTGTAGTGTTGTGTTGTGTTATGTTGTGTAGTGTTATGTTGTGTTGTGTTTTGATGCCTCGTGTTGTGTGTTGTTGTGTTTTGTTGTGTTTTATTTTTATACATTTTATTTTCAATTGCCTATTTATTCCACAGCCTCCTGTTAATCAGTTTTACTAAGGAGCTACGTTCCCTAAAGACTTTCATTAGCCCTGGTAATGAATAGCTGGTAACATCTTAGGTGCAGCAATGTATTCCTTTCCATGCTCGAGCTTGTTTGGTTTTTCAAAAATGAATTGCTGAGAGTTTTCTGCTCTAATTATCCTTTTCGCCTCTTTTTCATATTATTGCCCAATAGCCGAAAGGTTTTTAAAAAAGCAGGAATTTTCTTTCTTTCCAGAATTAGCAGCAGTACAGAAGTAGCTGGATAAAGATTTCGTTACATTTCATTTGTTCGTGATTCAGTTATTTACAACTGCTAGCAGAATCTCATGGGTTGATGTTTTCATTTTATTTTCTAGGTTCTATGTATACATTTAAAGCGTTTTAGACACGAAATGCATTATTCATCGAAAATCAATAATCATGTCAACTTTCCTGTCAATGGATTGGATATGAAGCCATTTTTAGATAAAGGTTGGTTTGTAAACAGTTGTATTAGTGAGGCAGTCACCATTGCATTTGCTTCATTACGTTCTTGAAAGATTTTGGCAGGACAGAAATGTTATAGAAAATGGACGTTATTCATTAATAACGTCCTTTTTCTATAATTTGAAAGAATAAATTGTCAGTTTATAGCCTACGTTATACTTTGAATATGTAAGAAGCAAGAAATTTCATGGGGAGATTGGCAATTGAGAATAGGCACTGACTTCTTCTATTCGTTACGGTATCCATTTTGCAAAAGGGTCACTGTCTGCTTTAGAAACGAACCGTAACACGCAAAGAATTAATAAGATTGTGACTGTACCCATGTAGTTATGACATTTCACAGGGTATAGCTGATGAGAACCTGCTTTTAGAGAGAAACAATAGTTTAATGAAGCGGATATGTTGATAATGCTGAATACGCCTTTAATATTGAAAAAGGAACTAGCTTTATGCTATGTGCCATTTATTCAATTTTCAATCTAATATGGTAACCGAATGTGAAAAAATGCAACAAGATGCTGTTTATCAAATGAACTACTTTTTGATTAACGGTTATATGATTTGATTAAAGCTTATGAAAACTATCCTCTCAAGTCTTGATGTCCGCGGAGTCTAAAGGATGTTTTTTCAAACCAACTATACTTACTGCCTCCATTTTAAAAAAAAACTTCAAATTTTCATTGTAATAATTTTGACTCCAGGTTCGAATTTAGGCCAAGTGTTTTAATCTGCTTGCCAGTTTCATTATTAGTGCTTGCGATCTTTATTTTCTGACTATAGAAAGTTAGCAATTTTGTAACTGATTTGACAGTGATTAGCGCCTAAAGGGGAATGTTTCACCCGGAACGGTTTTTGCGGTCTAAAAGTGTGATGGTAAATCTTAAGCTGAGCTCGAAAAAGTTACGCAATGAAGTTGGAGTGATTTATCATAATCTACATAGTAAATTCCTTTATCTACTCTACAGACTGGCATTCAGAATTTACAACATATGATCTCTGTGCTGTTATTACCCATTTTGGCAATGTTGGTGGTATGTATCATAACTGACATAAACCTCAATTCATGGTATTGATTTTAAAGAATCTTCCCGCGTCTCATTCGGATTTCGTTCTACTAAGACTATATTAATCATTACAGATATCATCAAAATCATAAACATAACTAGGCATTAAGAATTAAAATGTCTCCATCCGCCTTTACTTGGCTTCACAGCTGTTCTCTGTCCGCCTTTATTTGGCGTCACAGCTGTCCTCTCAATGGATGGGTTAAAGGTTTTATAGCCAGGGGGTTACCTGGAATATAATGCTTTATTTATTAACACACATAATGCTCTTCCCGCACACTATTGACCCAAATTTACCTTCTAAACCATCAGTTTGCTTCTACACAATAATTTTATGCATGGGTTTGTTGTAAGCATATATTTTTGCCAATAATCCCGATGAATGAAATTGACTCTAATTACAGGTGGCCATTATATTGCTTATGCTAAAAACTGCATCAATGGTAAATGGTATGAATTTAACGACTCGCTAATCTCAGAAGGTAAGTATCACCAGGGTGTCTCGTTTTAATTAATTCCAACACCAGTTAAAACTCAATTAACCAGTTTTGTTCCAAATCTAAAGCCCTCCATCGTAATAATTATTGCTTTTTGTTTTCCCTCCATTTCTTTTGAATTGGGTAGTTGCCTTAAGTAGCAAAATGTAGTTTTCTGTCAATCATATTTATTTGCGTTGGTATCATCATGAAGTCTCTTTGTCATATTTTCAAAGCATGTCATAATAATCCTGTTTTATTTTTAAATGAATGGAATTGTTCAAAACATTTCGCTCGAGCAGACTGCTGTTGTGGTTGATTAGAAATTCAATTGAAATTCTTCAAATGCATTTTTGGATTCTGCCAAAAAGTTGTTTTGTTTAAGATGGAAAGATGAAATTTCAGAGTTTTTAGTCAGATTATGTATCGAATGGTGTGGGTTTATGGTGCAAATTTTTGTTTATTCATAGTTATTGTCCAATCTGTTAAGTTTTGTTTTATCTGTTAGCCTTGAGTAGCAAAGAGATGTCACTGCTTGTGCGACCTCGCAAGGTTCTTCGTGTAACACAAAAAAACGATTCTTGTTCATCCTGTACACTTTATAAGTCGTATTAGCCTATCTTTGGCAAATTCATACATGTCATTGTGTTGCCGATGGTAATAGTTAATAATTTTTTATTTTCTTCAAGTATCTGAATACGTGGTTGAGAGTACCGAGGCTTATGTTTTGTTCTACAGGTGAGTTTTTCCTTGGTAGCTTTGTATACCTTCATCTTTTCGACCCGGTTTAAGAGAGAGAATGTTGAGAGGAAGGATGTAGAAACCCGACTGTCTTCTATCTTGGAAACAAAAGCTTCAAGGAACCGATGATGCGCTATTATAGACCAATGCGGTGGCGAAGGAGGAGTGGAAAGTCAGATATATACTTCTCATAGTAGATTTTAAATATATTTCTGAAAGTAAATTGAAGAGGCACCCAGAGTAAATGCTTTCCAAACCCATTCATCTTGAATACTCTTTTGCAGCTGAGGAGCTACGTGTTCTACATAAGACAAACAATTGTGAAACAAAATATTTCCTAATTTGTGTAATATTTGGATGTGTTTTTATCATAGTATAAGATCACTTGGTTCCTTAAAAAGTCCTCATTTTGCATTGCATCTTCTTTCACTGGACATTCTGAAACGTTTTAACATTGTTTCTCGTCTCCTTGGCTCGTCAAACTTTCTTTTTATGCCGGCTTTTTCCTATGTTCAATCTTTTATTCAATTCAATTTCGCAGCAAAAGGTCTTCCGCCGACCAGACGTTTCGAGCACACGTACGAGAAGCTATAGAAAAGATGAGCAACACGGTAAGTTCTAACGCTCTGGACATATTTGCTTCAGAAACAACTCTTAGATGAAATTTATTCGATATCTTTAGTCACTTGATACTGCTAGAGAGATTTTTTAAGGCTAAACAGGTTTCTGCCTTTTTCATCAGAATCCTTGCCAGACAAGATATATATCCAGAGAATGGTTTAATAGATTTGAAACATGTGCAGAGCCAGGTAACCTATATAAATATATATTTTATGTTTATATTAAATTTATATTTACCCTATTTCAATCGTGGAAAGCTGACTATATCAATTACCTCACCACGTGTACACATTTCTTTGAAAGCACTGTGCTCACAATTGCAAAAGAGCTCCTCTTCGGTTCCTCAAGCCACTTCTTTAAGTGCACCATCAGTGTAACTATGTTAACAATTCTAGTCTGAGCTTATTATCATGCATCTCTGCTTGAAGGAATTGTAACCCTTGGATATAATATTTACAGGTACGCTCAAGTTTTATTTTAAATTTTTAACGTAGGAAATAAACTTTTGTTTCAGGCCAAATCTCAAACTTCGATTTCTTATGTCGACATGGAGGTAAAAAAACAGTTCTCTATTTATTTTTCTTGTCCATACTAATTACGTAAAGTGGAAAACCAGTAGCAACCATTCTCATTTTTAAGGGCATGTGTTTTACGAAGAATGCGTGCGTATTCAAGTTAGGGCTAGATGCCCCCTTTCATAACGAGGTCTAGCAAAAATGGCTGAATTTCAAGCTGTCTACATTTCAAGGTCTTTAATTGCTCTTGGTTTGGTTAAGTTTGTCTCATAACAGATGTCGAAAACAACAAACAAAAACTTCATAAACCATATCAGTACTTTTTTCAACATTTTCAGTCAGTATGGTTACATTTCTATCAAAAATGAAAAGCTGCAGAACAATTTTAAGATGAAATTTTGAAAATAGTTTAAAAAATCTTAGATTCTCCAACACCGTAAGAACTCGAAGAAATAAAATTTGAGTAAAATGCATTTTCATTGCCCTTTATTTACAACTCACAATAAAATTGTCTCTTTGAACTATTTCTTGTGCAGTTTCATCGTACATTTTATAGTAGCAACGAGGCAAATCTCCATCTCAAACCGTCCGCATATATACACTTGTTATTACATTACCGTGGTTGCTTTCGTCATTGTCCTGAACCTTGAATTCTTTCTTTAGGAGTCCCGCCATCTCTGTTTAGTCGAGTGAAAAGTATGGTACTTGATATCCCTTTGGAAATTTGGAGCACCCTTAGCCTGAGGTACGATGCGCGTATTGGTATTGCTACTTTGTCTTGCCCATTCGACCAGATTCAATTTAACTTCTTGACTATATTCAGACTCTCTTTTAAGAATAGAAACGAACTTGCAGTGAGGTAGGAAACGAAATTCTCATAAGAGCCGAAATATTTAGACAAAGAGACTGTCATTTTGCACTTCATTTCCTCGATCACTGTCTATGTTCGTATTTACGTTTGATTATTTGTACGTTTTTGTACTGTTTTCATTACGCTTGAAGTAGCAATTGGAAAGGAAGTAAATTTTATTTTGCAGCATTATTTTGGCAGAGGTGGACGTTTGCCATAAGTACTTAACAGTGTATTTGATATTTCGAGTATTTTGCAACGTTTTTTCACTATCTGCAAGGAATATGGAACTAATTACCGGTCTGCTGTAGGTATGGTGGTGGGCCTGAAGTTCGAAAACTATCTGAGTGTCATGAGTGCAAGGTAAAGGCTTTTTCTTCATAGTGTGCCAGCGACCAAAGAGCCTCTCCTTTTACCCAAGTGACCATTTCTTGTGCGAAGACTGTAGTCTAGACTATTGTTTAGAAAACATATTGACGATTTTAGTTTAAAATTGTAAATATTGTACCATATTATTTAATGATTTATTGAAATATTTATTGTTTTATTTGAATTTTGGGAGTTTGAATTTCCCTGCTAAGTTTTTATTTCTTTTACCTTTTTATTTCTTGTTATTGTTTTCAATTCACAGGATCCTATTGATAACAGCTTACATGTCATACAGGTTATTCTTGTACAAAATTCACGCATCGTTATTATCTTCAAGCGCAAATATTCTCTCTTTGTTTTGGCTTTTTCCGTGCAGCTGAAATTGTTTATGTCTTGGTTCGCAGGATTTGCAGCGCCGACGTGAAAAAGAGTTGGAGTGCTTTTCAAAGGTAGCTCTTAAATTTTTTTTACTTTTGCGTTTTAATTCCACGTTGTTTGGCTAGGATTAGAGTTTATCGCGAATCAAGGAAAGTTCCATATCAAGTTCAAAACATTGACTTAACTGGATACATGAATAATTTGTATTAATTTATTCAATTTATAAAAGAATATTAATTTCGATTTGCAGCTTCATGATGCATATCAAAATAATCCTGACGAAAAGGCCGCTTATGTCCTCAGCATAACGTGGTACAAGCGCTGGCATGCTTTTGCAAAAGGTGACGAGCAAGGTTAGTTTCGTTTGTCTGTGGCATCTAACGTACCAGTTAGTCTGTGGCATTGCAGGTGTACAGGACTTTGGCATCTAACGTACCAAGTATTCAGCCACTCCTTTTTATAACTTTAATATTGATCCGAATCCAGACTAAGTGTCCACCTCCGGCTAATATCATAAAAGCCCTGAAAACAGTGGCAGACACTTGGCCAAGTATTGCCAGGAAATTTGGAGGGGGGCAAGCCTATCGTTTAGGTAAGGTGACATGACATTTGTCCATTGTTTTGGAAAAGAAAGACCACTGCTTTCCAAAACAGTGGGGCAGACCAAGTATATCTGTATTCTGCATGGCTTTAGTGGTGCGGGTTATAGTCAAGGGTGGCTTATAATCGGGAGCCACTTATAAACAAGGGCGGCTTATTATCGAGGGTCGCTTATAAACAAGGGCGGCTTATTATCGAGGGTCGCTTATAAACAAGGGCGGCTTATAATCGAGAAAATACGGGAGTCATCAGTCATGCTTCAAAGTTGTTTTAATATTTTGTTACAGAACCCCCTGGCTCAATCGATAACACAAACATTTTGGAGTTAAAAGGAACTGTCTACTCTTTGCTTGAAGGTAACTGAGCCAAACTTGTCTTTTTGAACCTGAGTATACATTTGCGTTTTGCTTGTCCTATCGCCCTCCTTATCATTGCAAATATCTGCCTTACTTACAAATGATTTCTTGCAACTAAGTCTGCCTGTAAGACCTTTGGACAGAGAAGAAGCTGCAACATATAATGTTTTGATAACGTTTGGCCAATATCACATATACTTGCATTTGCACAAATCGTGGCTTCAATCTATTCTTTTAATCTATAGTGATTTCAAAACTTTTTCAAAGCGTCAAGAATTTTTAAGGTTTTACTATGTTTTTTCTAGATTCTGATTATGGGTTGATTTCATCAGAAACTTGGCAGTTTTTTCAATCTACATACGGTGGAGGCCCTGAGTTTGTATTTGAGAACAAACAAACAATGTCGAATAAAAGCACAAGTGAGGAGAAAGAAAATACAAACTAACGTTAAAAGGCAGAGAAAACAGTAATTGTAAGTGTATAACCAGCGCCTTGACTGGAGAAACATAGATTTTTCGCGACAAACACGTATATGAATTTAGTAGAATGGAATTGATAGGTTAGTTGCTGGCCTGGATCGCTTTACCTCCCCTGAAAAGGTACTAAGTGGAGTCAGCTTTTTAAAAAGAAAATTTTTCTGAATCAGAGGTAACCACTTTTTAAGATCAGACTTGTAAAAATAGATCATTATCGCAAATTATCTAAAAACACAGTATCGTGAGAAAATCTTTTAATACCTCATTTCCATATACCTACGTTTAATGAGGTAATGCATGTTTTTGTTCAAAGGAACCAGTTGGAAAGTTGTGTCATATGCGCCTGTTGAAGCCGATCGAGTTAGAATGGCCTTCTAGAGACCATGTTGCTTAAAGTCTGTATTTGAGAAAATTGTTATAGTAGGATTTGATTGAATAATTTTCATTGGGAGCATCCGATGTTGTATCGTCATTGTAAATATCATCCAACGCTCTGGAACCTTACTCTGGCATTTTCTTTTATTACTGCAAATCGTTTTAGAATTAATCGAAAGGAAAGAGGGACGCTCTTTTGTCTTTCGGGTCACTGTTTATTACTTATAAAGATTTACTTGTATCTAAATAGCTATTCAGGAAATTTTCATCAAAAATATAAAGGAAAAAGATAAATTAAGATTTTGTCAAGAATGCTTGGTCAGAAACAAAACTGCTGCCTAAAATGCCGGAAAGAGCCAAGACAGCAAAAAACGTAAAGCAAATATGGAATTTCTAGGATGATTAATCAAAGGTGAAAAGTTAATTGATAGTTAAGTATAGCCACGCATTAAACACAAAAGAAAAAACAATTTTGTCTTTTGGGGACTAGCACATTTTGAACCAGATCTTGGAGGACCAGATCTTGCACACAGTGATAGAAATGCCAAAAGCAATTTACCAATCAGGTCTCCAACCACATCCAGTGCATAAATTTTGACTGTCTGAGTGGACGTTGGCGCACTGTCTCTGTCTTTTAAGAACTTCCAAAGGCACTTTAATGTGCGATCCATCACACAACGGAGGGCTGGCAGTATGTTTACAGGCACATAGCTCATACTGAGTTTGGAATTTTTCAGGCACCGTCCATTTTATCGGCAGAAATCCAGTTCCTTTATGAGAACCTTTGATTAAAACAAATTGGTTATCCTTAAAGCCATGCAACTAGAGAAACATGGTTAACAATCAAGCCATATCTTTCGTTTACTCATTAACAGTGCAAGAGGCTGAAATAGCAAAAAGATTGGATTGGGTTAAAATATCAGAATCTATCTTATTTTTGCTGGTGTATGGAGGATGGGGCGGTCTAGGACAAAAGTAAACAGATTGCAGAATTTTCTGACTACGCATTGTAAATATATGCAAAGTTCAAGTTGTGATGAAGTGTTAAAGAGGTCAGGCATACCGTCACACCAAGGCTGTTTTTGGCTTAAGCCACAAGCACACCAAAGCTTCGTTTGTCCAGGAGTCAAATCTCGTATATTGCATGGTCCATACTGCGATTAAAGATATTTAATTAAGTTTGTTTACCAATATCATTTAGGGTTGGATGCTGTTAACGTGTATATCTCGGTATTTTTCTTATTACGCCTTTACTTGTGTGATTGGGCCTGTAGCACACTTTTGGGGATGTGGAGGATGATGCAATCGGCTAGACAAATAAAGGTGAAAAGAAGTTAAGAAAAGACGGGGGGCTGCTCCGTGAATAGCTAGATTTATTATACGTTATTTTATTTAACCAAATTTATAACGCGGATAATTTAGACAATAATATCAAGCCTTGAATATTTTTACTTGAACTGATTTTCAATTGTATTAACAGTATTTATGTTCTCTCTACAACAAGTAGTGTCATAATTATTGCTGTAACATAAGCCCCAGTACACCAAATTGTTGACTGATTTATTAGGCAGACTAGAACAATACATTACAACCTCAAGAATCAGGCTTTCTTCATTCAAGTTTGCCAAATAATCTTCAATTTCAAAATCTAGCTTTCGAACAGTAAAAACTTTGATATAAAGTTTCATTTCACCCACACTGGGCACCAGTTTAACCTTACATACATATTAACAAATCGTTAAGAGGGATTTCTTTTTGGAGACACATTTTCTCAGGTTGTTCGGTTCATTGATGGGTAAGCTCTCGTGAGACTTTTTGTATTGATTCGGGCATGTTGAAAATGAAACAAGTGCGTAATATTTGATTCAAATATTTGAGAATAAGGTTGGCGTATGCTCTTTAATATGTATACCGCAAGAAAAAGGCTTCATTGATTTGGACCTACAGCTGGTCTCTAAATTGTAAACTGAGAATTCGTTACGCTCATACTCCTCTACAACCATACTATCTGGCATCCAGGGCAAAGTTATTTGACCTAATAACTCATCGGTGGTTTCTCAGAGAATCGGTCCGAGGGTAGACCGAAATGTCAACATAACAGATTTTCTTCGCGTATTCTGCTTTGTTCGGTGACTGGCAAAACGACAGAAAATTGTTCAAGAATATTTCAAAACACTGAACAAAGAAGCAAAACGACTGAACGTCTAACTCAACATTACACTGAACAACATTGTCCAGTCGTTTGGCCCTGGCTCACAGCTGACCACCCAAGTCTTTAGCGTTAAAAAATGATTCTCTGGTCCTGCGAGTAAGGTTATGTAAAAGGTTCAACCAGCTTGTTTCTTTTGAGAATCATGGTAACATCGAGTAATCCACTTCATAACGCTGCGACAAATTTTATATAGTAATTATCCGGTGTACAAGTCGACCCGATGTTTAAGTAGTGGTATCAATTTTAAGCTTAATTATGATGAAACTTTATAAACTCGACGTACAAGTCAATGACGGACATCGTATCCAAAAAGGGGTCATGTTTTGCTGGATGTCATATTGGTAGGAGAGCGTTCCCTGATCCAAGGCTACTTGTGATTCATTGATACAGTCAAAAAATTCGCGAATGCCACAAGGTTAATTTGGTTATCCTTTCCGGATTCCAAGATAACAAGATAACAAACTAATAATTAAAAATTTTAAAAAAATTAAATTTTTCTCAATATCTGATCATCGAAAATATAATTAAAATCTTGCATTTTACTTTCCACTTCATTCACATTATGCCAAAAAGATCATTTTCTGTTTCATTGAAATCCCAATTTCTGTTCCATCGTTCCATTTGTTCTGTTTCTGTTCCATTTTCTGTTCCATTGAAAGCATCGAACATACCACTTTTTTTTAAGAAAAGGCTCAATAGACAACAAAACAAAATGAAAAATGATTTTTTAAACTATATTATAGTGATATCCGGTGTATAATTCGGTTACCAATTTTCGACCCAAAATTAACGAGCCTTGTGCCACATTGGGGGTTTTAATTTTTTGCGTCTAAAATTTGGGCCAACTTGATATTGCCAAGTATCAAGTGACATTGAAAAGAAGTCCAAAAGTTGGAGACCTGTCCTTTTTCCATCGTTTCTTAATTTTTGCAACAAGAATTAGTTTGTTCTTTTTCTGGAAGTCTAGTTTTCGTTTCCAAAATTAGCAAATTTTCTTTCAGTGGTTGACACGTTATTGATAAGGTGGCAAAAATTTGGAAAACATCTACCAAAAAACCAAATAAACAAAAGAATATTTTCAGTTGGTGTAAAAATGCCATAAGATATAGATTCAAGTAGAAACTCAATAGAATAGGCGTAATCAACAACGTACCTCTCGACTGTCTACGGTTACCAATGGTTGCAAAAGCGCATATCATGCCATGGTGGTTGTTTCAAAAGGGAATTCCGGGGAGAAGGCCAATGCTTATTGAAAGAAGACAAAAGAGAAGACGATGGGTCCGCAGGGAAAACATGTGACGACTATTAACTTGGAATAAGCACGTTTGTTATTGCGTTTTGTGAGGAACTGTTGTTGCTGTGCTGGCTTGTTTTGCTTGTTCGAAGACTGCCTTGCTGGTTACCTTGTCAAAGTTTGTTTTCAAACAGGTATTTCTCGCTGCCGTTTTATTGGGGACGTTTAGCCAAGGTGAGTAATTTCGCCTCCTTTTTCAACAGTCTCTTTGTACGCTTCTAGAATGTAAAGACAAGCTACTAAGCAGCTTGTTTACAAAATGGCATTAAGTGAAGAAATAATTCGAAGTTCCCATGGCTTCGGTAAGTTCTTCATTGAATATGCAACTGCAAACAGTAGGAGAGATATAAGGGCTTGGAGGGCTGCAGCCCCCTAGTCAGGCAAAATTGATCGCGCAAATGGTATTAGGACAAGATCCATTATCCACCCCTAAAGGTTTTGCAGAAGCTACACCCTTGTGTACCCAAATAACGATTAACATTAATTTTATACAACATATAACATTGGTACAGAGTCATTGGTGCAAATGTTCTTTCACGGTATTTGTCTATCTTTCACGGTATCTTGGTAACGACACAAAACAAACAAGATTTTGAAAACAACATTGCCCCTGTGATAAAAGATATCCATCGTTCGTAGTAAAATGTGACGGAAGGGTTGGGCATAGCTTTTTCTTGTATAACTAGTAGTTTCGCGTTTCTGATCATCTTTATTTATTATCTGACGTTAAAACTTTGAGGTGTATCGGAAGATAATTGATTTAGTATGCTATGTTGTCGCTTTTTCCGTACTATCAACATAAATATCAAAGAGATATAGGGAATTATTAGGCAGATAGCTTGGTAGCTGCTAACTCTACAGCTATAAATAAACAGCCAATAGACTTGGAGCAAGTCTAAATGCCAATGAAAGACTGAATAGAAATCATTAATGAAATAACAGGGCTCCTTCCCGCTTATTCTCTACCCGGGAGTTTACTGTTGTGTTTGATGCAAGTTTGACATAAACCGCGATAAAACAAAAATGATTATGGAAATGCAACGACTTTCAAGACCTTTTTCCAACAACAAAGAAAACAAGGCGTTAAATGTGTGCAACATCGTAGTCTCTCATTTTCATGTGAAAGCGACTATTTCTACATTCTGGTTTTTTAGCACAAACACATCTCATCAAAGGGCATGTGTCGTGAACATGATTGGCTAATGCAATATAATTATCTCCTTTGTTTAGTACAAAGCATGGAATCGAGGGTCAATTTTTAAGGCAGTGAAAATTAATTAAGAAGAAATGAAAGTCACGAAACAATGGAATTCCACTCCAAACGCTTTTGTTTTATTAGCCAACTGCTAATGCGACATTTAAAACAGCGAGGCTTGATTTGCAAGAAAAGCAATGTTGAGATAAAATCACTAGGAGCACCTGAGCCTCAAATTATCTTAAGCATAATAACATTGAGCCTCGGTAGAAATTACCTGGCTCTTATTGGAAGAGTATAGTCCTAAGCCTAACTATGAAAGGAAATACAAGCAAGATCCTTTTGTCAGGAGAAAGGTTTAGCGAGCTGACCAATCACCAATGTTCGGGCTTGGCAGTTGTCTTTCTCCGAATTTATAATCACTATGTGGGCAAATCTCTCAGAAATAAAGCTGGTCAAATGAAAATGTGTCTGAAAATCATGTGGTAATAATCTTCTTTTCTGCAAGAAATACTGTAAGCTTTCATTGAATTTTATTTATCTTAGAAGAAAATATCGTGCTTTCAATTTGGCATAATCGTTAAAAATGAGACAGCCTTCTTGCAATGTTCCTCAGTTTACTTTCTGTTTGCACATATTTATCACAAACGTCCTTTTTCTCTTGAAAACAGGATATTAAAATGGCACCCTCAGGCCATATCATGTTATCGTACCAATGGGACTACCAACAGGAGGTTCGCGAGATATGCCAAGCGCTAAGGCGTTTGAATTTTGAAGTTTGGATGGATATGGACTCGATGTCAGGGAATATTTATAATAAAATGGCCGAGGGAGTCGAGGGTGCTGATATTGTCATTATTTGTATGTCAACGAAGTACCAATCATCAGAGAACTGCAACAAGGAGTTTCAGTACGCACAAGTAAATCAGAAGAAAATCATCCCCATTAAGATGGAGAAAGGTTTCAATGCAACTGGATCTCTTGGCTTGATCACAGCCGGCAAACTGTACATCGACTTCAGTGATATGTCAAAATTTAATGAAAATATCAAGAGTTTGAAAAAAGAAATTGAATCTCATCTTGGAGCAGCAAAAGGTAGCTACAAATAAGTGGTTGATACGGGGTGTCCAAGTCAGACCAAAAAATACGCGCAGACCCGGACAAAAATATTTGGATTGTTCGCAGATCCAAGATAAACCAAATAACTCACATAAGTACTCTTAGACCCAGAAAACAATCATGTCACCGACCTGAAAAAGTAACCTTAGACCAAGCAATCAAACTTTTTTATGGGTATGAGCTGGACACTCCGTTTTTTTAATTTTTCTTCATGTAAATGTTAAAGCTTATAGCCACAAACTAAAGCTGCATTTACATTAGGAAGTTTTCCTTGATAATTTTTCTTTGAGAAGTTTATTTTGCCTGTGTAAATTGGGGTGGATTGAGGAAAAATGACATTATTTTACTTGACAAGTGTTCTTGTTCAAAAGCTGGCATGCCAGTTTTTTAGCAAGTGCACTTGACAAGTAGAAAATTGTCATATGCAAAACTTGGCCGTGTAGATGACTTGACATGTAAACTTGACAAATTTGTCTCAATTCCAGAACCTTCTTTCCGCGCAAGTAATTTCTTGTTCTTAGCTGTCATGCATGGCCGCCACTTAGTTAATCTAAACCGATCAACGAACGTCAATGCTCTTGGAATCTCTGCACAGCCGCGAAAGCCTTCGGAATACACAGGCAGACAGTTTCAAAAGTTGGTACACCAATAAAATATTATTGCCTGCTAAGATTTCCTATGAAAATTTCGACGACTCCAAACGCAAAATTTTAGCCGTTGGAAAAAATTCTGAAAACTGCCGGGGTCTGTGAGTCTCAGTTCTCCAATCAAGTTTCCTGCTAATCTTTTGATCTGCTTTCGACAATGGCTTGCCAAAGGCAGAGCCCACCACTTTTTTCACAGTACATTAGTAGGCTGCAGCTGTCCCACACACGAATAAAAGATTCTTCTCCGTTAAAGAAGCCATTTTGCAAGAAAATTTGGCGCGAAAAACGAGCTGCGTCAGCAAACCGAAGCTCCGCTTGCCATAACGCGAATAGGTATTGTCAAAGAGATTTTTTATCTTTCTGCAAGAAATTTGTAGAAATTGTCAAACACAACTTGTCAATAGTCTACACGTGCATGGAAACTTGTCAAGGAAAGTTGCCAAGGAAAAATTGCTCGTGTAAATACCGCTTAAAGGTACCCCTCACACGCTTATTGATTGGCCAATAGTTGATTGACTTAGGGCCTAACCAACTTTAGTATACGCCCATTGTCTGTAAAATTTCTTAAAGAATTTTGTCCCTGGTACAAAACAGTTTTGGTGCTGCCTATAAAAACGTTTCCCATGTGTTGTAACTATTACAATTCGTTTAAAATGATATTCTTTCTGTTTGAAATTCTTCTTTAGCGTCACAGGAACCGAGCAACAACAATCAGGCAAATGTTGGTATGTTATTACTAATTCTTCTATTTTTTTCAATTATTTAGATGATGCATAATAATATTTTAATCTTATCAAAGAGGCATAGCTAACGGGGTTGTAGGGGGTGTGATGTGACACCTCCTATATTTCACGACATGTCGGTAAATCTTTTGTTGGGCCACCACAAAATCATTAATTGCTTGTTAAAATCAACTGAAAATATGTGATCTATGACATCGTCAGTAAATTGTACTTATCATGTCCCTTCATCTTCTCTATTCAACAAGGTCAAACTATGTCACCGCTTACACATGACTGAAGAGTTTCACATCTAGAGGTCTTCAAAATATCAGTTATGATAAAAATGACTTACCGTAAAAGCTCTATTAAGCCCCCGGGGGCCTTTTTTCAGTCCTAGAGGGGGGCTTAAAAGAGAGGGGGACTTATTAGAGAGATGGGGCTTATTAAAATTTGCAGAAAGAAATGTTTTAAATGCCCTTGTCTATTTTTTGTTACAAAAATGTCATACAAATTTTGTCAGAAAACTTCGCTGGCAGCTTCGAAAGTCTAATTAATCAATTATAAGGTCCTTATCTTCATCAGAATCACCAGGATCAATTGATAACCCTGGGACATCTTCTAAAAAACTTTCGACTGACTTCTTAGGCGCACAAGTAAGTCTTTACATGGGCCGTATTCAATGCACATGATCTTATTATCATGACACCCGTTAAGAGTCCCTCTAGATGCGCATGTTTTCCTTGTTTGACAACAAAGGCTAAAGAGCAGTGGCGGCGCCAGGGGGTGGTATTTTTTTCGAAACATGGTCTACATATTTCGTTTAAAAACGGGTTAAAAAGCACTAGGTAGGGGTAGATCATATTTCCTAAGGAAATTTGACCTGGTACAATGCACTGAAACGAGACGATTAGGGCCTGGTCTCACTGGCTACGCCCATTACCCTCCCACTCGGCAGTAGCTGGCGCCGCCACTGCTAAAGAGGGGGGGGGGGCTTAATAGAGAGTGGGGGCTTATTTTAAGTTTTTGCTTGATAGGGAGGGTGTTAATAGAGAGGGAGGCTCAAAAGAAAGAGGGGGCTTACTAGAGCTTTTACGGTACGTAAAGTGTTTCATTTCTTCACTCACCGAAATTGTTCCTTTCCACCGAAATTTTTCGAGTTCTTACATAAATTTACAAATGAAATCTAAAAATTTGACCAAATAATTTCAACCGAAAATTAAATGACAAAAATATTTGCCAAAACTGTTCTCTATTGGTAGGCAGAACTACTGTAATTATAATTTATCCTATAATATTTTGCAAATGTATGTTACCCTTAATTGAATTGTGCATGCATAGTGGAATTTTAAAATATTGAACTAGAATCGAGCCTCAATACACCTGTCATATGATTATATTGGTCAATTTCAGGTGGATGGCAAAAGGTGAACTCTGTAGCAGACATTGATCACTTCCTCGTAGATGACACAGAATATAACCGTGCTGGTTGTCTTGCATTGAAGACCTCTCGAAAGAAATGGCTTTGTGCTGAATCTGACAACCAGACTATTAAAGCTGATAGGGTATCAATTGGTCCATGGGAAAAGTTCCTCCTTTTGTCATCTGGAGCAGGTAAGTTCAACATTAAAGCCTGGACAGAAAGGTATCTTTCCGCATCTCCTAACGGATCAGTAAATATTGCAAGTAACCGTGCTGGTTCCAACGAAACCTGGTCAATATACACTAGGAATCATGCAATTGCTTTGAAGTCCAGTCATGGAAAATACTTATCTGCTCTGCCGAATGGTGACATTGATGCAACAAAGGATACCTTAGGGAATTATGAGCAATTTTATCCATTTGAAGAAACTGATTCAAGATGGAGGCAATGATTAGACAATCACAAATCATTTAGAAAGGAGCTTGTCATTTTGCAAACTTGTAACTTTTTTTAAAACATACAAGCTATTTTATTGTTCTTTTTAACATTTATAGTATGGAGGGTTTATGAAAAGGACAATACATAATTGTTCACTTATAGTTAATCATTTATTAAATAATGACAATATGGAATTTCTAGGGTAGGTGTCTTATTTAAGCTTCAAATACCCTGTTAGAAACTAGCATCTTCACAAAAATATTATAATTGGTAGAATTTCACACACAATAAAAAGATTTCAGCAAGCTTTGCATAGAGAATCTTTCAACAACAACAAAAAAGCTTGCATACCAGCCTTTTCTATATTCACTAACCAGTAAAAAGACAAAATAGTAAACCACTGAATTCTTTGCTGCAGGGCAAATTGATATCTTAAAGTTTTATTAGTAGTTGATTTCCTCTAACAGAAAACATCTTGGACTTCATTGATATGATTGCAGCTATAACCTGGAAATCCTCGGTTTCACTTTGATGGTCAATCAAATTATTAACAACCAGATCCAATATAAGAAGATGTTCAAGCTTCACACTCACCAAATTTACATCTTTCTTGTGGCATATTTTATTTCAAACTTTCTGAAAAGGTATCTCACTGGCTTTGCATTGTAGAACACAGAAGGAAAATCTAAATATTTGGTACTAGCCACATTGTCCCTAGTTGTGGTATGTGATGTTTCACTTCATAAGCTGCTTCCACTTTGATACCACGAACATAAGAGAAAAGACTAAGTAGTTCTTGTTCCTTTCTGAGCATGATTCTCCAATTCTTGTCAGTATCATGTCGGTATCCCATTAAGTGACACATACTATGAGCAACGTAGCGGACCATGTTAACACGAAGAGACAGACCACGTTGCAAGCGCTTTTCCTCAATCAATGGTGGGCAAAGAAATATGTCCCCAAGATTGTAGTCACAAGATGTTTTAGGGGTTAGTAATGTGCCATCAAATGACCCATCATTGAACGGAAAGGATAATACCTCACTGACATGGTCATTACGGCAAGATTCTATATTTAGGTTCCTCATTCTACTCTTGCTGATGCAAATTACACTGATATCATACATGGAGACTTCGAGAAGGCTCCTTAATAATGAAACATCTTCTTTTAACAACTTTGTATTGATTGGAATAATTTTCTGCATGTTTCTAACAACAAGTGAGCCTTTTTTAAGACATCTTAAACTCATTCTTTGTCCAGTTTCCTATGCAATGCTTCTTTAAGAAAACTGACCCTATGGCAGAGTGAGAAACACTTTCTATTACACTCAATCATCACAACATAATTCATGAACACCAACTTTTTTTCAAGCAAATGCTTTTAAGATGTTGCTAAATTAAAATCCAAATAAAATTATTTTGTGCATTACAATGTTTTTAAAAAGCAAAGGAGCTTTTGGTTAATGTTAAAATTCAGCAATTTCCTGACCCGTGATAATATTTTGAGGGCTAGTGTAGTCTTCTTAATCCCCTTCGTATTCCAATGAGGGCAGCAGTCAGCAGTCACAAGGTATTCAGGGGCAATCCTGAACACATTCGCTTTGAATGACCGTGAAAACAGTTACAGGAGATAACTGCAAGGTTAAACAAAGAAATTTTGAAAGCAGAGGTATTCACAACTTTTCAGAATACCTGGAGAGCATGTGCATTGGTATGTGTCCAATTTTGAAAAATCCTTTCTGTAGGCTATATAAAGGTTTAGCCTTTTGACCCCATGGCATATAGGTATTCAAGGTACCAACACAGATGTTATATCAATCAGAATGTAATATTGCCCCAAGCCACCCCTGGTTGCAACATGTGACTGGTGAACAGTTTGTTTACAATGATCTATTCATAATTTTGTTTGTTTTGGCCTCGAGTTTAATTGTTCTCAGCCATGTGTGCCGATAGAACCAATTGTTTGAGCATTTAAACAATAGTTCAAAAATCCATCAAAATGTCACTTTGCTTTTGCAAAGGGCATACAAAAAAGTGTAAGAGCAACAGCTCATTTGCCTCCTCAAGGCTTGCTCTTGTCAAAGGTGGTCTTGTTTGTGACGAAAAAGCCCGTTCCACCGAAAATTGGGATGCGAAAAGGGATGTAAATCGAGGGGTTTTAGTTAGACCATCTTAGTTCTTTATTTTATCTTGATAATATTTTACTTTTTAAAGAACATTTTACTGACACTTCATACAGTAGCATAGAAGAGATCAATGGCATAGATCAGAAAATTCATAATAGGGGTGAGAAGCTTTGGATTTTCAGACAAAAATCTATTAGTGTTGTTATTTTTTTCATAAGTTTTGACATAACATATATACTTAATTAGATGAGTAGAAAAGGAATAATACAGTAGCACAACTTTTATCATTTATTCTTTGTCAAGTGTCATTAATCATACTTCTTGAAGATTTTTTGGTTATCCTCTATAAAAAGTATTTTAAGTACCAACATACCTAATCAGTGGCATCAACACAAGGTCAGCTGGGGTGGATTTTCTGCAGTTTTCACAGAGGTGGATTTTCTATTTTCTTGAAATCTGTTGAAAAATCTTGGGGGGGGGGGGGGGGGGGTGCTGACCAGATTGATTTCAATTTTCATTCTTGCAATAAAACCCCTGTTTGTTACCAAAAATGCTGCTTGATAAAGTAAGCTTGTTAAAAATTTTGAAATAGATAATAAATTCTAAAAAAAGTATTTCCTGAGATTTATGAGAGTCTGAGGGACATGTTCAGGAAATTTTGTTGTCCACCTTCAGTTTTTAGAGCTGGCGACACCATTTTGCCTAATTTGAAAAGGCTGCTGCCTAATTTAGAACAACATAAGACATTGTTTTATTAAGCTTTAAAATATTTCCTCTCAAAATGTAACACTTGGAAGACAACCATGTTACATTTCCGACAAGGTCAGAAGTTTTCTGACAAAATAGCTGTTTAGCTAAAAGGGGGTGGTTTGACCCCCTCAGACTCCCCTCTTTCTACCCAACTGGGAAGGATAGGATTGTTGGAGGGCCACCATTGCTCAAGAGCAATAGAGAAAAAAAGATTGTTTAATAAATTTCATAAGAAAATTTTTTTTATAACTTTTAGAGGGGCACCAGTGCACCTGCCCTACCAGCAGCCAGGAGTCAGGGGGCACCAAAAATGACCAGTCTCTTCAAAGGGGGCACTAAAATCCAGTGGAAAGAAATGTGAACAAAGAAGACCACTGGACATAGCCTTGCTCCAAAGAGGTGCATATTTTGATAAAGTTAAAGAGGTGCATCCCTTGGCAGTCCCCCACTGGTCATCAACAGTATGTAACCCACTGATTTGCTTGACCTCACACAGGTTGGATATGAAACACAAATACTATGGGAATCTCAACGATCAGATTTTACAAAATAAAACCTCAAATCTACAAAGATACTTAGCCTTGTGTTTTCAATGGTATACTTCCTCTGTTGATATTCACATGTACATGTTTAATTGTTAAATGTTTTCCTAAAAATGCAATACCCTTACCACAGTCATGCCGTGGTCTTGTCAAATGCAAAATAGATAAAATTACGGGGTGTAAAGATAAATATACGCTTATGGATATTTTCTAGAATCCTTATTGAGCCTAAATCTAGGTATGTGGTAGATATTTCAGATGCAGTTTCAAATCATCGCAAAGAAGTTATAGTTTCTTTGCTTTCACTAAACCCTTTTACACTATTGGTATTTTGGCATAATGATAAAGGAAAATTCATGAACATTTCCTTGGAGCTTGCATCTTTCTAAATCTATATTTTGGATGAGTTTTCAGCCATCCAAGAACGTAATGATTCTAAAATCTTTCTAGGGGGCTCCCATTGTTGATTTGTGCCCCCTAGTGAATTTTGAGCCCCAACGCCATTGAGCGGCACTACCTCAACCCAGCAGTAGTTATACAGCTTCTTTGTTTAAACTTAAATTTGATGGCTTTTTTGAAAATCAGATGAGATAACCCTAAAATTTAAAAGGCTTACCATTGATACAGCAGGACAAAGGGATAATCTTTCCTCAGCCGCTTTAGCATTGGTAGCCATCGACGAAGAAATTAAGCCAATATTTGCAAAAATATTGTGACATTCCACCATCACCACACAGCTTCTTTTGAAGTTGCCTCGTTTCGAAATAGCGGATTTTAAACCAATGATTGTTTTAAACAGAAGCGCATCTAGATCATTGTTTTATATTTTATACTGTGTTTGATTTCAGCATAGTATCAACTATGATTTCAGGAAGAAACAATCTTAGTTTTTACCTTGGCACAAGAACACGATAAATTTAATACCAACAGAACGCAAAAAGGAACAAATTTGATGACAAATATATATTTTTCGGTAATATTTGATATTGCCAAAATAGGATACAGCTTTCGTGGTCATTTAGAATGTAGACATTTAGAAAAAATAACACACAGTCCGCATAGCAAGAAATATCTTTGCTAGAGGGTAGATACTTAATTGTATAACTCCTCATGGGCGTCAAAGTTAATCGCTTTTGTTTTTCTTTCGTCAATGTATGATTCATATTTGTTAACAATACAATACGTTGTTCAGATTTTTCTGTTTAATTTTTATTGCAAGTGTAGCTTGCCCTGGTTAAAGTGTCTATGCAGCGAAATTTACCATTCCAATATTTTAAAAGAAATCTATAGAATCCTTCGCCCTTGTTCTTATACAAAAAACAGAATCCCGATAAGTTAAATGGTTCTTTTTTTATTGAGTGTCAAAGTATGCATATTTTGCAGTTGCGTTTCGAAATTTTATTTCCCGCTGTGACGTCACAGCGATGAGTCGAGGCGAAACCATTTAGTCCGGCCTGTTAAATCACTTATTAGGTCGAATTGTGCAAATTGCAATACTAGCATGAAACTTGGGCAGTTTGATACGTTCTATTTTGAGCTTGTTCTATTTTTAAAGCGCAAGATATGAATAGGAACTATATCACATCTTTCTCAGCGTATCAAACTGCCTTTAACATTGTTTATATTGATAATTTCCCTCCTCCGTTTATGGCCAATGGTAGAATTAGGGGTCTGAATCAGAGTACCCAGTCTAAAAATAGAACTTAGGGGCAAGAAATGATTTGGTTCGATATCCAATCTTTTTCTGCATGTCGAACTGCCTTTATATCGAGAATTCCAAGTTTCTATGACCTAGCGTTTTTCGTTTGTGGCCAGGGGTCTGAAGCAGAGAACCCCAGTATAAAAATAGAATTTAGGGGCATCAAATGAATTGGGTTTATTTTACATCTTTTTCCGCTCGTCAAACTGCCTTTATATTGTGAACTTCAACTTTCTATGAACTAGGATTCTCTGTTTATGGCCAATTGTACAATTAGGGGTCTGGACGAGACTACCCCAGTCTAAAAATAGAATTTAGGGGCAAATTATAGATCTGGTCTATATCACATCTTTTTTCTCTAGTTAAACTATCTTTTTATTGTGAGCTTCAACTTTCCATGGCCTGGTGTCCCCCGTTTATGACCAAAGGTACAATTATGGGTCTTGACCGGAGAACCCCAGTCTAAGAATAGATCTTATGGGCAAGATATGATTTGGGTCTATATCACATCTTTTTCAGCGTATCAAACTTGGTGTTTTCTGATTTTGGTGCTTGTATCACAATTTGCACAATTCTTCTGCTTATCTCCCTCACTGTGACGGGGCCCCTGTTTACGGACTACAATAAAGTCCCATACAACGATCCAAAGCCACTTTGTCCGACCTTCGCCCATTGCAAAGAACTAAGTGCTGCAGCCGTATTTCTATTACACCGGGATTGTTATTCTTAGTATGGTAGTTGTACAGCAAAGATAATTAGGCGATTCATGTCAACAAAATGTGCCAAATTCTGCGCAACGTAAAAGGGTGACTTATCTCCTAACGGATGACATATCTCCTAACATCACCGAGGAGCAGTGGCGGACTGGCTACCTTCCAACCCACCGGGAAAGTGCTAGGCAATTGGAGAGAAATCATGGAATCCCAGTTGCAATAAGACGCACAAACATTACGATTATGACAGGACATACATTTAACGAACAGTAAAGAGCAGCTACTTAGAGCGAGATTAATATTTTTGTGGGTACTAGCTTTTATAACAAAATGTCCCTAAAAAGACATAGAAAATGCACTCATTGAATCAATTTTTTCTACCTTTAAAATACAACCTTACTCTTAGAATCAATATCCACATGCCGAACGCTGTTGGATGGTTTTTATCGATTTTCTGGAAATCATTCTCGTACATCCAAACCTGAAGCATTTTAATGTTGAGTCAACACAGGGAATATGCACATATTACGTAATCAAAAATAGGCAATATGGAAAAATCTCCTTCTCCCTAAATTATTATTATTTTAACAAAATTTAAAAATTGGCCATAATAATGACCGTAAACGTTACAAAATATGTGAACGTTCCCATGCACAATTACCAACACATCGATCATTTTATCCAACGTTAAATTAATTTTTCCAAAGTGTGAACCCTCTCAGTTTTTCGATGTCAGGCACTCGAAATAATTCGAATTAATCATGAGTCAAAAAACTAATATGGTTAGTCATAAGTCATTACTCAACTGAATAGTAATAATAATAATATAATAATAATAATAAATAATTTGTTTAAAGTTGGCGTACTAAATGAACGTCTAATAGCTATAAAGAAGCTAATTAAGGCAAACTATCTATAAAGAATTGGTATGAAATGAATGTATGGTACAATGTTAAAAATGTTTGAGGTATAATATTCTAAATAAAACCTAACCCAGCCATAAATATTTTACACAATCTACAGTCGCATTCTGCAGGGTGTGCTCTTAATTCTTTTTTAAATGTTGCCAAAGATTTGGACTCTCTTATACTGTGAGGTAGTGTTTGCCACAGTTTTTGACCTTAATATCTTACAGTTTCTATACCGTAAGAAGTTGTCCTGGCTTTTGGAATGCAAATCATAATGTACATTTCTTGTTTCAAAAATCTCATTCATGAAATTAGGGTTCAGGTTATGTTTGGTTTTGTATATTTCTACATAAATTTGGGACGTGACTTTTGAAATTAAGATTTTTATCTATTATCACCCCTAGCAGTTTCTCTTCAGAGCTTTCTTCAACAATGGCCTCGCCGATTTTGATCTTAATGTCATCTTGGTTTGTTCCAACAGTAAGAAGATGACATTTCCCTGCATTCAATTTCATAAAGTTTTCTGGAAACCACTTTGATAAAACAAGAGCATCAGTTTCTAGCCGTTCTAAAACTTTATCCAATTGACAGTCAGCTGCGAAAATCGTAGTATTATCAGCAAAGTTACATACTGCAGTATCAGTTACCATTAAGAATAAATCATTGATGTATAAATTAAATAGAAGAGGCCCAAGGACTGATCCTTGTGGTACACCTGCAAAGGTTTCTCGCCAAGTGCTGAATGAACCATTTAATTTTACCTTTTGTTTTCTACCGGACAGGTAATTATAAATCAATAGTTGAGCATCTTTACAAAAGCCATAGGCATGTAATTTCGCAATTAATAGCTCATGGTCTATGCAATCAAACGCCTTTGAGAGATCCATTAGCAAGGCACCAACCACCCCTTTTAGTTGGTAAATTATTCAGCTAGCAAAAGTAATTATTCAGTTGTCAAAAAAGTCTGCGAGTCAACTAGAAACACCCCTTGCTCACCCTCAACAGACATGAATCACTGCAAGTATTGTGGACTTGCTCGAAAAATTACAAGCGAGCCAGGTTTGTAGTGAGACTAGGCCTTCTCGGTGCGGCTACAATTATGACACTGCTGTCAAAAACACAAATATGTTCTTTTAAAGATTTCGAAAAACCATGGAGAATTTGCTGATCGCCTTCAATGCATTAAACAATAACGACGAATTGGGGAAACTTTGCAATTAATCTTAATTTCACTCAATTCGCAAAGATTGTTTGTCTTTTGAAAGTTTTCAAGTTTTTTTGAAAAATGCAACTTGGGACAGGGGCGCACCGGGAAATTTCCCGGTGTCCTGGTGGGCCAGTCCGCTTCTGCTGAGGAGTCACTTTTTCTAATGAACATCAACTATGCCGTTGAATGAATTTGCAACGGCTATTTTCCAATGTTTTCATTGCATCATGGTTGTTTCTGACTTTGCCTGCTAGTGTTGCATCAGCTGAAACATCGTTCAGCTGAAATGCATCAGCTGAAATGCTACTTTTTATTTTCTAATTAAGATTTTATCTATGGGCCCTGAAATTCTTGGACCCCCGAGTCAGTGACTCCCATGACCCCCCAAATCATAAAAATGAAATATACTGTAAAGCAAAAGAAGATACCCAAAAAGGCTGAAATCTCCCGTATCACGGAAAAGCCCCCAAAATGGCCCGATCAAATCAACAATCAGATTCGAAATCTACACCAAAAACTACCCTAGGCAAAGTAGGTATCGTAAAGTCTCCTTCAAAGAGGTAATGCTCCCGCTCCAGCCACTGGACCCACTGCACTGGACTGGAACCCACTGCATTAGAATAAAGGTGCAAGAAGATGGCAATGAGTGGTAAATGGTTGGAGCATGACTCTGAACTGCATATCTATTTCGATGACTCGTCTTTTGAACATTTTCCAAACATATTAAAAGCTAGCATTAAGTCAAACGCATACTTCTTAGGGGAAAAGGTAATAACTTCGCGTCTTATTTGTGATCTTGTTTTATAACTTGTTTTGAAGAAATTAGGCTAAATCAACTTTAAACTGCCAACCCTGGCATAGTTTGTTAGCGAACTAATATTTTATGCTGATTGTATACATGTTGTTGATATTGGACAGAAGTTTCATTTTTATGAAAAATCTTACCTTTTCTGAGAAAAATATCTATAATGAGCGTACATGTCCTGGAAAAATTGACAGAAAGTATGATACTATATAAATTGAATCGATATAAATTGAACCCACTCAGGCACATCCTCGGGTTGCCAGTGCAAGTAACCCCCCTCCCCTGGAAAAAAGGCTACCAGCTGTGCTGACAATAGATACTAAAATGCTTTTGCCAGGGTGGTCTGGCCTCAAAAACGCAGGGTGGCTGGCAAACTCAAAGGGCCCGGTTTAGGGCATAGCGAAAAAAGTGAGCCACACCCTTTAAAAAATGTAGCCATAAAATACGGTTTCTTTAGAAAAATTGATAATAAAGCATTTTGCTCTAGGGAGGTGTTCAGGCATCATTTGCCAAGAAAGTGAGTGAGACATCCTTCATTTGATGAGAAGATTGAGTAAAAGGAACCACACATGGCTAAGAATCCTCGTTTTTGGGACAAAATGTTGTTTAAATTTGCATTTTACAATAGCTCAGCCTTAGCTTGTTCTTAATTTGTTCTCAGCTTTTGATGCACAGTTGGTAAGCTTCTACCCTTTTGATACAGGGTGTCAATGTCAACTATGGGGTCCTTTCTCTCTTTGCCAATCTCTACCTTAAAAGTCTGCACTAATTGTTGTTTTTATTTGAATGATGTGATGCTGGTCTGGTAGCAATTTGCAGTTGCCAGCAGTTCTTCCCTGAGCAGTTCAAAGCTGACATTCACTAAACAAGATTGAAAAGAGCGCTCCTATTGCTCTTCTGCTTCATCTTTGTGTAAACAAATCTTCTTGGTTCTAGCATTGGATTTATCCTGATACAGATTCTCTAAATCCTTTATTCTTCGAGAACCTTCTGTCAATCTCCTCCCATCTGAGTTTAAGGCTGTAACCAGATGGTAATGATGACTAGTTATCTTCTCTTTTCTTATTTCCTGTTTTGAATTTTACACTATTTTCACACATTGAAGCCCCCTCCCCTAAATAATTGCAATCTACTTGGGCTTTATATCCTGTATAACAGCATACTTAGTGGGAACGAATACAATAAGCAGCGGCCCATTCCCCCCTCCCAATATGAATTTAGTTCCCACAGCACTGTCTCTGATATTGCTCTTTCATATTATCATGATATGGATGAAAACTGTGACCTTTATCAATTCCTAAATGAAACATGGATGTTATTTAATCAAGCAATGAATTCGTGAGTGGAAACAGAAGATAGGAGTACGCTCCTCTGCTTCTCTGCTTGGCATTCTGTTTACACGCTCAAAATTTTATGGCTCTGGTACCCAGGGTACAGGTCAGATTGAACACATGGCTAAAATAGCTTCTCCTGGCTTTTGCTTGGTTTTTAATTGTACTATTGCAGAACTAACATAAAACAATAATGCTAATGATAAAAGCAGTTATATCGCATCATTTATCCACAGGGCTCATAGGCACATTACAATTGAAAACATTAGGTCAAATTTTTCATGTATGTTTACAGAGGGTAAAAGTTTACAAGGTTTTAATTCATTAAAATTTAAGTTAAAAAGATTATCCAATAAAATACTGTTTGAATATATGTATCTTCAAACAAGATTTAAAAGTTTCTGAAGTGTTGCATGCTCTAACTGAGTAGGGGAGTCTTTTCCAGAAGAATGGGACAGTTTGTGAAAGCATGATCACCAACCGTAATTAATTTGGTCTTTCCTACATCTAAAAATAGTCCATCATCAGCAGATCTGAATGAGTTCATCATCTAACAATAGTTTATCATCTAAAAATAACCATGCAGACTCAATTCTGAGTATTTTGTTTCACCATGATATTCTTTGTAGTAAATACCTATAGTTGGTTGCAATTACTTGCTATAGGGACAGTGCTCATACAGAGTGGGTGTCTTAGCCATTGTACCACCATCAGTATTATCTGCCCCATTGTACCACCATCAGTATCATCTGCCTAACACATTGGAGGACTGACCAGTTCCCAAACTATACAGCTGCTCTACAGTCCATCTGTCATCTGCCTCCCGTGACTTCACATATCCTGATTGGGGGCTTAGTGGGTACTTGACAAGGGTCTCTCACAGGCTGTGGAGGGAAGGAGATGCCTTACTTTCTCCTGTTGGTGGAGATGTTCCACCCCACTAACCCAAGCCATTAGTCAGATGCAAGTTTTTTTAAACTTTGCCTGCAGAATGAGCAAAAATTCAATTCTACTGGCTTAAAATCTCATTTCATTCAAAAAAGATAACTTTTCGATACAAGTGCTATTTATTTTAGAAGCAACTTCTATAATATCTATTTTTCTTTCAAGGATCAGAATGATATTATTCACTCCAAAGTAAAGGTACGAAAGTTTAAAACATTAGCTATTTTGTTATGTATAATTTTGACTTGAATTTTCTCTCTTTACCACTTACAGTGTCATCAAAGGTCTCTTTAAACTCACAACCAAACAGTTATTCAGAAACCTTTAGCCCTGCAGTGATGGTTGCATATGTTTTAAAACACCAAAGTGCCTCATGCCAGTTATTTATTCACTGAGTTGTTTATTCAACAAAGGAGAATCAGCCATGATATTCTGCATGTGTGCACTTTTTCCAATGTTTGTGCTGTTATACCCAAAAAGATATAAAGAAGGGAAGCAAACAAGCAATTTAGTGGTCTGTTGTTATTTAAGTAATCATATGAGCCATTTTTCTTCAACATCATTCCCAATTCTAAACTTAAATTCCCAGGGATCATTAATAAAATTCAGCTAAGTTTGTAAATATATGCCAAAAATTATTTGACACTTGTTGTTTTTCATAGAAACTTCCAGGGAAAGAAGGACAATCTGTTGAAATTTTGGATAGCAAAGAGTCTCTTCTATGGGAAAGGGGAGATTTTGTTGCATATGTGTTTCGTTTAGAGGACTTTAAGAATACAGTAAGTGAAAGCAAGATGAAGCCTAATTATGAAATTTTTGAATTTACTTATTATCACTTTTTTGGCAAAGTTAGTTTTAAGAATTATTTAATTGGAAGCATTAATTCATTTTCCATAGTTCACATGAAAATTTTTAGCGTCTATGTTGTATGTTTTGCAATAAAGAAAGCCCCTAAAACCACAGTATCAGTTCACATTGCATTTACATTGTCAGAATAAGTTAGTTTTAGTTGCAACTTGTTTTATATAAAATTTATTTGTAGCAAAAGAGGGCAGGTAAATGGTAAGGCACATCCTCCAAGAGGTCTCAATTCAACATTAGGAAAGATAGAGCAGAAGTTTAATTTTTCAGGTGAACTAAATTCTCTGACAAATGATCAAATTTATAGACTGAGGGGCTAAAATTGTGTTTTAACTGACAATTTAGCAAAACCTGGGGGCACTTGCTTGCCTCCCTACATCCCCACTTTTTCTGCCACTGTTCAACGAAGTAAACAGTTGTCATTTGTTTCAAAATGATTCCTTAGTATTTCTTATGCTTACATGGCAACTGAGCTGACTTTGTTAACTGAGCTGGGAATATAATTAGATTGGAAATTTATTTGCATATATATTTTTGGAATTTTTTATAATATTTTTCAATTTTATTGTACCATAGGTTTTACACTTTGAAATATGTACAGACTTCTCAAGCTGCAAGGAATTTTCTTTTCCTTATTCAATGCTAGAAAAGTTGTATGGAAGTATGAAAGTTTCACTTCATGGCAAAAACAATGACAATGAAATTGGCAGCATAAAGTGTATGAATTTTTGACATTTCTCTAGTTTTTCTTCAGTTTTTTTATTTGTTTACAGGAGGCGTATCAGATATTTGAGCCACTCAAAAAAAACCAAAGCTATCTAAATGTACTATAGGTACGAAGATTTGTTAAGAAAATAATTGTCAAGCCTTGTAAACAAAGACGATTTTTGTTCCAAAAGACGAAGATTTTTGTTCCAAAAGACGTAGATTTTTGTTCCAAAAGACAAAGATTTTTGTTCCAAAAGACGAAGATTTTTATCTTTTAGTGTGCAGGGTCAATTTCTTTAGTGTGCAGGATCAAATTGAAGAATTTTTGTCTTTTGCGATAACCTTTGAGATAAGAAATGTTTCATATCTTTGGTCTTTACGACTAAAGGCAATTTTCTGCAGTGTGTGGAGGCGTATTTCGTGCACGTGACTTTCTGTGATCATTTCTCCTGCCAATAAAGATAGCTTATCGTACACTGAAAATCATGGCCAAAAAGGGGGAGATCGGCAAACAGTTGTGCTGTGTGCGGATAGCAAGTTCTTTTGAGAAAGACAATTATCTTTATCTTTTTTGTGACAAAAGCCTGCTGTGTGTGCTAAGCTTTGAAGTAGTGTCTGTCAAATTCAAATCCTACTCATCTCCACCAAGGTAGCTTCAGATTTCATTAAATTTAGTGAATGCGATAGGTGAATGATCCTTTTTTCAGTTATTAAGAAATTTTTCTTTTAGATTCAATTTGTTTCTTTTACTTGCATAGTCAACTACTTGATTATTAACCCATGGAGAAGTGACTCAGTGCCCAGAGATAGTTTGCTTGGTTTGCAACCTCAAGAATGGCATCCTTTTGAAGAAAAGGAAAGGCACACATTAAATATAGGCCATAGGGGATGCGGTGTTACAAACGGGCAGCCAATGTAAGCACTAACAATTTTTTATTTTAAAATAATTTTTGCGAACTTCCCTGGTCTGTAAAATCTCCCCGTTATTTTTTGCTGACGGATCCAGCCTCTTTTTAAATTTTCATTGGAAATATAGTGATAACCTCTTTTGAAATCTGAATCAAAACAAATGAAATGTGGATTTTACAAGATTTCTTTAATGATTTTGCAAATGTTGTACATGACAAACGTCTTTTCAGTTCGCAGGGAACACCCATAGAGAACACAATTGCCTCATTCAGAACTGCATTTGATAATGTTAGTAAATTCATCCTTTTTATATAAATAAGTTATTTGCTTTTATAATTAAATGAAACAGGTAGTCTCATTAAGGCTTTGATTGATGTTGTATGAATCTGTTTATGACCAAATGAATTGTTCACACAAAGCAATAAAATTTGCGTCTTTATAATATTAAGCATTATTAAACCTTCATGAGAAAGACATGACATGAGACCCTCCACGAGAAAGACACGACATGTTGCTAAATGCATTCGCATACCATTTCTTTCCATTTTAGTCGTCATCACACTGGTTCTTGTGTTGTTGGATATCAGTAGTATCTTTGATTTGTCAATGTAACACGTGAAATAGGTGTCCTCCATTTCTCCCAGGGTGCAGACTTCGTGGAACTTGATGTACAATTGTCAAAAGATTCTGTTCCAGTTGTCTTCCATGATTTTTATGCAAATATCCAGGCAAAGCAGGTAAAGTCTCAAAATTTCTCTTCACTTATATCGTTGATATCAACTGGTTTTTCAGCTAACCATAGCTCATTTGATATGATGAGCCCTCAAGTTGTGCCAGATCGCGAATACGCGTCTCTGCCTCTTCCTTATCTATTATATACGCTTTTATTATAATAACAATTGACTCCAGTTTCAGCCTGGCGTTTCTTATTTTTTCACACATATTCAGCCTAAGGTGTTTCTTATTTTGCTTCTTATTCTTATAATGAAATTTCCTGTGCATAATAGTTTCCAGACACAACGATAAAGTTATTAATGCCATTTTGCTTATTTTTGGTGGTATTTTTTTTTCTAGAGTTTTGTTGAATTTCAGCCTGCCAGATTTCTTGTGTTGTTCGTAATTTTTGGGCAAACCTCAGCCTGATGTTTGTTATAAGGGTTATTCATATAAGGGTTTCCCTTATAAGGGTTGTTCTTTTAAGGGTTGTTTTTAAGGGTTGTTCTTATAATGATTGCTCTTATTAAGAAGCTTCTCACTTTTACTATAGCTTATACTACCTGATCTTTGCATTCACACAGTAGTCTTTGTATAGAAAGAGTTTTAAAGCACTGTCCATTGTCTGTATTTGTTGTTATGAATAACTTGGTTATTGATGTAAAGCATTGCTATATTGCATTCTACCTAGACGCGCAAACAATCGAGAGTGATTAAAGCATTAAGTGTGGTACATACTGTCTGTTCATTTTTGTGTGTATTAAAAAACATCTTTCAAGATGCTGAATATCGTGAGTTTACCTAAAATAAACTACGCTATCGTGTTCACCTCTAGGCAATAATAAAGCCCCTTTTTATAGTCAACAGGCTGCACAACCAAAATGACTATTCCAGTTAGCGATATGACTTTGGAGAATATGAGAACATTCGAGGTGATATATTTTCAATGATCCTTAGATCTCTTATGATAACTATACCTTTAAATATACATACCACCAATGGATCTAAAGAAACACACCAATACTTTTAACAAGAGTAATCCCACTGTATCACGGTTTTCATAAATTGTCTAGTTGATATAGATCAAATTTTAATCAACGAGTTTTCATGATATAAAACCAAATTAGTAAAGCATTAAGCAAAATATTCATAATAAGAACAGTATTGGCACTAATTACATGAATTCCAAAAACTTCGTTCCCATATTTGTAATTCATTATTTTTTAGCTATTCAAAGTCAAAGAAATATACCGTAAATCCTCGAACTGGCCCCTTTTATAAGCCCCCTGGTTTATGCCCCCGCCCTCGAAGTAAAAATTCTTAATAAGCCCAACCCCCGAATATGCCTCCACCCTTACATACAAATTTTTGAGTTTTAATAAGCCCCATTTGTAGCTTTTTACAACAGAAAGATTCGCTTTTTTGATACATGGTTGATAACATTCGGCAGCGAATGAAAAACATAAGATAAGTGAAAAATGACGATGTGACCGCCAAAGACAATGAAATATCAATATTTTGGACTGAAATATTTCTTTGTGTTACTTAGGTTTAATATTTTAAAAAAAGCGGTTAAGTAAAATTGCTAAAAACGAGCTATTTATATGGCAACTTGGAGTCGGTTCTTATAAACACCCACTTCGTATTAGCCCCCCCCCCCTCGAATATGAAAATTAATAAAGCCCCCATAGGGTTAAGCAGTGGATTTACGGTACCGAAAGCCTTTACTGTTCTTGCCATTCTTCCCACTTGAAAAGCTTTTTGAACTTAAATTATCAATGCAGCTATAGTACTTTTATGCTTGAGCCATAGTAATGCAGCTATAGTAATGTGCTTTCTAAAGCTAACTATATTGTAGGATTTGATAATGTTAATCTGGATTTCTTCTTAGTTTATGTTAAAAGATGATAAAGGAGATTTTCCTCATGACAAGCCAGAGAAAGGTGTTCTGTTCCCTTCATTGGAGGAGGTAATATACTCATCGATACGTTTCTGTTCTTTTTTCCGTGGCTTTTCAGTATGGATCATATTGTTTCAATTTTGTATTTTTCCCCATAGGTTTTCACCGAGCTACCCAAAGATCTTGGAATATTTGTTGAGGCCAAATACCCAATGCAAAACATAGTGAGCTGGTTTTTAATTTCCTGTGACATTTGATTTGGATTTTGCCCAACCATCCGGCCACATTAGATTTCCTAGATGTATTAACTTGTGCTTATATACACAATTTTAAAAGAACACGAGTTTCAAAATTGGTCAAAAGTTAAGAAAAAATTAAGAACAATTTGAAGCTGAGCTGCTGTAGGATTGAATTTTCAATAACGTTTTATCTCAAAAACAAGGATTTTGGCCATTTGTGGATGTTTTTTCGGTGAATATTCAAACTTGTCGGCAAATGAAGGTTGTCTCACTCACTTTGATGTTAAATGAGGCCTGAAAACCTCCTTGGAGCGATAAAGCTAACAGTTAATTTGCTTACACCCTATTAATTTAAGAACCTTATTAAGCCTTATTAAGGCCTTATTAAGAACAATCCAGCTTCAGATTTTTAAAACAAAATTAAGAACAGTCAGCTTGAACTTAAATTTACTGGTTCTTATGAACAAAAAAGAGTTTACAGTACTTGACTTTATCATTGCCTTTTATAACTGCTAAATTTCCTAATAATAATAAAACCGCTTTAAAACATAAATAATCTAATTTTTTTTCATTTATTTCGCTGCTTTAATTTTTTTTCAAGGACAAAAGTTGGGAAGCTAATCATTTTCCTGATAAATGCAAGCTGGTGGAGAAGATACTCGAAGTGATTTTCAAGCATGGAAAAGATAGGAGAATTATACTGGGTTCTTTCGATCCTGGCATTTGTATAATGTAATTTTATGTATTTTCACGAGTTAAAGACTGTATAGAAAATTAATCACGAGTTTTACTCCCAGAAAGGGAAAAGGTGGGCTTGCCTCCTATACGAAGACCTCTCAATATTAATTGGATTAAAGGCAGTAAAAAGTCTATTGGCCAGCACTGATGCTGGTAGAAATAATCAGCGAGTTACTTTTTGTCCTAAGCAAAATGATTGTCTTACGTTATTCAAGAAATTTTTATTTCAATGTTGTACATGTGGCTCAAAACTCTTTACCATTCTGGTTAAGCCAGGTTTGTTTTCGAAAATGCACATTTGGTGATTTTGATAGCCAAGGACCTTCACATTGACGGTATTCTACAGAGTAATGCTTCTTATTTAGTTGTATGAATGAGTTTTTTCACAAAGTTGCAGGCTTGGTTGTATCTACTTGTATTTGTTTGAATTAGAATTAAAATTAGCATGTAACGTGCTCGTCACTTGCTTGCTAACCTACCCGGCTTCAGATTAGCAAGCTTCATTTCAAAATCCTGTTGAATATGTTTTTCATAAGTTGAAATCATAGTGTAAGGGCCCAATGTGGATTTTTCAAGTATTAATTAAGGTTGCAACGAACCCATCCCCCGCCCTCAGTAGCAAGCTCTAAACAGATTATGGACATTTCCGTATCAATCAATCTGAAAAATCTAGGTCAACTAATCCGGGTACGAAATGTACTTGCTCTCTAACATTGATCCGTATGTTTTCTCTGTAAAGATAATATCAAACCAAAGCCCTGACTAAATTGTGAAAGTTTATTTTAGGTTTCGGCTGAAACAACCTCGCTACCGCGTTGTCTTCATATCATCGTGTGAAAACGATGTTTGGGAGCCTCTTTTTGATGCCAGATGTCGCTCATGGAATATGGCATTGAATTTTGCAAAAACGGAAGGACTCTTGGTACGTAGTTTTTTTCAACAAACTACTGAAGAACGACGGGATATCCCCGAAATATTGTAGAACGAAAACTATTAAGTGTATTTTGAGGCAGCGTTACTTTCAAGGAGGAATTTTCATAATCTAACACGGTTTGTACAAAGTATAATATAAATTATTTACTTAAGCACGAAAAAACCGCTACTGTGTAGACAAAAGGAGTTCGTTTTCACCTTAGGACTCCATTGGTAACATTCTCAATAGGCAAGCGGCACTGATCGGTCAACCTATACAGTCATGTGCTCGTGTTTTCTGATTGGCCTATTTCGATCCACAACTGGGTATATATATTTCCTAGCGTAGAGTTTTCGATCTATGTTCTGACGTTTTAAACTCTGAAGAGTGTCAGACGAAAAGCTTTAGTTTTCTAAATGTTTGCTTTTTTCAAAGCCATTTACAAGCTTTGTACCACCAAAAGATTGTTTGCATATTCTTAAAGTCTAACATTCGAGAATTGCAATTTGTCTTAAACATGTCTATTTTTTCGTAAATTCTCCATAACGCTGTGTGTATTTTCTCCTAGGTATATTTCAGTTTATTTATAACAGGGTAATTTTTGGCAAAGTGCAAAATTGAAATCGAAGCCTGGAAATTTCCGCAAGTTTCCTTGACAATGTTTAAAAGCGTATGATATTTTTCGTAATTTCTTTTAATATTCTTAAAACATCAAACGTAGCCAATCATTTTCCCTATTCTGTATAAAATAATTTAAAAATGTTATGTTGTTACATGCACAATTCTTTTGTTTGACCCTTATCGATCATTTCCTAGGGCATTTCGGTGTTTGCAGACCCGATCATTGATAGTATCCATGACCGCCAGCGCATTGCCCAAAACGCCGCCTTAGAGTTGTTCACTTGGGGATGCCCAACTGGTGCAAACACCGAGATAAGATGTCTGGAACTACAGAGAAGGAGCAATATTGCGGGCGTCATTTACGATAGGTATAATGAGTTTGTACTTTTCTCTAAGCTTTTTATCTGTCGTAAAAACTAATTCCTGGGCATATTTTAAAAAATCGTTAGTTCCTGTCAGGCTTTTTGAGCGCATTTTATGTTACTGTGAACAATGCGTTGTAGAATTATCCCACCTTCAAGCAAGAATTATCACAAAGTTTTATCGTGTGTTTATATGAGAAACGCCCTATCTGGACACAAAATAGAGATCAAGTGAGATTCTGCTCTTCGCTCGCCGGATCTCACCTCTTCGGATGAAATTTTCTCATGTAGATACAAAACTGATGTGTTGCAGGAACAACTGAAAGCTGGGATGAAAAATAAGCCATAAGCTGGCAGGTGGGGTAGAATTTGTATGTAAACATGCGATAATTCCATCGCATCTGCCAGCTTTTGGGCTAGAAGGTGGGATAAATCTTCACATGTAGACAGACCCTAAGTCGTATATCAGTTTTTCATAAAGATTAACTAGTGATTTCACGAATCAGTTCAGATCGCAGATATTCACATTGTCGTAGCCGGATCTCACTGGCTGCCTCCTTCCAATCTGCAGCGATGCTACAAGTGCCATGACAGCTTTGGGATCAGATTCTGAACTATCAGTAATTTTAAGACTTAAAGTTACTGGTATTTGTCCCAAAATAATAAATTTCGAAATCCTTCTTAAAAATGTATCAAAAATCCATTTTCAGTCTCCACCGACTCTTACATCAAAGTAGCTACTTAAAGCATGTAATAGCGCCTTCAGCAGAATTTTAAAGCTCAAATGTCGAGTATGCCCCTTCGCGTATGCTCCTTGTAAAAGTCAAGAGCCCCTATCTGTTATAACTCAAGACATGTGCTGCATGTTCTGTTTAAAAACATCCATCAGTACACATTGAGATAGTTAGGACTTTGACATTGGGGGGACCCAAAACTTTTTGCCAACATATAGAAATGACTATATTGTAAATAACGTACAGGGGTAACACACAAACATGGAAAAACCAACACAGTCACGCGAGAGGATGTTAAGAGGCAACATGTGGACTTTTCAAACTCAGTACGATCTGCAAACGTTTCGGTTTGGGGACCTTCTAGAATATTGGGGGGGGGAAGGCCCTGTCAGTACCCTGAGAACGCTGGCTGTGGATAAGCAGTAGAAGTAGGAGTGTATTTGATGTCCTTTTAAGTATGATAATTAAGGTGTTTATATGATGAAATTTGTAATTTTAGTTTAAGTTGGATTAAAAATAACGAGTTTCCAAATTAGGTAGGGTCAGTCATTCTAATGTCCTCTTGCCTGATTTACAAATGGCGGGCTTCACGTTTTGAACTCTTTATCCCATACCGAGGAACTCTGAAAAGTCTCTTAGATGCTTTTCTAGCTTTGTATTCTCAAATGTACAAATCCTTAGAATTCTTAGAAGATGAAATTGGCTTAAGAATGAAATACGTGTCAGCAGTTAAGAATTTACTCAGGAAATATCCTCAAAGAACAGTAGTTACAATTGCTCCTCGTGCTGAAAAGTATCGTTTAACGAGTTATCGCTTTGATTTCGTACTCAGTTGTTTGCGTTTGTTTTCTCGTGAGACGAATGATAGCAAAACTATTACGGTTTAACAGTTTATGATGAAATTTTTTTATATCAATAACGATAAAAGTTGTATGCCTCGCATTTTCATTAATTGGGAAATTTCACTGAAATACATTGTATATACTACTAAATCAATAAACTGCCCACGATCGTGACCCATTAAAACCCAAAAAATATCATATGATCCCTTCGTATACTCGTTCAGCATCCACTGTTCATCGCATTTAGGATTCCACTTTTAAGATTTCTGGATAACTTTGCTGAAATCCTGTTCATTTTACTTAGTGCTTTTCGGGGGCATTTTGAATCATTGTCCTTCTTTCTTACTTTTTATAGTGCTTTCTCTCATCTCAGTTTTTTCAATTACTTTTAAAGGCTGAATGAACTGAAGTAGCTGTGCCAGCCAAAGTAACAGCAAGGTTTGTTCATAAAATGGCTCTTGTGAACCGATTGCTGTACGATAACATTTGCATGATTAGTTGCGTTGCCAACTTAGTTTGAAAGGCCTTATACCAAAGAATATTGTTGATTAATGTGGCAGTGTTAAAACAGAATTTAATTTATCCTTTAAGGATCAATTTCATGTTCTCATAGAAAACAAAAAGAGATTTCCAGGAATTATTCGCTATTTCTATTTCAAACCAGCTCATTTGTAATAGAGTACCGGAGTGTGACGTCATCAAAAAGTATTTAAACATCACCGCCAGATCGGTTTTTTGACGGGGGCTAAACAAATGAAAAGGACACCATTTGACTATCTGACTTTTTTATATACCGTTAAAATTGAAATACAGTCCAACATTGTGTATTCCATTCGGAAGAATACTGTCGTCTGCCGGGCCTGGAAAAAGACCAGAGTCCTTGATGGACTTCAACTATTCGACCGAGTGATGCATTAGTCAAACCTCATGTCATTTATTACGTATTTCTGTAGTCGGATAAAGCAGTGTTTTTCAACCACTGTGCCGTGAGATATTGTCTGGTTCCCCGTGGAAAATTCTCACATTTCACCTGATTGGTCACATTTCATCTTGACCCGATTGCATTTCACCTAAAGCAGCCATTCTTAAACTCCGGCCTGCAGCAAAATTTCATCCGGCCCGCCGAATGCTTTTTACCTCGAAAATATTTTTTGCCGACATTTTCAAAATTTGGAATTCGATTTATCTTAAGTTTTCTTTTGTCCCCTCTCATATTTTTTTCTCTGTAGTAAATATTAGATGCGTTCCATGGACAGTTATTAGTCCAGAAGGGAGTACCGAAATAGGAAATGCTTTATTTAATCATTTTATCGTTTTATAGCGTTTCCTTTCATTTCAACAGATGAAACTATGGAACCTAGTTAAGAAAACTTTAAGAATATTGCCTTGAATTTTCTCCCGTTAAAATCTATTTTAACGGGAATACTTCAACTTGTTTTTATTATTTCAACTTATTTTAACTTATTTTAACTTGTTTTATTATAACTTATTTTATTATTTATTTCAACTTATTAATATTTCAACTTGTTTCTGGCCATTCCTAGATTAATATAACCTAAAATTTTTCTTGCCGCCAACCATGGTGGCGGCCTTGACTAAAGACATCCACAAACATAAGATTTTGGCCTTTCTTTAAAATACGCTGTAGTCCCTCGACCTGACTTCAGGCGCTTCTAGCCTAAAAATAGCATAGAACGATCTTCTGACTTACTTCTGACTCACTTCTGACTTCTGACTCAAGTTACAAACCTTTGTGAAAACTATTTTTTGGGTTTATGCGAAAATAGGCAGGCACGAAATAAAAGGCCTGTCTATCTTATCACTAGCATAGCCTGGTAAAAATGAGATCTGAGTTTCATTTTGAGAAGCCAACACAAGGTATGTAAAAGTTTAAAACTAATTGGCCCTCGAAAAAAATCTATATGTTTTTCTGACCCGGCACTTAAAATAATTAAGAACCCCTGAGTCTAGAGGTTGAAAGAAATCACTCCTGCCAGGACATCTGCTAACTCTGTGTTCATCAGAACGGTTTCAAGGCTTCACACGGAGTGAATAGAAATATTTTATTTTATTATAATTTTTATTCGTGTTCGTTTGCTTTCTATTCAAGACACTCCGATAAGAACGACTTCATATTGTGAATACAGACAGTAGTTTCATTTTTCAACACTGCCTGTTGGCGGCGTTCCTCGTGAATTTTTCTATCAAAAAGTGTCATGTGGTTCAAAAAAGCTTGAAAAACACTGGGATAAAGGAAGACGAAAATGTAATGATTATTAATGGTATTTGCTAGAAATTATAATGAGTACATCTGTCAAAAATTCAGTCAAAAAATAAAAAAGTTTGAACGTTCAAAAGTGATGACATATAAGTTTACATTTTGAGATACCAAATTTTTTTAGGTAAATTCTTTTAACACTTCTTTTATCCAGCTTAGGTAATTGGTCACTCGAGTCAGATATCCATGTAAATCTGTTCCGCCACATTCGGGATCTCCCCAACTGACCATTCCAACAAGCTTGTAAACTCTCTCTGAATGAAAGTACATCGAAAACGGGCCTCCACTATCTCCTCGGCATGCATCTTTTCCGTCTTTGTTTCCAACGCAAAACATTTTTTCTTTGACGAAATGTTCATCTTTGCATGTTTCGTTGGAATTCACGTATAAATCTGCAAACTGGAGCTTTTCTTCCCGATCCTTATTGCTATTGACAAGTCCCCAGCCAGTAACATATCCAAGCTGTCTTGCATTTCTTTCAAGTCCGTCCTCTAAGTGATCCGAAGGCTTGGGCAGGCAGATAGACCTAATTTTTCTGGAAAAACGCACGGGCTCTCTCAGCTGAAAAATAGCAATGTCGTCGTTGTAGTCGTTGAAATGTTTTTCCCCAAATTCGAACAAAGGATGTACGTATATATCTTTGATGACCAAGCCATTTTTCGTAACCCAATCCTTGTCTTTGAGCTTAATTTCTGTATGTCCAACCACAACTCTATATCTACAAAAACAGAAAATTGTTTTATCTATTAAGCATTGGGACTGACAATGTCCAGAAAAGTTGTCAACACTCCTCCTGCCAAGAAATCTTCATTTACAACCTTCCTCATTTTTAATTGGTTTAAAATGGGCATGGTCAGGATATCGCGGGTACTCAACTAGCCTTGATCCGCTCTCCTTGCAACTCTATTTTTCCAAAACATTTTTAGAAAATTGTAGCCTGTTTTCGATTATCGATATTTTCGAGAAAGATGTAAAGTTACGTGCTTATATCAATTAAATACAAATGCGCGTTGAAATACCCTCAATGATAATACAAAGAACCTAGAGTCTATTGCAGCTTTTAAAAAGGAAATTAAGACTTGGGATGGAGCCCATTACCTTCTACAGTTTGTAAATAGACTTTCGATTCCTTTTATTGATAATTGATATATATTCATTTACGTTTATACTATATAGATGGTGTATATCAGTTTTTAAAGAACCATGAAATTGCCAACTGTAAATAAATTGATGATGATGATGAATATATAAATCATAAAAAGGTAATGCCTGAATTTTACAGTGCAAAGCAGTTTTGCAAACACATTCATGTTAAAAAACATCAGGCTCACAAATATTATTTGATTTTTTTTATTTTTCATCTGACTGTATTTTGAAAACCAAAAGGCAATACGATTTCTTCACTCCTTCGAGTTTAAAAATTTTTGGTCAACTTCCTTAATTTTTTTTGTTTCTACATTCTTTCTCCGGCCAGTGGCCGTGGAGCCTTGATGTTCTCCTGACACTGGGGACTGACATTTCAAAAAGGCTTTATCTCAGTCGTTTCAAGTCATGCCAAGTCATATCAGGTCATGTCATATGTCATTTGTCATGTCATTTGTCATGTCATGTCATGTCATGTCATGTCATGTCATGTCATGTCATGTCATGTCATGTCATGTCATGTCATGTCATGTCATGTCATGTCAACATGTCAAAAAAATCCTGAAGATGTCTAGAGGAGAAAGAATGAAGAAATCGTATTGCCTTTTGGTTTTCAAAATACAGTCAGATGAAAAATAAAAAAAATCAAATAATATTTGTGAGCCTGATGTTTTTTAACATGAATGTGTTTGCAAAACTGCTTTGCACTGTAAAATTCAGGCATTACCTTTTTATGATTTATATATTCATCATCATCATCAATTTATTTACAGTTGGCAATTTCATGGTTCTTTAAAAACTGATATACACCATCTATATAGTATAAACGTAAATGGATGTATATCAATTATCAATAAAAGGAATTGAAAGTCTATTTACAAACTGTAGAAGGTAATGGGCTCCATCCCAAGTCTTAATTTCCCAAGTCCAAATCATTGTTATGGTTTTTGACAAAGGTTTTGTTTACTTCTATTTTTGGATTAAAAAGGTATAAAAACCCTGTTCAGTTTTATAGAATTTCGAAACTGCACGGTTTTATCATGGAAAGCAACTGCATTGATTCAAATAAACCTAGTTTCAAGCCACAGTGTTACCCTGTGCAAAGCTGTTTAAAAGACGTACGGTAACATTTTGGGCAGATTGAAAGCAAGAGGTTGCATGGCCCCTTGTAAACCAGCATTGCTGAATGGGTTACCATTCTTGAATAACTAAAAACCAATGGAATGAAAAGATGTTCACTTTTTTAACTAAGTGTGAGCTTTTACTCGTTTATATTGAAAGTGTATGAATGATTTAATAAAAGACATTGGTAGACTCTTATAGAATTTCTTTTAGGGCAGAGCTATTCTGCAGTAGCTCTCTCTTACTACAGGCCTATGACGAAGGTAAATTATACTCTCCTTGGTGGTTTTTGTTGAAGATATTTGATTAGCTTACCTGTGTGGGTCCCTAACTACTGTAAAGTTTATACTTCTTCTGTCGTCCTCTTCTAAGCAATGGGCAGCTGTCAGAATTGCTGTTTTGTTTATGATTGATCCGCCACATATCAGACTATCTGCGTAAAAAGGTTTTTATTGGAGGTCAAATACGGTTGAAAACAATTGAGTTGTTTTCGATATCAGCACGCTTAGTTTGCATAAAGAGACTGGGGAGAGAAATTGAGTGAAAAAGATGACACGGGTATATGTTTACGTATAGATACGGCATTTACTGGTGACTAATCACTGCTCGAATGGACATAAAAAGTATTCGAAATTTTGTGTATTTTTATTCTTAAACGTTTTCCATAGTCTGTTTTCTTGAAAACAGCTTTTTTGAAAGCTTCTTTCAAGTATGTTGGATCTCTTAAGAAAAGACCTACTATTATCCTTAAAATGGGTGCAGTCCTTCAGGCTGTAGCGTGTCACAACAACAACGCTCATGTTTTCAAGCCTGAAAAAACATGCTCAAGCGTTAGATTTTAACTTCAAATCAAGGTTTCTTCAAATTGTTGTTTTCGAGTAATTCATACCCCCTGTGATAAACATTCTTAAAATATGTTGAATGTTCTGACATACATGTTTATGGCATGTATATAAATGGCAAATAATGTTTCTTATATGTTTCTTAACGGAGCTAACATACATACTGGTGAATGGAGTGAACTTGAAACAACCGAAAAAGCTCTTAGAACGAGCTATTTGTACAGAGATTTAATGGAGGAATTGTGAGGACTTCAATGCCTGCCAAAAGTACTTGGAACACCCACCAATTTACGCTGCATTTGATTTCTGTCATTCCTTTCATGAAAAAAATTGCTACTTCCGCCCCCTTCCCCCTCAAACAATGTTGATGATTTAGAGAAATATCATAAAAGAAGCGCAATCCTAACCCGTTTGATAGTAAACCAGCATTGTTCTGTGGGGGAGAGGGGGATGATTGGTTTTGACCTTGGAAATTGATGTCAGTGTTCCAAGACTTTTGGCAGGCATTGTTGGTCCCCTCCTGCAGGAACAACTCAAAGTATTCGTGTGCACTTTCTAGTTTAAGTTTCGCATAATTTTCTTCAAGTTTAACGATTTATTATCTTACCCAGCTCTTATTGGACTTGATTGACATCTTAAATGATTACATTTTATCATAGAAACGATTGTAACTAGGCTTGACTATGCATGCATCCTACCTGGCACGTGTTTAGGGGTTTGTCTCATCAGTTATGTCCAAGATTGGAGTTACGATTGACCTATCAAATGGATTCGATTCGTAAAATAGGGATTGAAAATGGTTTCTTTATCTCAATTATTTTTGTCTCCATTTTTTAAAAGTTTGCCATCAATGTATACCTTTCCTAGCTTAGAATTTTCGATCACTTTTAATTTATTATTTAATTTAGTTTATCTGCCATATGCTGATAGTAGACAATTGCATCCGCCACACACCCCCCGTAAAACCGTCCCTGAACGCAAGGAATATGATTTGAAAACTTACAAGCATCTGCTTTTACATTTGACCGGTAAATTGCAACCTGCCATGGCCATCCGCTGTCATCAGCATCTTTCCCCTGTGACACCCTTCCTCGACCAGTAGAAAGCGATGGGCCTATCCCGCATAAGCTGTAATCTAATTTAAGATATAAGATAATATAAGATTTGAAGATTTTAACATAAAGTTTTGAGTTTAATAAAAATCTGCAAAACTGCAAAACACTGCATTACAAAAAACTGCAAAAACTTAGCAAAAATATCTTTCAAATATTTTAATGAACATGGTCGATATTCAATAAAAACAGAGCATCAATAACAAATCGTTGATGAAATTTACTCAGTATTAACTTGCAAATGTAGTGGTTCAAGCATCGACAAGTGATTGGAGCATGATTAGAGCGTGATTCAAGCATCGATCTGTGATTGGACATTGATTTTTTTATAATTTATCTAGCGTTCTTCCGTGGCAGAGGTATGCTTCAATTTTTAGAATACAGCTTAGATTTATTCTATGCTCAAGAAAATGGAAAGTCAACCAGTACCTGTTCGAATAATCTTATGGAGCAAAGTTTGGAAATCCTCCTCAGATTTAAGCTGAAATATGAGTTTTCTTCCTGTTTTCTTTGACCTCGAGGCAATATTTTTCAATTCACTTCGCTTGATCTTCTTTCCTACTCCTATTGTGTAGATCTCCACGTTTTGCTCACTCTTAAGTTTTCTAGCAATATCAATTGGACTTCCTTGAAATAGAAAAATATGAGCTTTTCTTCGATGTTTACATGTAAACCATTGAAAAACATATGCTTCTTGAGGTTTGGGAACCTGAGGTAGTTGTAGAAACCTGCCTTTAAAAAAGCAACACCCCCCCCCCCCTTAAAAATTTACCATGTTAATCATGTCAGGAAAATTCATATTTGCAAGGAGAATTCCTGTTTGCAACATGAATTCACTGTCGAAACTTTCTGTGGTTAAAAGTAATGGACCGGTATTTCATAATTCAAAAATTATACAAAAAAGTGGAAACCTTGCCTATGTTACCAAATAAGTGGCATGGGTTAAGAATGATGTGTTTGATTAGTTTTGGCCAATCGGCTACCGCTAAACCTCGAATAGTTGAGGAGGCGAGGAACAACTCCTTCCCAGTGATTATGCCATGTTATGTTTCTAAAAAATAGCTTTTTGGCATTTTGAAAGTAATATATTGAAAAATAAGATTTTTTCTTATACCCGAAATCAGTAAGAAAATTAAAAAACAAAGAAATAATCCATAGCTTGTCTGATTAAAGGTTTAAGGTAGTTTTATGTAAACACCCAGTAAATATGAAGAGCTACCAAGGAATGAACTCTTTCCAAAAAGTGATTTCAGTACGTCTTTGTTGTACTGAAAATGATTATATCAAACCCTTAAATGTATGTCCTTGCAGGAATAAATATAACAATGTGACAGCTTTGTTACGTCTTAAAAGTATTGAATATAGCTGGTTTATACCTCCAAAGTTATGGGTTCCATCAGTGATCAAAATCAGCGCTCGTTTCCTGTTTCGTTCTTTTTCGCTCAAAATGTTTGTCCTCACCAAGTCCATCCCCACTGCTATCCCAGTCCCTCCTCCTCGGTACTTTATATTTCTAGTTATTTCACAAGCTCTAGTTGCAGTATCGACGCTAGCATCGCCGAGATTGTACACCAGATACGCTTTTGTACTGAATGTCACTGCTGCTACCCTTGTACCCCCCTTTCTAAAAAAATAAATGGCATTTTAAAGCTCTCGATTAGGTAACCAACTTTGAAAGGGTTTGAAAGCTTGCTGTTCTCTTCAGTTTGAATTTTAATTTTAATGACTAACTCACAAGACTTGAGATACTGTACTGTTTCTATACTCAAAGATTTGATAATATTCTTGGAAAATTTTATTTCTAAACTAGTTAATTACTGAATTTAAAAGGCCTTTTTGCCATAGTATACAAATATGATTTAATAAATTCAGGTAATGAAAGTATGACACTAACTGCTTCACAGAAGACAGTGAGGTGGCACTAGACCCTAGAAAGGGCCCTTCTGGCGAAAGGACGCGCCCCTTCTGGTAGAACTGGTTCTCTTTGGTACATCCGTCTTCTGTGGTTTATCCCGTGGTACCTAGCCCAGCCAGCACACGCTGATAGGAAAAGGTAACTTTGACCCCAAATCTCCTGCTGCCTTGCAGGGTGTGCCTCTTCAAACAAAGACTAAGAAAAGGAAACTCATAATCCAAATCCATCTGTTGCTTTACAGGCTCAAGGGCTTAAGGTATTGGTTTAAGGCTAGAGATGATGTCTCGATAAAAATACTACCCCCAACTCACCAATCCGCACTGAACCATCGTAGTGAGTCATGCATGGTTCATCCTCATGCCATGAAAACATTAATGAAAAAAAGGCCCTAAGTCCCCAGTGGCCGAAAGGCAGAGGGTGCTAAGAATCCCCGGGTTTCCTCAACACACCCCCTTTACATCCGCACTCACAATGTAAAAATATTCGAAAGATCAAGAAAAAGAAAAAGAACTTGAGCAAGAGCTGGCAAACCTCAAATTGGACTTGCAGAAACAAGAAAAAAGGAAAGCAACTAGAGGAACTACCAAGTGGGCATGTTCTGCATACAATAGGAGATGAGAGTTCTATTGGAGGCGCTGGTTTCCTGGTCAATAAAAAGATCAAAGACCGAGTTGTCCAATATGAAAATGAGAGCAACAGGGTAGCGTCACTCACGCTGAAAGTGAATAACAAGTACCAACTGCAAGTGGTACAAGTATATGCACCAACATGTAGCCACGCAGATGACAAAGTTGAAGGATTGTATGAAGACATTGCAAGAACGATGGAAAAGAATAAAAGTCGCTTTAAGATCTTAATGGGTGACATCGATGCAAAAAGTTGGTCAACTTCTGCAGAATGACGGAATTAGTGTCGGACAATTTGGTTTCGGAACAAGAATTGAATGCGGAACGAGACTTGTACAGTTTACTACATCAAAGAACCTATCGATAGCTAACGCCTTCTTCAAGAAAAAAGAAAACAAAAAACGAACACGAAAGAGCCCCAATGGAACAACTAAGTACGAAACTGACTATCTACTGACAATAAAGAAAGTCCAAAATGTAGAAGTAATACAACAAGTAAAAGTAGGAAGTGACCACAGAATGGTGAGGAGTACCATAAAGATAAATGTTAAATTTGAAAGATTGAAAATGGAAAGGCCAGAAAAAACCAAAGTTAACAAACAAACACTGATGCAATTAGAAGATGAGTTTCAACTGAAGCTAAAAAACCGGTTTGAGGCACTGTATGATGAAGGAGGGATAGATGAGATGGCTAACAACTTTACTGAAATTTTTAAAAAAATGCGCATTTGAGGTTGCTGGAAAAGACAAAAAGAATAAGAATGACAAATTAAAAGCAGATACAAAAGAACTTTTGAAGAAACGAAGAGTAATGTCAAGCAGAGATCTGGACAGAAATGAGGGAAGATCTAAGAGAATACAACACAATTAAAGGTGAACTGACACGCAAAATTAACTTGACCTCAAATGAAAGCATATCGAGCATAAATACCCGATACATAAATATTTTTTTAATGTTCAACACAGTTTTCGAGTTATTGAGCGTCACAGTTAGCCACCGAACATTTCCCGAGCACGGACGAGTTTGCCCGAGCCTTCCGCATAACCATGTTCCCATCACTTGAGCAACACAACAGTCTGGATGGCCGTACTTTTATGACTTTGCGGAGGAGTAGCTTTTGGCTCCATTTCGACAACCTGATCGGAAAACAAATTATGACTCCTTTACAAACCTTTCATAATAAGATTTGCAGGAATATCGCTTTTGAGGCCCTTCCTCCCTCCAGGACCCAGTCTGTGGCGGGCTAAATATATTGGCAGGATTTTTTATTTTCTGGAAACCAAAGTTGTAAACATACTTTAGAAAATTGAAAGGAGCAAAGGTCAATGAGCTGGACACTTTGTATAAACACCAACAAATGGGCTAGAAAAACAACTGAATGGACGCCGAGAGATGTAAAAAGAACCAGAGGAAGGCCAAAACGCAGATGGAGAGACGACATCGAAAAGAAATCAGGAAAGAGGTGGATGCATTAGGCATAAGTGGAGTCATTCGTTGAGGCCATCTGCCAGCAGTGGCATGACGGGCTGAGATGATGAGGTAATGAAAAGGAGTTTAAGATAAAAGAACTTTCCTCGTGCAACATGGGTGTCTGTCTGACTTATGTACAATATTCACAAACACTTAGGAACGCAATATCTTTTGCTGAGCACATAAGAAACTTATAGTCACAGTAACTCAGACTATTTTCTTATGTAAAAATACTCTGATGAGTGTCTGACGAAAAGTACTTTAGTAGAACATGCTTCGGCTTTTCCATTCTATTTTCAAATTTTGCGGTACCAAGAGCACAACCGTTTTCTTAAAGTGTCGGTTAAAACAACATCTGTTTCATGACATCAGACCTTACAGGAGAGATCCGCAATAGTTTGCAGATCTGAATGATGCATTCAGTTTAGCATCTGGTGAAAAATAGTTTCTCTTTTATTCATGTTTTGATTTTTGCGAGTTGGTTGAACGCTAAAGTATCAAGGATTTATATTGTTAAATTAGGTACCAAAAGTATTAGATCACAATGAAAATTCTTACCCATAATCATTAGATGGATCCCCGTCTATAAAAATTTCAAGTGATGCAATCAAGAAAGCAATCAAGCTCTTGAAATTTTTATTTTGAACCACGCCCTAATTTTATCTCCCGGATGGGCATTTTTCTCATGAAAAACAACCCTTTCTTCAAAGGAACGTCTTTACTGTGCCGTTAGCATTGAGCGTTATTATATATAGCTTCAAATCAGAGTTTAGAGGTTGGAAATTTTACGTGCGCAAAATTGCAATAAAAACAACAATAAAATGCTACATATCAATAACATAAAGTCTAAATCTTTATAAAAATAGGGGGAATTGTCCCCCTCGATTTCCCCGTGTCTCCACCTTTGTTGCTAGTCATTTGATGAAAAATTTTCGAATTGTCTTACCCATAATCCACTCCAAATTTCACGATAATTTCGCAGATAAACTCCAGTGTAAGATCAAAGTTTTTTTGACCAATACTGCTTGAAGAGTCGATCAGAAATATGAGATCAAGCCCGTCTGGGTTATTCAGCGACAGGGAACGGCCTCTACTCTTAATGCATTTTCCATTCTCGTCAGTTTGGCAAGTTTTTTTTGCCAGCGGCTTGATCAAATCGTTTGAGAATAACAAAGCGGTTTCTTCGATCGGTGGAATCGTTACCTTATTGTCGTCTAGAGAAAAAGACATCTCAAATGTATACGGCAATAAAGAATATTGATTTTAGCCACACTTAGCTGACAAGTTCCTTGCAATACCTGGTAATTATTGTGCTATAAAAAAGTGAAAATTCTCTACAAGTGAGCTGTCCCACAACTTCAGTCAAACAAAGAAGGCTGCCCCACAATTGCTGCTACTCGGGCTGAGATGCAATGACGAATTAATGCTTATTCGATGGAAGATTTTCACTTCTTCATCACCCCTTTCAGGTGGCTAGATCTCAGCGAGGACATATTTCAGCAACATGGCATCAAATTATATTTTGTCATTTTTCTAAACCATAATATTCATCTTCAATAAAACATTCAATTCAAGTGAAAAACCGACATACCTATTCAGTTATACAATTGATACAAAACAGCTCAGCTAGCTAGGGCAGTAACGAGAGGAAAAATACTTTTGGGAGGGGTTAGGTGTTCCAAAATTTTGTTCGAGGAATTGTTTTTCTGCAGTTGATTACCTTCACAGAAGGGCCTATTCCCTGTCCAGTTCCCGTGCAGTGTGCAATTATGGCTTTTGTCGCCAATCAGTGTGAATCCGGGTAAACATTCATACACAACGACGTCTCCCTTTTCGAAACTTTTGCCTATTCGTCTTCCATTTGCTGGTACACCAGGATTTGGGCAGTGACTCTCTGCAGGAATGTTAGTGTTTCAAAACTCAAAAATCTTTTCAGCAAGGAAACAAATTAGCTACAATATACTGATTTAAAATACAATTACTAGAAATTTAAGATTAGAGCAATAAGAAGATCAGAAAACTAATTGGTAATTTACAATGCTGAAGGACACACGAAAAACTGACGATGATCTATCTAGTCATGTGCCCTGTTTGACGTACTTAATAACATGTATAGATTTTAGTTTGAATTGAACAGAATAGAACAGTAAGATAATTGATAAAAGAAGAATAAGGGGAAAAGGAGTTTCATTGAGGAAGTCAATTAGATTTTAGATGTCTGTGATATCCTTGTAACGGTATAGATGTGCATTAGGGGCAAACCTTATTGCCATGCTGTATCTTACATCAATATTTTGTGGTTGCACGCGAGTCATATCTAGTCTTGCTCATTTCAATGCTGCTGTGAGTGTTACTAAGAAACATATTCTTTCATCCAAAAACAATTTCTTCTGAGAATCTTCTTGGGGGCCCCTTCAGGGCCCAAATGTTTGGGGCCCTTAGTTTTGTGCTTAAAGGTACACCGTGCGTTACACCACTTGGGTCACTGTGTTGCAGATGGGATATTTTGTCAAGGAGCTTTTCGTTTGATACTTGCATTTCAGTCGAGATATTTTCAAATGTGTTGAAAGGAGGGCTGCTAGAGAATAGGACGGAGAGAACAGAAACATGTAACAGATTACCATGAAATAAACTCATTAAAGTTTACCGGTTTGGGAAATTTCAAAACTCACTGTTGCTTAAGAGGTTTTCGAATTTGATTTTATTGATTTTACACTGGGTTCCTATATCTATTTTTCGGTCAATGAAATTTCATGAGCATATTTATAGAACTGGACTTGTATCGACTTTTGAAAACTTTTTTATTCTCTCGGAAACAGATAACTCCTTTAACTTGCTGATTTATGAAAGCCTTATTTTAAACAGGGAGTTATCTTCGCTTAATCCCAAACAGTCTCCATTTCCATGACTCAGTTCTCACTCTCTTTCTCCTCCATTAATTTTTTTGCTCTTCCTTTATTCCATGTTTATTTTCCCCTAGGTTGTTTACCACTACTTTTTAAAGTAGTCCTTCTTACAAGTCCTGATTGCTTCTCCCGCATACTGTTAGGTTTTCAGTTGACTCCAGATTGAAGCGGAACGTTTCTCTGATTCTGTCTAACCCGGAGTGTCTTGCTGTTTATGTCAATTTTAATACACCAAATCAACTCGATTGTAAGACTTTTTTGAGATTGGATTCTGTTTTCTCATCATGCTATTGGTGAGAAAATCATTTTCAAAAGTTTGATAATTATGAATTTTATGAATTTAGTTATAAATTTAATTATTGAGAAAATTATGAATTTAACATATGCATAGCTTACTTTTATCGAGACATATTACGAGCTCGCCACTCCAGAGACCATTTGATTGACAGGTTCGTATCGCAGAACCAACGAGAGTATAACCTCCATTGCATCTGTAGCTGACATTGGCACCAACTGTAAAATTTGACCCGAATCTCCTTCCGTCTTCAGGGCGTCCTGGATTACCACAGCTCAACCCTGAAAATTTTAAGAAATGCTGAATAATGCATAATCTGATGTTAGAATGCATATCTTCGACGTTTTAAAAAAATATATTATCGGTATCTTGTGAAACTCTTCAATGTTTTTGACCAGAGTCTGTAACATACTACACACTCCCGATCTTTCTGCTATCAGTTAACATTCCGTAAACATCTCCAACAAAACAAAAATAATTTCGTCGAAAAATTTGGGCTTTCTTTGGATAATGGAAAAACGTTTAACTTTGGGCAATCGATTTATGACGTCTACCACCCGTTATGCCCTAGCTACTCCCTAGCAACGCCCTAACCAACGGTGATTGCCTCAAGAATTAGAGTAAGGCTTTGGCAGGAAGAATTTTGATCGAAGGAAGGTTAAGGACTTTTTTGGACTCTGAAATGGTGCTTGGACTGTGTAGGTGTGTAAGTGGTAGTAGGTTAAGGCTGATAAAGAGGGACTTAGAGTTCAATTGTTGTAGTATGGCTAGACAGAAGCAATTTATAAATCCAATTGATGTCGATTGTCACTTCCTGCCTGCATCTAACTATCTGCAGCTACTGTTGTTCCTGAATACAGGCAGTTTTAGCCCTGCTACATACAACGAGATAAGGCTGGAAAAAAGGGACTTGACAGTAAATAATTCATTGCGATTTACGCATGTTTGCCTACTTCTGCATCTTGGAAGTCTTCTTGGTAACCACTTTCCATTTTCATTGCAAGTTATAGCATCTGCTTTTGTCAATTCGTAGTTCTCATTGCAGAAGAATGTAATCGTAGTCCCAAACTCGAGCTTCTCATTGTCGATTGTAAAATAACCATTCCTGAAAGACTTCAGCTGAATGGGTCTTTTGCATCTAACCGCTATGAAGAATTCTATCACTTAGATAGGTAAAGGCTTTGAGAGAAAGTTTAAACTAACATAAAAAAGCTATGTGAATGTATATGAAATAATAGTTCTAAAAAGTCTTTTATTTTGTGCTCAGAATATGAAATACACATTATCTACTTGACTGCCAATTGAAAGGGAAATTTCAATTTGAACTTAAATTTGGAGCATACACATTATAAAAACACCATGGAATATCTCTAGTGAAATTAGTTATAAAGTGGTTGGTATATGGCCAGTAAAGGACATGCGAAAGGTCTGCTTGAAGATCACTGCTAAACAAACCAATATCATAATTCAACTTTTCTCAAACGTAAGACAACTTTAAAAATCATTTCACACTTCATAATCTAATTTCAAAATTATGAAAAACCGATTTTTCTACGTTCTTTGGTCCGCTTAAGAAAGTCTCTAGTCTTTAATGGAGAGTGAAGCAGACAAAATGTGGAATCCTTTGGAATTGACTTTTCACAGGGGTTATTTCAGGCATTATCTGTTTAGGCATCAATGAGAAAAATCACAATTGAACTAACAAAACCACGCAGTTTGTTAAATGCTAGTTTACGCCTGGTCCCTCCTCTCACCACAACTACGATCACAACTCCGATTACTAGTCCCATCAATACTCACTTCACCTATCCAGCCACTTCCAGGATCACTGCTCTAATCATTACTTTGATCACGACCCTGATCAATATTCCTATCATTATTCTGATCATCACTCCACTTTATCCCCATTCCAATCACTTCTCTGATAAACACTTCAATCACTGCTCCAATCACTTCTCCCTTATCACCATTCCAATCACTACTCTGATCACCATTCCAATCACTATTCTGATCACTACTCTGATAAGCAGGTCATTACTGCTCCAATCACTACTCTGATTACTGCTGCAATCACTGCTTCGATCACTTCTCTTATCCCCACTCCAATCACTACTCCGATCACTACTCTGATAAACACTTCAATCACTGCTCCAATCACTACTCTGATCACCACTCCAATCACTTCTCTGATCATTACTCTGATCATTAGTCCACGCTATTTCGTTTCACGCGGGCGATCGCCAACGCCCTCGCCAACGCCCTCGCCAAATCATTGTCGCGCGCTATCGACCGCCCTCGCAAAAACGTCTCGCCTACATTTCAGTCTGATTTCATTTTATCTTATCTATACACAATATCCTTCCAAGATATGAGATACAAAAAGAAAAAGCACATTACAATAAAATTTTTCTAAGGCGCTCTCAGAGATTTGCAACACATTGCCTGACCTTCCATGGATTCTTGTCGGGTTGACTACTGTTAGCTCGAAAGGTGAAATCTTGATCCTTTTTTAAATCGTACGATTGAGTCAATATCCCTAATGGATTGTGTGATATCATTTTTGGTTGTTTGCCTCCTGATGCTATTTTTGATTGAAGAAAAACGAAAAGAAGTTAAATCAGTACAGAAACGGTGTAGTAGAAACATTGTCTTGGTTTTTATCCTCTCATAATTAACCAATGATGTAACCACAAATACAAAATTCTAAGGATGAACCGTAACTTAAAAAATTGACGTTTAAAAATACTTGCCTCTGCAAACTGGGAAATTTTCTGACCAGTTACCGTCACTCTGGCATTTTAGTATTTTGTGCCCAACGAGGGTGTAGCCTTTTTCACAATCAAACTTTAGCTTCGAACCAACTTTCGATTTCAGATTTGGTTGAAATTTGATATACTTCACAGTGACGTTTGCAGAAATTATTGGTTTAGGGCAGACCTCCTTATCTAGCAAAATAGAATACGTAATGTAATATTTAAGGATTACTACTCTGATCACTACTCGATCACTACTCTGATCACTGCTCTGATCACTACTCTGATCACTACTCTGATCATTACTCTGATCACTACTCTGATCATTACTCTGACCACTGCTCCCATCACTACTCTGATTACTGCTCTGATCACTACTCTGATCATTACTCTGACCACTGCTCTGATCACTACTCTGATCACTACTCTGATCACTACTCTGATCATTACTCTGACCACTGCTCTCATCACTACTCTGATCACTACTCTGATCATTACTCTGACCACTGCTCCCATCACTACTCTGATTACTGCTCTGATCACTACTCTGATCATTACTCTGACCACTGCTCTGATCACTACTCTGATCACTACTCTGATCATTACTCTGACCACTGCTCCCATCACTACTCTGATTACTGCTCTCATCACTACTCTGATCACTACTCTGATCACTGCTCTGATCACTACTCTGATCACTACTCTGATCATTACTCTGACCACTGCTCCCATCACTACTCTGATTACTGCTCTGATCACTACTCTGATCACTGCTCTGATCCCTACTCTGATCACTGCTCTCATCACTACTCTGATCACTGCTCTGATCACTACTCTGACCACTACTCTGATCACTACTCTGATCACTACTCTGATCACTGCTCTGATCACTACTCTGATTACTGCTCTGATCACTACTCTGATCACTACTCTGATCATTACTCTGACCACTGCTCCCATCACTACTCTGATTACTGCTCTGATCACTACTCTGATCACTGCTCTGATCACTACTCTGATCACTGCTCTCATCACTACTCTGATTACTGCTCTGATCACTACTCTGACCATTACTCTGATTACTGCTCTGATCACTACTCTGATTACTGCTCTGATCACTACTCTGATTACTGCTCTGATCCCTACTCTGATCACTGCTCTCATCAAGTACAGAAACGGTGTAGTAGAAAGATTGTCTTGGTTTTTCTCCTCTCATAATTCTCCTCACCAATGATGTAACTACAAATAAAAAATTCTATGGATGAACCGTAACTTAAAAAATTTAAGTTAAAAAATACTTGCCTCTGCAAACTGGAAAGCTTGCTGACCATTTACCGTCACGCTGGCATTTTAGCTTTTTGCGCCCAACGAGGGTGTAGCCTTTTTCACAATCAAACTTTAGCCTCGAACCAACTTTCGATATCAGATTTGGTCGAAATTTGATATACTTCACAGTGACGTTTCGAGAAATTATTGGTTTAGGGCAGACCTCCTTATCTAGCAAAATATAATACGTAATGTAATATTTAAGGATTTTTATTAACTCATGTAATACATAAAGATATGCAGAACGCATTGATATATAAGACTGCAACAATATAACATTAATTGTAAATGTACTGTGAAAATTACAAAAGTGCTCGATGTCGTAGAGGCGGAGCTGCACAGTCTTTTGGTGCGTAGAACAGGACAGTTTTAAGTTGTTTTTTTACTCAAAACTGCAATCAAATAATATTAATAGTTAATGCATCACGTATCAATGTATTTCGTACCAATGTATTATGTATCAATGTATTACGTATTAATGATTGATACTAAGTAGCGAATTGGAAGATAAAATTATAATAGTATTGCATCAAGTCAATATTTAAGGTAGCACATTGCCAAAAGTTCATCTCAAATTTCTCATAAGCTCAGGCCATTTCGACTGATTTTTGAACTTGATTGTAATCTTTTTTACCTACGATACATATGGCTATAATTTTGGCCATCAAATACAATCCCAAAATTAGAAACCCAAGCAACGGGACTGTCAACAGGCACGAGAAATAAACCTCTTTCTTAAAGGATCCAAAGATGTATGTGGAGGGACAGGGTTCAGGTTAAGAAGACATGGTTAGGAATTTTAGAAATAAATGGAAGTTAGAACATTTGGAATAATATCCCGTTTTTTTAGAAGTGTCTTAGAAATGGATAAATGCCAGCGACCATGCCTACCTGTCCCTGTGCCTCTTAAAAATGATTCCGACATCCTTAAAGAGACAGGATAAAAGATATGTTCCTAACCAATGTGATACAATCAAGTTGTGTGTCACAAACGATTTGAAAATGGCAGGGTCGAAGAATGCTGGCAGTCTACCAAGACAATTGAAAAAAGCATGCACTTACATTTCTCGGAATGTGAAATTGCAACAGTCATGAAAAGCAATAAAAATATAGCAAGGCCTTTCATGTCTCGTTTTCTTCCTGAAAAGAAAATGGGACAAAAGTTATTCAAAATTCTGATACAAAAGCAATATATTCTCTTTTTGTCATAATGATATTATGTTAGAGGAATTCTAAAGTAAAGAATGAAGAAAAGTAGAATATAATAAGCAAACATGGAACAACTTTTTAAAAAGCCAGAAAAAAAAGAGGTTGCATGAGGATGATCGTAAGAAATTTCAGCTACCATGCCCATGACACACCCTAATCAAATACAGAAATGACTAGATAGTCTCAAGCATTTCTGAAAAATTTCCAAACACTAGACGGAAACCAAAAGCGGTTTTATGCATCAAATATAGCAGCACGAGACATGTCTACAACCCTGCCAAAAGTCTTGGAACACTGACGCAAGTTTTCAAAGGCAAATTCAGCCACTCCCTCTCCCCGTAGGAATAGTGTTGGTCAACTTTAGCTGAAAAAGATAGAGGACCAATTTTTTCTTGCGGCTTGCATGACATTGTTCTAGACTAGAAACATTGTTCTTGGGGAAAGGGGATGGACGTAATAGTATTCGGGAAATGAAATGAAAAAAAGGAAAGACACAACACAAATTGCTCAGTATATTTTGGGGATATTCTAGAGTGTAAAATATATTCAAGCATGCTGCGAATAGTGAATCATTCGGTCTTGATGGCTCCTGAATATTGCTGTTAATTTATTGTGGCGCGATGAGGGGGTGGAGCATGTTTATTCTGATTCCAGGAATTTTATGATTCTCTGGCAGCGAACATATTCAGTAATAAACTGCTGACATTAGGAAAAGGAATGTATGACAAGCTACGGCAAGCCGTAGTGAACAAAGGTGGTTGAAAAAGAAATCGTACATTGAGATATATATCATTAGGGTCCAGAATTATTGATTTGTCTTTGAAATCTTGATTGTTAGTGATCAGTTTAACTTCGATACTTGAGATTTTAAGTGTTGCTTCACTTCTCTTCCAGTAGCCTTGAGTTTCAAATCATGGTGTACCAGATTTTTGAATTTATATTGTCCGATATTTTCGAATTTGTTGTCGCAAGGCCATGCTTCACACAGGCTATTTCTACAAGCAAAATGGACGCATACCATACAGGCCATCAGCGAAAATTGTCAACCAAATTGGGGTATTGTCATCATGTTTGCCGGATTTTTTACTCTGATGAAGTCCTGTATGCCGGGGCCAAATATTATTATTCGTTTTATTTAATTTATTTTTGAAAATTTATCTCATTACATCGGATTCTCGTCGTCGTATTGCTTTGTTCCTGAATATTTTTCGTATTAATACTCATTAATTTCTAGCCTGATAACCAGACCCCGATTTCAAAGAAAATAGTGGTCTGTTCAGCACAGCGCCAAATCGTGTTGGAGAACCTCCATTCCATGCAATAAAATCCAAGGTTTGTTGGAAATTTATGCACATAATTGAAGAGTTCCTTCGTCCTTTGCGTTTTGAAATGCGCAGCCCCTCGCCATTTCCTTCTTTGTGCGAAGATGGCAGTTCCAAGTTGTGTGCTCTGTTTTTGCGGCTTGAAAAATTAAATGTGAGGAATCTAGTTGATAGTTAAAGTGATTTCAACGCGTTATTTCCTTTTAAATCGGGTTCTGGTTATCAAGCTAATTAATTTCAAGATTCACAGAATCCGGCGGACAGCCTATGCTGGGGGTCTCTCTTCTTACACATTATTGCCATCAAGTTTGAGTACTAATTCGCCGATAGATCATAGTCAGCCAACGTACATGACGTCATACATCTTTAAAACCGAGGACTAGTCTAAGTGACGGAGACTGAAAGCTATGGCGGAACTCGCCTTTGGTTTGCTATGGCATTAACAGGGCCCATACATCCCTACAGAACAGTTAAATGTTTTAGGCGAATGCAAGAAAATGACCGGAGGAAATCTTTCTGTAGTTTGTTTAATCTACAGGGGCGTGTTTGCCAGATTTTCTGTTTACTTCGTTCGGGGAATTTTCTGCTAAAGCTGGAATTCAGCTTTTTCTTCAGGGGTTTTAATTCATAGCACATACAAACAGAGAAAAACGGAAAAAATGTCTATTCTACTCTAAAGCATTAAATATGCCCTGTTTTAAAGCGCTTTCTTACAGTTGAATCTAAAGAACTCGTTTTAGTGCGTGTGCAGCTACGAAAACTCTCTCTTAAGTTTTCGCTTGAGTTAAAGTAACTACGATTGAAAATTATGTATGAAACCGTTGCTAAAATTTCAGATAACTGGTTTTGCCGCATAAGAACATTATCAAGCGTTTTAAAGAGAGTTCCCCGACCAAATTTTCTGTAATCAAGCCTAGAGTCTCTTTTAGAAGCATCGCGTCAGTCTTCATTTTCCATAGTTTAGTGTTTAGAACATTGACTGAGCTGAGGTATTGGCAGTTGACATAGGAATTGAATTTCATGCCGCTTGCAATGAAGTTTTTCATCAAATGGTTGGATTACGATGACGTCATACTACCACTCATGCATTAGGTTGCCATAGTTTATATGACGTCATGTACGTTAGCTGACTATGATCTAGTGCCGACCCCTTGCAACATAACTGTCATGTAACAGCCTCCTTTACGTTAGCCTCGTTATGTTAATGTTAGCACATGCGTAGATAGGATTTGGGACATGCGATAAACTTAGTTATGAGATACACATCTATGAGATTTGAGATCTAGATATTGGCATTCATACTTAACATATGATAATAACGACTCGAGTGTCCTCAGGGCTAGGCCTATGGATGGCAATCCAAATACAAATTTTACGAACACGTTAAACAATAATGTATGAACAATAGAATATCATCAGAAGAACAGTTCTTCTAAAAATAAAAGGCTAACTAGCTTTGTAAAGTTTATTGGCAAAATTTTCCATAGTAGTAATGTCTCATATCCAACCCCCAGTGGGATGCGGAGAAGCTTGGTTTGGGCTTACCCTGCGCACCCCACTCCAGAAAGGGGTATCTTAGTGATAATATATAACAAATATAGAGTCAAAAGAGTTAAACGATTGTCAAGAATGAAATTTTCCTGGTAACTACAGGAAGAAGAAAAAATTCATTAATGTTCACCTCGGTTACAAGCCAAAATGCTTATTAGGGCTTCTAGCTTGTTAAATATTTAACAATTATTAAAATAAATGCAATAAAGATCGCATTGAGCAAAATAGAGGAGAGCTACCCTAACATAGTCAAAGAACGATTGAACAGCTATGGAAGAAAACATCAAAATTCTAATAGTATTTTTTGTATAAAACTGGGGTGGGGGCAAGCAAGGTGCCAAGAAAATTTCTGTAAGGGTCGTTGCCCCCTTGCCCCCTAGAAACGCCACTGATATTTCCAGACTTTTAAAGACGCATAATGAAACTCTTGAATCCTGAGAATTTCTCGTATTGTATGTAGAAAAACGTGATCAGGCTAGATCAGGGCAAGTATTCATCTAAAAGGTTTTCAGAAAGCTTTTCCAACGGAAACGCATTTCTTAACCAGGGGTGCCAGATTAGCCTTTTTCAGGCCAAATTTTCCAATTCTGGCCTTTTCCGGAGCTAAAGTGCCTGGAAAACTTGTTTTTGGCCTTCTACTTAAGTTTGGCATTTTCGGCCTTTTTAAACATTTTTAGTTCATTCCTTAAACATTAAAAACGTAAGTAACAAACAAATTATGAATCGAAAGAGGAATATTACATAGTGTAAAAACAAATTTCAAATATTATCAGCTAACCTAACGATTACCAAAGGCAGTTGTTTGAAGGAGAAAGTTTCTCAATTTTTTGCTTGAGTTTGGAAATTATCTAAAAGGCTAATGTGTGGAAATATATATTTCGCTTTGTGCAGTGAATTTTTGGGGATTATTTTAGTTTGTTTAATTTGTTTAATTTATGTGCATTTTGGCTCGACTTTGTCACCTGTCTGGCCTTCTCTTGTAAATCCCAACTGGCAACCCTGACAGAATTGTCACGAGCGTTTGAAAACACGAGAAAGGTTGACGCGTCTCACTTATTGCAGCTTCATAAACCCTCCCCAACAAGGTTCTGCTGGAAACTCTCTAGCATGAAAAATCAGATGTAGGACCAAATTGTTGAAATTACTGGCATGATAATTTAGAAACGTTTAAGAAACATTGAGTGTTTCAATTTCCCAAACCGTTAAAGAAACTATATTGCAAAGTTTGCGAAATCTGATGCCATTCTTGAAATACAATGCACTTGAGTTCTGTCTCTTCCTCTTGCATCTGGAACATCAAACAGACGCGGCTTGTACCCAACTGTAGCTTTTATCAAATAACACAATAAAGCTTGCCATCAAGGAATAAACTCGAAGAGAATTTAATGATATCACCAGAGACTTTGTCAAATTTGCTAGCACGGTTTATGAAGCAGTAAGTATTCTGATTGAGTTTACGAAAATCGATTAGTCATTGCTCAGTAACAACTCAAGGGAAAAGACAACCATCTTGAAAGGCAACTCACCTGTTCCGTACGACCATCTGCTTTTAGTATATTCGCTCCTTTGACTCTTGAAAGTAGGAAGCTTTGTATAACAAAGGCAAAACAGGAAGACTTTCTCATAATGCTAGTTCCGCTTCAAGATTTGGTTCCGGTTTTGGGTGTCTGTTTGGCCATAGAATTCTGTTAAACGGTTACCGTAAATCCTCGAATTGCCCCCCCCCCCTCGAAACCCCCCCCCCCTCGAAAAAGCCCCCACCCTAGAACAACAAATTGTCAATAGGCCCCCTCTCGAATAAGCCCCCACTGCTACTGTAAATTCTCAAATTGGACACGTCAATTGGATGATTTTTGCCATATGAGGTTGCCTATGGCGTTTTTTTGAATTATCACAACAAATTTCTGCTTTTGGTAGTAATTAATTAAATTCCTATAAAAAATTTTCTATAAAAAAATAAGGTCTTTTAAGCCCCCATTGAATAAGCCCCCATCCAAAAATATCAAAAATAAATAAGCCCCAGGTGGGCTAATTCGAGGATTTACGGTATATAAAGTTTTACATACACCAGGGGCGTTGTGGCCGGGGAGCAGGGGCGTATCCATAGCAAATTTGAAGGAGGGGCAGTTGGTAGTGGGAGCGCTGAAAGATTTTCAGAAATTGATGACGATTGACGAGTGTATGCTGTATATAAAAATTCCAGACCCTAACTACTGACAGAAGGCTCCCTACATCACATTTTAGAATATCAACGTGACCCTATTCTCAAGAGGTAAAGTCTCAGAAACTTTTTCACCTGATTCTCATTCTTAAAAAGGGGCGCAAAACTTCCAAAAAAGGGGCGCCAGACTTTCTTCAATTCGGTGAGGGAGGGGCACCTGCCCCCGGTCTAAAATATTGACCGCTCAGAATAGGCTGTTGTATCGACGATTCGACGATTCTCAGACAAACATTGGTTATTGATATTTAGGAAAAATTTGGGAAGGGATGAGTTATGTTAAAACCCAAGTGACGGACGCTGGGGAAAGAAAGAAAGGGCGACCTTTGGTTCAGAGTGCACATCAATGTAAATAACAAGAAGCTGTTGTATTGATTGAGAGAATTTTACTTCTTGAACAGAAATGTGCATCTTCTTTGTCTCGAGTATTTTCAGTAGGCTATGATCAGGGAAAAAGTCGTACAATTTTAACAAGGGGGGCTCTATGAAATTTCTAAGTTGTTCTTGTCATTTAATCATTAAAATTTTAACATATTTTTCCAAACATTGTTTGAGCAGCCAGGAACATTGACTGTGTTGAGCGTCAGCTGAGATAAGAGCATCAAATCTATGGGGAAGATTGCAAGGGGACTTTATTGCAAGTGAGGAGGCAAATATTGCTCAGGGGTTCAGTGAAAGTCGCCACCATGGTTGGCTGGGAGAAAAATTTTGAGATATGGCATTCCAAGAATAGCAAGAAATGCATCTGAAATATTTATGGCATCGATAAGGAAGAGCTTTCCTTTTAATAATAATGACTCATTGGTTGGATTTTGAATTGAAACATTTCCTCCCATTTTAACAAAACAGAGGTAAATTTATCAGCTAGTGAACAGTGCTACTAAAAATGTCACGTAGAACTGTCATTCAGTGGACTTGAAAAGTATTCATAGTTTGCAGATATAGAAAATCAATTTTGAAATAAATAAGGCTTCATCCGAGCCCAAAATTATCCAAAAAATAAGAGCATCCAGTGCTGTCATTAACAAGGATGCAGTGTATGAAATATTAAAACTAGGCAATTGTTTTCTTTTTGGGTCCAGAAATTGACAAATTGATATTTTTGGGTTGCTGGAATTATTGTGGTTTTCCGGAGGATTAGAAAATTATTTGTCACAAGTGGAGTGTGGTAGAAACTTTTCCACTTTAAATATATAAAGAACAGGTTACGTAGTAATTTTTCGCAGCCAAACCTGGAGTCCTTCATCTTAATGTTCTTAAGAAAAACACCTGTTAGATGACATCCAGAACGATCACATTATCAACATATAGACTAAGTTCCTGTATTTGGAAACGGAGTCAAACCAATGAGTTAAAATTTTTGTTTATTTACTGTTTAGTCAGCAAATGACATATTTAAGATGTTCTGCTAACCATATTCTGTTAACCAGCATTCATCCATGCACAAAATTACTGAATTTAAAAAATTATTTTCCTTACAGACTAACATTTGATTGTATTTTCCGAGGAGTTTTTTATTTGCTATTATTATGGGCCGGTTTGATCAAAATTTGCCAGGGCCAAACCAATTAGCTATTACTTACTATCTATTACTTATGGCTCTTACAGGTGTGCCTCACAATTCTATGTAGTGGTGGCTACCAACAAGGGACTATTTTCTGGGGTCAAAAATCTCTTGAGTGCGGGGGCAAAGTCGAGGGATGGTAGGGCAATTGCCTCCTTTTCTGTAATTGGAAAGAGGCTGATTTCTTGGGCCTAAAAGAACCCCGCGCGACGAAAATAATCATTTGTATATCATTTCACTAATAACAGGATCATTATTCTTAAAGAAACGGATACGAACATAACTGAAAAGAACAAGAAAGAAACTCGCCGGGAATGCATTTATTTGGAGAGTCAAATGAGATCAGAACCACGTGGTAACTATCCCAAGGTTGCTTCACCAGGCTTGCATGATAACTCTGTTTTACCTACGTATATTCTATCCTTACCTACCTAGTCTTGCCGACCGACTAGTTACGGCTGGCACCTAAATTAATATTTCAATAGAGTGAAAAGACGAGTTTAGCAATACGGAAAACAACCATAGCTGCAATGCAAACACAACATTTTAATACTATTAGTATTACAATCCACTATTGCTTCCTGGAAAATCTTTCAGAACTCCTTTGATAATATCCTTTAAATCTGTCCACTGCGTTGCCTTTAAAATATGTCTGTCCAGAAAGCCATGTCTCAATATCGGTTTTTTCGGCAAGAACACAACTTTCCTTTTTTGCAACATCTTAGGTCTTGCATGTATGTAAGGAGATAATCCCTTTCACTGTACTAAAGATTGCCTCTCTACTTCTTCCGAACTTCATCAAAATGATTTTGGAAGTATGACTACTATTCAAACAGCTAAACTTGCTGCATTGTTTTATTCCAGCAAAAAGTGAAATGAACCAGTTCTTTGGAGCTTGAAAAGTTGAATTAAAGAGGAGATGATTAAATGATTAAATAGATTAAATAACTCAGAAAATGATTAAATCATTTATTTTAGCCCTGCTAACTTAGCAATAATGTAGTTAATGGATTTTATAATTTAACTTATTTTTTATGTCAGTGGCACTTTAAAAAAAACTGCACATATTTTTGAGCTAAATTTATGAATCGAAAATAAAATAACAAGTCAAATGATATATGTAAAAGACAGGGCCGTAAATCCCGGGGGGGGGGACGGGGGGGACTGGACCCCCCCAAAAAAAATCTGGAGCAAAACGATTTTTTTGGAGAATATACCATCATTTTTCTTGAAAGAAAGAAATCCCTGGTAGACAGGTTAGAACCAAACTACGTTTTCTTTGTTATTGCAACAAACATCAACCATTAAGGTTATTTTTGTAAGCAGAGTGGTTTTTATAATTTTTACAAGATAAAAACTTACCGTTTTCTACCGTTTTTTACCGTTTTCTACTGTTTTATTTTTTAAAACAGAGTATGAAATAAAAAGAGAGCAATCTGTCATTTTATTTGACCTATTTACTAACTTATTAACTTATTTACTTTTCCTTCTTTGTCTATTTTTTACTTTTATTTAGTAAATCACTTTTTGTATCATTAAAATGTATTCATTTTTTATGTGTAAACATGGCCTACTGAAATCAGTCAAAATAAGGAAGACGCACATTTCTGTTCAGAAAGTAAATTTCTACCAATCAATACAACAGTGTCCCATATTTCCTCAAAGTCTGTCTCTAAGGTTTAAGCATGACTCTTCCCCTCCAAAATTTCACCCAATAAACAATAATCTGTGTTCTTCTGAGAAACGCCAAACTTTCTATCCTGAGCGATTCTAGTATTTTATTAAATTTAGTCTGGGGGATGCTTTTTTAGCCTTTCTAGAAGGTAAAATTTCAAAAATTTTCTTCCACGTTGGACCTAACCATGGTGGGTCCTCCTACGACAGTAAACTTGATTCTTAGCTCCCAAGGTTCAATTTCTTGGGGCCATCTCTAAAAAATGTTATCCATCCAATCATACACACAAGTCAATTTACTAAGGAATATCTGTAAATACCTTCTATAGAGCAGAAAGTCTTGAGAAATCCAAAAATATTGACTTTTGTTTTTAAAGTAATTTACCCCTCAACTGTTTCCATAACACATACCATAAATCCCTTATGGTGCCATGACCCACTGCATTGATTCGCTCTGCTGATCCCCCCAATTCACATGACAGATTTACGGCCCTGGTAAAAGATCAGAACATGGTTGAATTTAAAGTATCTGCAATCAATGGACATCAAGCTGTATAATCAAAGACTAAAGTATACAGGCCTTGTGAGAGCAAAAAGGTAGGTGCTTGAAAACAGACCTGTCTTTTTTAGGCACCAAGTTGAGTACCTAGTAAAATTTTTTTGGCTCAGTCAGTCTTTGTCATAAGCAAATCACCATGTGTGTGACAAACCACACGCATTACTTTTTTCATGCGTGTGACAAACCACACGCATTACTTTTTTCATGCGTGCGATTGGACCCCGTTTACACAGTCCTGTTCAAAAACTGAACCGCGACGGTACAATATTCGTTCTCTTTTGTAACAGGGTCAAAACCATTCCGGATGGCAGAGCAAAATTAGCTTGGTTCCAGAGTGCTAGCGTAAACGAAAGGGCGAGCTGCGACTGTTTTGTCACGTTTCCAAACTTGCATGCAGGGTCGCCTAGAGACTTGGAGGCCCTGGGGCTAAATTTGAGAATTAGGCACCTGCGAGCGAAGCAAGCAAAAAAAATTTGCGACCACCCCCTTTAAACTAGCTTAAATTCGTTCATTCGCTTAAAATGTTTTACTAATTATGGGCATAATTTTGAACCCCCCCTCCCCCCTGTACAGCTAAACTGCTGTTTTGTCGG